GTTAAATTCGAAGCGGAATCAGGCGCACTGCAAAGTGGTCTTAGATTGCGTGGGGAGTGGGCGCATAATAATGGACTAACATTAAATCTGGATAAATGCCGAACCATGTTTCTCTGCACACCTGACCCTTATAGAGGGAGGGCCCTACTCTCCCTGTGGATCATAACTTTCCCAAAGCAACGCTGACAAATGCCTGGGATTAATGCTGAGTGGCAGGCCAAACACTCGCTCCAGGAGATGCCTTCAGAGCGTATGCGGTACTGCACTTCATGCGCAGGCAAGTGGGTACCTTCACTCTAGAAGCCTTCCCGAAGATCCACACACGACCTCACTTAGAGGTCAATAACATCATCGCGCCACCATATCCGGGAAGAGATGTGAACCTCCTGGGGAAAGTTCAGGGACTAGCAACAAAGGGAGTTGTTCGAATGGGGCGAAGACCCCTTGAGGATAGGGTGGAAGACCCGGGACTTCACTCTTTAACCCAACCCCACCTGCCTCCTAGGAACCACTCACTATCTCACTCCTTAATACACCCACATTACGCGCCAGTCCTTTTCGAGAGAAAAAGACCTACGCTATCTATTTTTACCATTCAGGCAATTCCTACATACTTTTCTCTCTCTTTTATTTCTCTTCTTTGCCCCCTTTTTTCGTTTTCTCCTCTTTTATTTTCTGTTTTCCTTTTTCTTCTTTCTTCTTCCAATCCTTTACCACTACCATACTATTCTCCTTCAGGCACCTACGCAGACAGGAATAACTACAGTCCCCTAACCTTCCCAGCATCCTGTAGCTCCTCAAACACTACAATTTGCAACTTACTAACCCACAAAACATCCACCTCACCGAGGTTAAAAACAAGAAAGCAGAAAGGATGTCCTCTTCTACTGTGGGAGTGAACTGAAGAACTCAAAATAAGCACTAAGAACTAGACGCGAGAGATAAAAAACTATCAGTTTTCTATGCTCTCACTATCAATATTGGATATTGTCGAAGGAGGGTTTGCACTACTTTTCTAGGTCGTTGGACAGTAGTTTGCTGCGCACAAGCTTGTAAGTCGTTTTGTGTGTACGATTGGTTTGCGTTATACGGCAAGATTTTTTTTCAAAAGAGGGTATTTTTATGCAGAGTAGTAAATAAAAGTGAATGCAAGTTTACAGTTTTGACCTCAGTTATTTGCTTCTTAAATGTTCAGCTTCCCAGTTAAACATAAATGCTGAAGTTATGCATGCGAATGCGCAAATAATGCACGTCAGTGCATTGATTAGGAATGCTGAAATGAGACACAAGCGGACTCTTACGAACTACTCGCATACTTTCCGCACTTGCAGGATAGTTTAAGCGTGCATGCACAAACAGCTTTATTTACGCACAATTCCCGCTTTATTTCAGCGGTTTAGGGAAATTTTTGGACACAATTCCTATTACTTGCACCTTGCTCGCAATATTAACGCCATTTGCCCCATTATTTACTCATTTGCCCTCAATATTTCCGCAATATAGTTTGATTGGGTTTTAGTCATACCACATTTTGCCTAAAAAAACGAGTTGTAGACCGCTTTGAATTATGGTTCGCAACAAAATTTTCCAGCTCGTCTCTTTTAGGTGAGTGGTTCATCATTGTTAGACTTAGTTTTAACTTTGATGTGGGGATGCTATTGATCTAGGGTGCTGCTCTGCATGTTGGCGAACAGCCCTCCACCGACGGAATGATCGTTAGCGGTCATTTCTGACTGACTCGAATGTACGAGCTTGATGCCGGCTCAGTTCTTCCTAAATTTAGTGTGTAAAATGAAAATATAGGGGGGGGATGGGTTTTTGGGCAGTAAAGACTTGTTGGTCATTACTGTTAGATGCATCTACCGGGAATTACTGGGATAGGTGTAGAACTGCATTTAAAATAGTGGTAATGCCAGTTATTCTACGGTTCATCAAGATCATGTCATCCGGTGGGATTTAATGAGTACCGAAAGGCCATTAAGGTACAAGGAGGGACTGGTGAACCTGTTTTAAAAATCATATTGGAATCATTGAAAACTGAGGACTATGAGGTCCAAAATGTGTCGTAATTAAGTTTAAGCTTCGGCTTTGTGTCATCCAAAAAATAGACCTTATGGGGATGTCAAAACTGTCTCCAAGGACCTTTTCATTCGAAAAAAGATGAAGGGATAAAATTACATCTTTATTGACGAGTATGGTATCAGAGGACTAGTCATAACACTTCAGTAGATTGAGATAGTAACGTGCTCAAAGGTTGCGTCGTTACTGCTGTGTCGGTGGGTGCAGTGCACATAACAAAGGAGACAGCTTTTGGGTTGCTTGGTAATCTCAAAGCTGGGAAATCCCCGACTTATGGTAGTTTGTACTTTAAGTTGCTATCTTCAGTGGAGGATATTGTTACTAATTCAGTTACAGGACTTAGTGTTTCCTTTTCTCAATCTCCCATCCGTAGAGACTTGAAAGATGTCACTATCGACCCAGTTTTCACGGTGTGCAATCGTCATTTAGGATCTAACTATTACTATCAGTCTAACTAGTGCATTTATTAGGATTTTCTCATAAACAATTTGTGTTAAAGTGCCTAACCTCATTAAACCAAGTGATCTCCCGATACCGCAGCAAAATAATTTTCGGATAGGAGACTTCCATTAAACAAGCCTTATTGCATGAGAAGGATGGGTAGCATCACCTGGAAGCACTATTTGTAGGTTCTGTGTTCCTAGATTTCAGCAAAGCTTTAGATAAGATGTTTCTTGTTTAATTTTTGGGAAATCTCTTCTCCTTCTGGTTCGATGTTTAACTACAAGTTCGGATCAGGGATTTTCTTTGCGCTGAAGATGTGGCTCATTGGCAAACGAACTTAATTTTCAAGAAATAGGTGTTAAATTCGACTCTCTAGGTACTTTGGCTAGTCTATATATATATATATATATATATATATATATATATATATATATATATATATATATACGCTGTACGGGTAGTGAGGCCTAATAGAACATCATTTAAGTGAAAACCTATCAAAAGTGGGGGTTCCTCAGGAGAAAATCCCAGTTCTTCCCAGTCGCTTAATTATGCCAATGAATAGCCGTAGGTGTTCATTTCTTTTGCTCCCTTATTCGCCGATGATGTACAAGTTCAGAGAGTAATACGGAGTGATACCGATAGGTATGCACTTCAAGCATATTTGGAAGAACTCTTATATTGGTACTAACGGTGATGCCAGCAAAGTGCAATAACTCACTTTGACCATATTAATCGTTTCTGTTATTCCATTGACGTGACACTGTCCCAATCTTTAGTCTGAAATACATATCGTAGTAAGCCAAGATTTGAAAACGTGCTCACTGGTTTGCAGCTGGAGCGAAAGTTTCCGTATGTTGTGGTCTCTACGTGAAGCTTTGTAAAGCCTTGGTAAGGATATTCTCATGATACTGTATTCTATCCTAAACATTAAAAACCTCATATACGGTACAGCATCAGGGTATCGTTAAATGGTTTAAAAAGGATGCTGATATACTTGTGTTCAAGGTGGGTTACTCAACTGGTGATCGGGGCTTCCAATCAGCCTTATAAAGACAGTTTAGACCAACAGGATCTATCTGCGTTCACTTGTCGTGAAAAAGGGATGATTTTGTTTTAGTGTTCCATATTATTAGTTGCCGATTCGGTTGGTGTCTTATTTTCCTCTATAGGTAGAACTGATTACCTTCTAAGCCGTCAGAAAAAGTTCCAAAAGCTACAGTCGAATCAACTTACATACTGAGGACTCCGAATTGTATCAAAATTGTATGGGATAAAGTTATTATTATTATTTATGATTTGCTCTGGCCTGTATTTCGACCACCAAGTCATCAGCTACTAAAAATCTTTACCTCAGCAAATCTTATCAGCTCCTTCAGTGAACCCGTAAGAGGCTAAAGTGTCCTTTTATTTTCTTGTTGAATATTTCGCAAACTGAAACAGTATTATTCATTGGATAACGTTTTAAGCGGGGTTTATGGTTCATATTCATAGCAATGATTATGAATATGAACAATTGTGTTAATTCACCTTTGTTGCATGTGTAATGGGTGACATGTATAAATATCGATTTTGTTATTAACCTTTCCATTTGTTTCTATAAATACCTATCATTACGTAAATTTTTCATCGAAATTTACATAAATCTATTCCATAATGCACAAACCTTTCATTAGCAGGATTCACTCAACTTATTTATACGATCAAGGCTCACTGAATGAAATGCTTGTAATTGGAATCTTTGAAATACCAATAAGGGCAGTTGGAGAAGAATAGCTGAGTAGTTAGTTTCATACTGTATATATCTGGCACTCTAATGTGGCTTCTGACTCTAAGAGAAATAATACTAGAATAGCTTAATCCACAACATTCTTGATCTTGCCCTGCCGTTTAACTTTCTGTTACATCTATTAAGCCATTCGTATAACTGATGAGGTCGCTTAACTGTCAAAAATGTCTTAGTAATAATTCCATAGTAGATAAACGCTAATCCTTATTGTTAACATTCCCGTCTGAGTACTGAATACATCTTGGTTTCGGTTCAAAAATATAATGTAGATTATTTAGATGATAAGAGGAAAATGATGAGAATCATCGGAAAAATAAGCAATAAAGAGAAAACGATTATTAGGAGCGGTGAAAAAGCAAATCCTTTGCACGTCTGTGCTGAAGTGGCAACTAAATCGCAATATTTGGCAAAAAAGTTATATTTTTATAAGTGTTTAGCATTAACATTGAGTTGATTCTAGTCAAAGTACCACCAAATACTAAAATTGTAAAGTTAAGTACTAAATTATGCTGATGGGTTGGGTAACAGTAAGACACTATTTGTACTTGAGTGGCGATTGTTACCAGCCAAGTAGGTTTGATGTGTAAACGATGCATGTCTTTTATCCATTTCCAACCAAACCTACCATCAGCGTATTCTTCAATTTTAACATTTATGCGGTTTTGACTGTTTGCTACTCGAGAAAAAAATGTCAACACAACCAACACATGTAGGTCACTCAGAAATGCAAATTCAATATCTACTGCGAACTTTAAAAACAAATTCCATAGGTTTCAACTAGTTCATGGTCTCAACGTAAAGATATGCTGCAAGAAGCAAGTGTGATGCTTAAATTGAAAATATTCAAGAGTAATTATCAGTATGGAATACTTTGTTTCAGCCTTGTGTGGAGATTCTAATTTTAGCTTTAACCAATGATATAATTTTTCACCAGGTAACCAAAAGTTGTATGAACTACTGTACTTTCAGTCATTCATGGTAGGAAGGGTAAGCTAAATAGTGTATTTAAGAACAATATTGCTGTTTAGGTGGCGAGCAAGATAGCTGAATAGGCATTATCTTGGGAATCAGCCAGAAGTCGGATAAAGACAAACAAAAAAGCAATCGATAAACCTATTTATTTAAGATGGGAGGCGAATTTTCGTTTAAAACCATTTTTGTGACAACTGCATTCAGAAAGCGAAACTCTCTTGTAACACCTTTTATAGATTTTTGAGTTTGGCGATTTTCCAGTTCTAAAGTTCCTTTTCGCTCAGAATGGTATAAAATTACTGCATACTGTTAGTGATTCAAAGTATTCTCCATTAAAGATTATAAACACCAACAGAGAGAGAGGGAAAACATCCCTGATACACACCACTCTACGTACAAAACTCATCTGTTAGCTCACCATCGGTTGTAACATGCCCACGGGTGTTCGAGTACACAGCCTTCAAAAGACTGATGTACTTACTTGACACTACTTTCATTGAGAGACACTGCCATAAGACCCCTCGATCGACCGACGGAGTCAGAAGTCGCCTTCAGGTTGAGAAATGCAGCTAGTGTCGGGTGTCGGTAATTATGCCTTTGTTCCAGGACTTGACGGAGTATGAATATCTGGTTGATACACTCATAGTCAGGTATAAAGCCTGTCTGTTTTTCTCGGGTTTTCTGCTCAAGAGTTTCACTTAGAAGCACTATATTCGTGGTTATCAGAAGAGGATTTCTCACCTCTCTTGAAGACTGAGATAATCAGACGATCATAAATGACTCTCATACTGTAGCTAGCGCTTCAGTTAGTCTGACCGATTATCCTCGGTCATCGTCCTAAGATGCCTTCGGTACTAACCCATCCCGTCCTGCCACTCCGCATCTAAAGTTACTTACAGCCTTCTCAGTTTCGGTAAGTCGGAGAGTTCACTTCAGGATTCGACTAAATAGCGGGCATATTCACTGTAACTGGAGGCCATTTGAATTGTTCCTGGAACAGTTCCATCTATAGTTCCAGCCGTCTCCTCTGAGAGCGAGTTTCGGACCAATCCTTTTTCCCTATAGTTTCACTGATCAGTGACCTTTATGCCTCAGTCTCCCTGATAAGTATAAATAGCTGTCTGTTTTTACCTATCACCGCTACTTTTTTCCTCTCTTAAACCTTCATGACCTACCATTATTCATGGTCATTCCTTTGACTATCTTTTCCAACCTATATTTTAGTTGCTTCCGCTCCTCTCGCCCTCTGAGCCTGTAGGGATGCGTTTGTATGCATTCATCAATTCAGGAGAAGCTGCTGAGATCCACTGGCCCTTCTTAACCACTTTCTGAAATTCGGTTACAGTTCTCAATGCTGTTTTTACACCAGATGGGAGATGGCGCCTGGCTTCCTTTGGATGAGTAATGTCCTGTTCCGATAACTGTCTACCCAGTTTCTCGCCGAAAGCAACCTTAGTATTATCGAGTGTTGCCAAGCTGCACTCGCAGTGGCTTTTCTGATATTTTTTGTACGTCCATTTAGGTGCAGACATATGCCTGCTTGAACCAACGCATGATTGCTATCCAGGTATGTTTTCCAGAAGGAGAGGCAATCTTCCACCTACCCTCTCCAGCGATGACTGAAAGCAATATGGTTTGTCTATACCCACCACTGAGTTGAGACCAGTAGATGCCACGTCAGAAAATGTCTGAAGTTCGTTCTGGCCAGAAATAGACGGTTGTCTGAGCACAGTTGTAGCAGGGGAGGGTCATTATCCGCTTGTCCGGCTGGGGTCCCGAAAATGTCATGTAAATGCCTTTCTGTCCGACTTGGCCTACCCACTTGTCTATTGAAATCCCCTAAACAACAACATTTGAACGTTTGGCTTTGAATAGAAGGCTCAACAGTTTTCATTAAAACTTATTATCCACTTCATCCGAGCTGCATTTAGTAGGTGCATAATTAGAGGTTACAAAGAGACAACGGCGAGTTTCATCATTCTTTTTAGTCCTTACTGCACCGTTCAGCCGAATCGTGCACAGGAAACTCAACTAGGATCCAGTTGAATAATGTGCTTTCCGCCGTAGCTCTTAATGCTATACGTACACCTGAAAGATCGTGAGAGCTGCCCATTGAGTCTCCAGAAACTCATAGGGTAAACCTTGCTAATTCACCATTTTGCTCAGGTTAGTTAAAGTGACTAGATGCAGCTTGGTTCTATGTGCGTGTCTTAGAAGCACACCACACGCCAGTTTCTCGAGATGCTAGATATGGCTAGCGTAGTTTATTGACTGGGGTGACGGAGGGTTTAGACACTAGAAGCTCCGATGTGTAGTTTGCAGCTCGGTTTCAAATGATCAGTGATGCTATTCTGTGAACTCACGTCGTTGTAAAGAGCTGTCAGAGTTTAGCGATTATGTAGGGATATTGACCCAGAGGCATGAAGGAAGGTTAGAAGGGAAAATCTTGAAGGTTGATAACGATCTAAAAAGAAGTTGAGTTCTAACTGGGTTAGGGAGGTGGATGATACCTTCTAACTGCCCTTACCATGAGTGGTATTTTCTTGTTGAAGTGTTTCAAGGAGAAGGGCTGGTAACGGTGATGCATGACTGTAGAGTACATAGGAAATCACATAACCGTTTAAGTGGTATAAGATTTTATTTTGTTTCTCTCAAATACCGCTACAAGTCCATACCACCAGTACTGAGAGACTGTACGGTGTAGGGGAGTGCGGTACTTTCACGACCAACCTTTCCTAGTCCTGGTCTCTTCCAATAAGGAGGACAGTGTCAACACGATACAGCTTTCATTTTGAGAGGAACACCTTACTTACTGCTGTCATACACGTGTCCAACCACCAGTGAGATGTCGCCTCCGGGAACCCAACATAGCATAGAGATTCGCCCTATAATGGTACCTGAGTTTTCTGGCATGGTTGGGTCTCAAGGGAGCAACTGTTCTACCGGGATGGCTCATTGGGTAATTTTGATATGAGAACCTAATCACCACGCCAAAGAAAAGAAAGAAAAAGAGAGTAGCACACTTAACAACCTTGTGCATATCCGTGCAATAGTCCATGAGCCATACCTAATGTGCGAGGATTGGTGATACTACCTGACTGTTCAAACCTCGGTAAGTGGAGCGACTTTCGAATACATGACCCACTGGTTGATAGTCTTCTTCCTAAACCACTGAGCGACGGCTCCACAACCATGATAAAGTTGTAACTACTGGGTGTTAATTTTTTCTCAATCATTTATAGCTCTTTATGTACACCCATCTAACTGCCTATTTTTTTTTCTTGTTATTACTTTGATTTTTCAGAGTTAAGATTCTTAAACTTGAAAAAAAAACTTGTTCCATCCATCCTCAGTCAGTCTACGTATCTTTCTCTTGTTCATCGTAGACATGATCTCTGAGTGTGGTCAAAATAAAGGATTACCCTCACTATCATCACCTGAATATTTGGAAGCGAAATCTTCGGTGAAAAACAAGTTCTTAGATAATAAGATAGTTGCAAAAACGTTTTTACTTCGGATATTTCGTCCTTACTCTCATCAGTTGTATCATCTGCACACCTATCAAAAAACTTCGCTTTATGTCCTAGTGCGGAGAAAGCAGTTAAGAATCGTCAATGTGAACATTATTCAAAGGAAAAGTTTGGTGATTCTAACACATCGAACTTGAAACCAGTCGATTGGGTTAAGAACGCTGTCGTGAAATTTCCGAACATCAGTTCGAAGGCTATAATAGACTGTGAAATTAATATTACTGAAGAGAGGCAAACTGTTGATGATGTGTTTGACCTACTAACACAAGGTTGTAGAGATACTTGTAAACAGTTGAAGGTATGTGGTTGCGCAATCCATAAATAAAACAAACAGATAGAATTTATTAGCTGTATATCCTCTTCTGTTGTTGATGGAACACTATCAAGGACAAAGAAGATACTTTTGGGGCGGTTGATTCGAACATGCATTGATAAGGATCCAGAATTCATATTGAAGGTAACTGGAAACATTTTAATGTTAGTGTTTAGGCAGCCTTGTACTGCCGCAGAGAGCTCAACATACGAACGACAGCCAACCTGTTAATAGCAAGTGCATGTTTCCATGAGAAATCTCGGGCTTTCGTCGGCAAGTATTTCTCCGCATGTGTTCGTACACCATCAGACTGGATAGAAGTCAGTGAATACTACGCAGTAAGTTTTTAAATTACCTTGGAACCTTTTGAAGGCAATATCCGGTAGTCCATCCCTGAAGGGTATACCTAAAGTCTTACGAAAGTGTATGGTTATGAAGTTCTGTAAATACGATCAGTACCAACTTGGTGAGATGAGATTTCATTCATTTCATTTTCACAGCCAAACATTGTAAACATAAGGCAAGAGCTACTCGTGCAACAAAATCCAAGGTAATTTTTGCATTCTTTATTTGTAAATTTCATTCAGATGCGGAAAGCTAAACCTGATAGTGGATTAACAGATGACCATGTTGATACATTCACACACAGACTCACAAACTCACCTCCTGTTCATTTTACAATGAAAGACCTTATTCGCAGACTGCATATATCACGTCCTAAATATAATGTTATGTGCATTCTTGGTAAAACTTATCCTGTGGATAGTACTGATTTTATTCGTATGGGACTGGAAGGAGATTGGGACGAATCTAGAGCTGGAAAACGTATGAGACTCCCTGTTCCTCTAACGTGGGAAACAGAGTTGTCCATCAATGGTAACAATTCAGAATCTTGGACGAAGCTTATAAGTAAGTCATGCAACATATATTGAGTTTGTGTTGTCAGCCGACTTTCTGGAAGTACTTAAGGAACGTTGAAGTGAAAAATAACCTGAAAACAGATGTACGTGAGTCTATCAAGATCACTGTTGTGCAACAGAAACGACAATAAATCAATAGTTTAGTTGATATCTCAACCATGAGTTGATGAGACTAGTTTTGCCCAGCCTATTGTACAAGGATCTACAAGATACATACAACACCTAAAAGTAGTCATACTAGCGTTTCACCCCTTTCCGTTCTTTGGTTCGTACATTATGTAATCAAATGATTGTATAGTAAAGCAGTTAGCTTATTGTATTTGGTTACAAAAGCTTGAGAACTCAAGTTTTGGTTATTCATGAAAAAAAATTCATGAGTGTATCTTTTAACAACCCTCCATTCAGCCACTTTTCATGTAGTAATTGAGTTTTCACAGTTTATTTTGTTGACTTGTAAACTATTCCTCAAATATCCAGTCTAATTATAGGTCAATGTGATTCATTTATTCAACTGTTTCGAATTGTCATATTTCTTTGTACTTGTGTATTGAAAAAGGTAGTATCATCATAACTTTTAAATGAGGACATTGTTTTATAAGAGAAACGATCAGATCGTCTCATGGTTTATCCATGCAATCCATTCATCGATCTACTAACTTGTCTTAAAAACAATCTTTAAGCCATATTTGAAATTACACAGAGTATGATTCATCAACCTTATTGGTGAAGTTCTATATTCCTTAAGTTTTCAATATTAAGGTAAGCATGTTGTGTAGGCTTTATTAGTGTTCACAACAAACGTCACTATGAAATTAAATTCTCCATGCGATCGTTTAAGATTCGGAAAAGTTCACGAATAGAATGAAGGATTTGAAACTTCATACGAGTTGTTGCCCTACTATTCGCTATGGCTTTAGGGTCGTGTTATGGCTTAACTTGTATTTCTTATTTTTATATTCATTAACTTTGGGCAGTAGCTATGCATTTCTCAAATAGTGGTCCACTTTCTTTGCCAACCGACAGCTGCTGCCTCGACCTGGTGGTCGGACTTGCATATCACAATCATCCAACCACCCATACTGGGAGAAAATTTGTTTCTAGCGATCTTAGCACACCAATAAAGTTTCTTGGATATTAGTAATGCAAAACACATACAATTATAGAGTAAACAACTGCACTTTAATAACAGCCGGAGGGCGAATTCTTACTGCTGGCTGCAGGGGTATGTGATAGTCGTAAGATGTTTCTGTTGGATATTAGCAGACCATATTGATGCTGCCTTTCTAATGGGATGAGGTACCCCGTAAACATCACACTCCTACCTACCTTCTCTCCTTTGGATACCAGCGGTATGGACTTTCTTGCTGGATTCCAAACAGCCAAATGTAAATTTCACACTTCCAAAAACTATGTGTAACCTGCCTAAAGCAAATATTCCTCGGACTTTGCGGCCACACAAAAGTAATTCTTTCTCTCTCTCAAGTAACCTACAGAAGCATCTCCTATGCTGTGCGTATCCGGGAACTACCAACCATTCTCACGCTTGTGGCAGCATACCGAACCCAACTATCCGTAAATAACATTTTTCGGCCTATTTCGGAAAGTAGTATATAAACTCTCATATTGACGAATAAGGTTTACGTGAGTTATCGTTGAAAATAACCATAGGGAACTCAAAAGTTCAAACAAGAATAGAAGACTCAGATAAATTAAGGGAACAAATAGAAAAACTCAAGTGAAAATTACTACCTCGATGAAAACTGTGAGGAAGAGGCCATGGGGAACTCTGATGAATGAAATGTTTTTGAATGAGATATGAAACAGCTAACTGAAATGATATATAAGCTTGCAGAATGCACTGGTACAATATGGCATAATTTGCTTAGGCCTCAGGAAGTATGAGTTAGTAAATTAAATCACTAGGAAAACATGAACTACTTTCAGTCCTCTTGCAAAATTAGAGGTAGATGTGCTTATTTCAATACAATCTATATAAAGTCGTGTTAAGTAAGCCGTCCGACAGCTGGTTTATGCTGTAAAGAGGAATTCATGTAGCAAGCCTGGATTCACTTATTCAGTTCACACCAACCAAAAATGACTGAGTTAGTACTATGTCGGTCTGAATATGAGGAGAGTTTCAAATCAAGATTTCGTATTCGCATCATCAATTGATGCTAAATACATATAAACATGTAACTCTGAACTCAGTATTAAAATAGTATTGCATCATTCAACTTGGTGATTGCATTATATCTCATGGTCTATGGAATCCGGTCAACATTCAGCGACTACAACGACAGGGTTACTGGGCTTATTATCAACCAGTCGTTTCGTTAAACAGTTTTATGGTGTTTTGTATGCATTTTTAATTTTATGCAAATTGTTTACTGTTGATGCATAGTTGTATCTATGGTTTCCAATGCTAAACAATACTGTATCATTTAACTACCCTTTATGCGTTTCACAGCTTCAAACAAAGTGCCACATATGGCAATGTTGAGAAATTTACGAAATATTTTAAAATCTGGTATTCAAAATAATGTTCACGAAATAGTTTTACGAGAACTGATAAACCCTGTAAGTGATACTTGTAAATAATGCATTCATATAATCTTCCCCTAAAAATTTGTCTAAAATTGCCTTTTTTGCTAAAAATTTATTTGTTTAATCGTCATGAATATCTATCTTAAGAAAGTGAACTGGTTATTTCAGTTCAAAAAGTTGATTACAACCCTTTTTTTCTACTGTAGGATATTATCGTGGAGGGAAAGCAGTTCCCTTTCCGTTACTTCGCAGCTTTTGATGTCGTTCATGAATTAAAAAACAAGTGTATGTTGCAAAAATACATACATGCTGTGCAGAGTGAGTACTAATCGGTATTTCGTTATAATTTTGCTTGCTATTGCTGAGTCTTTGTTTTCCACTTTTGATCACCTTCTCTTCACTTCTGTACGTGACGATGACATAAAACTGAAGTTTTCTTTGCAGTATAACTAGATTCATTGACTTAAGCATTTGCCTTTCAAGCAATGAGTCCCGGGTTCGAGTCTCATCTTACCTACTTTGGCTTAGGAAACTTGTAGGTTTCATAAGGTCTCTTGCATAAGTATGGCTCACAGACTGCTACGTAAACCTATATGAAGCTGAAAACTGCACGTCCATAGATGGGAAAGAGAAATCGCATGAAAGATTATTGAGAAAAGAAATTCACGTTGAGTAGTAAAACATGCGTTAACTGTTGTCAAAGCGTATCAAACTACCCTAAAAAGCAAATGATGAGCGTTAAAAAGTGAGGTGAAATATTACTAACGTGGTAGTGCAAGAAAATTGGTATTAAAAACATTTTGGACGCAAAGTTTATGTTTTTACTTATCTACAGCTAGTACTTCAGCTTTGCTCAAGTAGTGAAAACGAACATCTTTGGGGGATTTCAATTTCACCCTGTAGATAAATGTGAAAGATTAGTCACGAGAAGTTGAATAACCTAACTGCATTATGTGTTTAAAGATGGTGAATTAGTTCTTTTCTTGCCTTTCAAGAAGCAAACCCGATAGTGTTCAGCAACACACTTCCGAAAAACCCATTTACAGAACCCAGCGTATTCATTTTCCAAGAATTATGTGAAATGATAAATATCCACAAAGAGTTAACTGTACTTCATATGTTTTTGAGTCAACCGTCGGCTTGTGAACACCATTCGCATTCAAGCAGAGTAGAAATTATTTTGAATACATTTAGATAAACGTCTGCGTAATAAATAAATAAACTTGAAGAAGAGCCATTGAAAGAGGAAGCTGATACCGGAAGGTTTTCCAACAAGCTTTCTTAACTAGTGTTCTCATGGCAGGCCTTGAGAAGTAATTGTTAAACTTCGTTTGTGTAGAAGATAGATGGATGATGCTCTCTCCAGTTGCAATGAAAGCTCTTCATTTTAAAAATTCCTTTTATAACAAAAATCACTTAATGCCAAGCATGTATGAAACATTATGGAATTTTCAGCAGGTAATGTTGCAACAAATACGCTCCCTGTAAAATGTTTTTAGAAAAAATCAATTTTTGCATCTGAATAGTATTAATAATAACGTAATTAAAGGCACTACAATTTGAAATAAGTAGCAGTCCATTCTGGACTTGTGGATGAATACAAAATCATATTGGTGGTAGTTCAACCAAATATGTTTTTAAGCATCTGTATGTCCATTTCCATGCAGCGTAACTTTTTTCCTTTGTTTTGTTCCTAGTTTGAGAAACGAGAGTTTGAAAATATTTTAAAACAGTGTTGTTAACCGCATTTATTGGTCTTTCGAATGCCCAACTTCAGTGAACACTTCACCGACTACAAACAATTGTTGATCGTTTCATAGCAGGAAGATGAAACTCATTTGTTTGTTATTTTGATTGTTAGTTCAAAGAATGCTTTCAGAGTAGATGTTTTCATTTTAGAAATCGAATAATCCCTCAAGTCAACTATGACTAAAAAATAGATCGAACTCGGAAATAAACGAGGAACTTTCAAACTTGTAATTTCACATTTATCTAGCGAAGTCATTCCGATGTTTGTTGGTCTCGACTTGAAACGAATTCTTTTAAACTCTGTTGTTAATACTTGTTTATGCGCCGTCAGCTTTCATCGTGATGTATATGGATACGTTTATGTGGAAAACATGATTTATTGATACACAAAAATTAATTGAAAATTTCTGTTTTGATGATAAGTTATTTACGAAATCCTACATTGTACAGGGATTTAGTCACCGTCACAGACAAGCAATAAGTGAATGGTAGGGTTGATTGAAGCCACGGGGATATGCGATCGTGATAACTATTTAGTATTCTCTGAGGTTTGAGGTTTGTTCTTGGCAGTTTCATCACGAGGTTAGGAGTAGTGAATGTTGGTGAAGTTGCCTAGCCTGGTAATAAAGCGTCGAGGAACGAACCTCAAAGTTTGGAGTAAACCAAATAAATAGCATCCTTATCCTGAGCTACAAATTCTCTCTACTACGTACAGGTGTGTCCATCAAGCAGTGTTTTCTTTTGTTACTGCTGTTTAGTTCTGTTTTAACTTTAGCTACAATATGAAAGACTTAAAGGAAAGAATTTATTCATTTTATTTTATTTTTACTAAAGTTGTATTTCAAGTTCTGGAGGATTGAGAGCTCCTAAATGACTAGTTGTGTTGTTATTACCTGTTATGTGGCGTGCACTAACACTAATCTAGTTAGCACTTTACCTACATGTAAGTAGTGACAACAGGAGATGAGTAAGAAGACACGCTCAGAAGAGCAGTATATTTATCGGCATGCAGTCCAAAATTATTTTGAGGAAAACGCTTGTAATTTATATGGCTAGGCATGGTTCGACAAGGGACTGTGGGGATTTATCTGTTAACCGAAAAGAAGCGGACATCATATGGTGTCAGTCCATTTCGGGGTGCTTAAACGTTGAAAAAAACCTTAAAGGAATAAAAGCACCCACTGAAGTCTGAGCAAATGATTTAGCTAATGTTTGGATATTTCATATATACACTGATTTTATAATAAATAATATTTTGGTACCAGGAAGTTCATTACAGCATCGCCAACCATTTATCCACCGTTAGTAGACTTCAGTAAATCGTATTTGTAATTCTATTAGATTACTGGACGTAATAAAACATTATTTTTATAGGCATATTCTGGATATTTATTGCTTCTTTTCTCAGGGATCCGGTGTCATTTGTTGTGGTGGTCGGCAACATCTTGAGAAGGATTAGGTTACTAGATATCATTGCTAGCTAGGCAAAATGTAAAATATTTAAGAAATTGTGGTACCAGTAGTCTTTTTTTCTTCATTTGTTTACAATGTAAAACCAAGAAACGTCACATTGTATACATGATTACATCCATCTATTCTCAAACATATGAAACAGCTACACAATTGTCTAAACGTATTGTTCACATGCAATATGTGAACATTTAAAACATATTAAGTGATATTAGATGGCTGACAAACCTCTAGTTTCTAACTTTTGATGTATGCTTGAGTGATTAGCTTGATAGTTTAATAGTTGCCTACAGTAGAATAAAGAAAATTGATGTGGAGTTTCAGTACTCCTACTCATTTCATTTGTTATGTTATCTTGTTTACGGTGACTTATTTTTATCTCATTTTCAACGGATTTTAGATGCACGTAGGCGGAAACTCAAGATAATATCAGATCGATTGAAGAAGAAGCATTTATGGCTGAATAAATATTTGCAGTCAACAAGTTTCAAGTAAGGACTTCATGTAATTTCGTTTTCTGATTCATGCGATCATCTGTTTGGAATTTTCATACACGTTACTCTTATTATGGAATTTGAGTAATGAAAAGATGTACTCAGATTTTGCAAAACTGTTTTTCAATTGCTATATGTTGCATTATTATTTTGCATGTAGTGAAATGATCAATATTTTGTGTGCAAAAACGATTCATTCTACTGAATGAAGTTGTTTGTGAAATGAATATCGGATCGAAAACTTGGAATTCCGACTTCTACCTACTGACCACATTATATCTCTTAGTCTATGCACCACCATCACTTCTTGAGATAAGGATATAAATAAGATTGTCTCCTGTTCACTCTAACCAGTTGATACATTGTAGCGTTGAATGGTGCTTGGAAATGTATTATTAGCTCAATTCTCTAGGTGGGAAATATAAGGTTGTGAATTCTGTTTCTCTTTTCTTCTCCTTTGGTATTCATCACACTCCAGTCATGATCTTTTTTTTCCACTGGTAGTTAACATTGTAGTATTATTTACAGTCGCACGATATCTTTCTTACGAGTCCTAATAACTAAGGAAGCTAGTTCACCACAGCATGATTGGGTGGGTTGCACATTGTAATACATCATCTTTATGAATTCTGGGCAGTTGATATAATCCGAGAATATTACCTCGTCTCTAGGTGGAATTTACAGCGACTGAACTGACTTATTCCTATCAGTCTAATTTTGTTTGTTGTTTTTCATATGCTTTTTCACTTAAATTTACATTTATGTAGTTTTTACATTTCTAATGTTCATTTGACTCAATATCTCATAGTTGCTGACTACTTGTGATGATTTTAAGTTTAATTTTTTATTTTAATCCAGCTGTAATTGATAATCTTCATAATTATTAATTCTTTTATACATTAATTATCCGAAATCTTGTGAAATCAACTGTTACTGGGTGATGATTGAATGTGAAGCGACAATCTGGATTGCTGTAGGATTCGAACCAGCAACCTCTAGCAGCTGATCTACGAGGCCCAGCTGATGACGAGATCCTAACTTCACTGCAATGGAAAAGAGTTTTACCCAACTTTAATCAAACATCACGAATTCATATGGCAGTCGGGAAAAACTCTTGGTAATTGAAGTGGAATTAGGAACTGATCAGCAGCTGGGCCTCGTTGGTAGGGCACCAGGCCGGTAACATACAGGTTGCTGGTCCGAATCCTGCCGCAATCCAGGTGTCCATTTCGCCTTCAGCCACCATCCGTATCAATACTACAGGTCTGACAAATCTAAGACAGTCAAAAATAAACGTTTAGACAGTTTTCATTCCATGTTTAGCTTAATGCACTGATGATTGTCAAAATTCATGTAACTGCTCAAAGTGTATTTATTTCTAAGTGCAAAATATTGTATTTAAATATCGAGCATGATGAGACTTTAAAGAAAATGCATATTCGCTCAAATTCTTATATTTTCGATGCTACCATGAGAATATTCCGTATTTTGAACCAACGATCTTATTTTTGACCACTGTGGGATGTGAAAATATTATATAAGGGTCAAGGTTACCTGCCTCACACTATCATATCAAGACGCTATACAGAAGACGACAAACATTTAAGTGGAAATACCGTATGCAGACGTCGTAGAAAGTCAAAAAACGAAAAGAGAAGTGAATAAAACAGATAAGAAAGTGTGATATAGTAGTTGAGATGAAGAGGTGTGCATTAATCTGCGTCACAGACTGATTGTGCCCTCTTACACGTAGATTCGATTTCGGTTGTTACGTGAACTCCAACCTGGGAGCCTACACCTCTGTACACGACTCACATTGGTAATCGGATACTTCATGGGTTGATGCCATATTTTATTCTGGTCACCCTTAGTTCCTTTCCAACTTAACTCTGGTTTGACTGACGTAGGGTACCCACACAGACAGTTTCTCGGTAAATGTAACATATCCCAGCCACATGAGTTGACAAAAGTTTGTAACCTGATCAACTGGCTTACCTCTTTCACCATGACTCTATATTACTGGCATGATTCTTTCATCAATGCGAGAAAGGTAATGGTGGTTGAATACATGAAGTCATTCTATGTCATACGACTACGATGGCAACGTTTGATAGCCATACTGTAAGATGGAGCGAATTGCTCTGCAGTATACTTGACCCTTATTAGGTAACTGAATGTCTCATCGCTGCCACTCAGTGACGGAAGTTTACAAAAACCAGTCGTTTTTTATCGTAGTGTTCACACTTTCATATAAATTTCGCCTATCCTATAAACTTTTCCATCAGTTCATTTCAACTGACGGGTACGCAATAATTAACGTCACAGTTCACGTAAAGTGGTGAGTACTGTGTAGCGTCGAGAACAATCCAATTCAGCATAATCCCGCACAAAATTATTCTTAATAATGTTTGAGTTGTCCTCTCAAATTTGAAGAGTGAACACTGCAAACTATAGATTATTTAAGATTATTAACTGCATACGTCTTTCAACTTTAGCCCTATGCTAATCCTATGATTTACTTCATTGTTCTTGTGTGTAATTGAGCATGACGTGAGTTATAAGTCAGTCTGTTAGTGATTATTTTATGCCTTGAAAATGGTTGAGTATGCAGTCTTATGTGTTAGTTGATTTTAGACGTTGTCTTCATCAAAGACCAGATTACAGGGCTTCATGTTTGAGCATGAAATGTTACTTGGTTAGCGTATTTCAACTAGTGTACTTTTGGATAGATTTAAAAAGTCAGTGCGTATGACTATGCATCTTCGTAACACTTTATTATCATACGAATAAAGCTTATTTCGTTTAAAGTTTAAGCGGAGAGTGGCAACCAATAGATACCCTGTTTTCGGGTTTGGCGGCAGCATTTGTATTGTTTATTGGCGATAGTAATTTGTGCATAATAAAGAAGATTTCACTTTGTTGATGTTTTACGTAAAATCATTCATCAGGTGTCCGACACATTATGTCACTAGTTAGACTATCTGAGATGGTGGATGGTGATTGAAGTTGAATGAAAACTTGATGCTCAGCTGCATCTAAGCCATTAGAATATGCGATGTACCAACCGAGCTATGATACACAACTGCTAAACCTCACTATCAATTGGAATTATTTGTAAATGTATTGATTGATTATGTTATTGCACCTACTCAATGCTAAATTAATGTGTGTAGTGTTTTTTTCCGAATCGTTTACTATTAGAAGATCTTTGGTATGTGATATCAAATTGTTGGATCGATATGAAAAAGCTTTGAGTGAAGCTTTAGACTTGTCAGTGCGGTATAATTTGCCTCCAATTCGTGGTTCGACCTTGATTATTTGTTCCAATAGCAAGTATGTGAATGTATCTAAACAATTGAAGTCATCACGATCTAAATCTTATGTAAGTGGGATTCATTTATTGTATTTGTTTATCATATCTATTATTTATTCTTCATTGTTTGATACAAACTTAAGGTTACGCTTTTTTGCACTGAATAGATAAGCATATTATGTATATTTTGTGAATGGTTTACTTGTAAAGTGCCACATATATTCTGCTGTTGAGAGATATCTAGAAAAGTTTTGATCAGTCAAACATTTCATCGACCATGATAGCATAAAAACAATAGCAAAAGCCCGCCAAGGTATCTCAAAGAACAGATAGGTTTTCTGAATTGCAGTCGTTTTACTCAATACTTATCTAGCTGATCAACTGACTATCTCTGTATTGGGCGATTATCTCAAAGCTTAATAAGTAAAACATGAATGTATCAAACCAATCACGTTTACCGACGGCTAGTTACTACCTTGACATGGTGGTCAGGCTCGCATATCATAATGACCCAATGAGCTATCCTGGTAGAACAGTCGCTCCCTTGAGATCCAACCATGCCAGAAAGCTCAGTTACCATTACAGTGCAAATCCGTACGCTATGTTGGGTCACTATCATCATCAATATCAACATAGGACCAGGCATTACTGCGCAACGGTCCGAGTTGCCACACCTCATATCACCACATCAAGTAAAAAGGCAGTGAAGTGCAAGATGAAGATAAGAAAATTCAGTCTATGGAAATATGGGGTACGAAAAGAGAGAAAGGAAGAATGAGGAAATGGTGAGATTCGGTATAGCGTCGTTAAGATGAGGATAATGTGTGTGCGGATACATCTGCGCCACTGACATCGGTTCTGAACCATATCCTCCAGAGTCTCCAACTACTGGTCCGTCTTGTTCCGCGGACCCTAACCGACTAGTCTGCATCGCTCTCCCCATCCCCCCCATATGGCTTAAACCAACAGTCAACGACACCATACATTGGTGCCATGTTTCAGTTTGGCCACCTCAGGCCTTTTTCCAGCCTGGACCTACTTCAACCAACATTATGTGACGAGGTAGACGGTGACTAGGCATACAGACTACGTGTCCCAGCCAGCCATCTCAGTCGATGAAGGTTCACGACCGTGTCAACTAATTTACCTCTACTCCTTAAAACTCTACACCTGACGTCTGCGTTACTCACGTGGTGACACCACGGAATACGGTCTATAATACAAAGGCAACAGTGGTCAAACACCTGAAGCCTTCTCATGTCTTCCACCTTCGATGCCCATGTTTCACAGCCATACAGTAGAACAGAGCGGACTGCTGTGCAGTACACGCGACCCTTAAGAGACAATCGGATATGACGGTGGAGACATAGGTGGCGTAAGTTGACGAAAGCCAGCCGAATCTTTTGTATCTATGCAGAGATTTCATCGGTCACTGAGCCACCAGGGTTGATTTTACTTCCCAGATAAGTGAAATGGTCGGCACACCCAATCACTACACTCTCTGTTGTTAGCAGTGGCACCGTTGAAAACCAATACTGAAATAACAGTTTGCATTTGGGGGGTGAGAAATGCATCCCAAACATTCTCGAATTGCCACTCAAAGTGTTCAGAAGACTCTGCATCTTGTCAGCGTCTTCACCTAGCAGAACTATGTCATCTGCATATTCTAGGTCTAACGGAAATTCTCCTGTGATTAGGTCAACCTCTGTGTAATCAGGTGACAAAAGAGAGACCTCCATAAGAATATCTATAATAAAATTGAATAAGACTGGAGACAGTGGGCACCCTTGACGAACACCACTCGATGAGCATAGCTCCCTGGACATCTCACCATAGGCTGTAGCACACCCGCAAGTGTTCTAGTAGGGAGCCTTCAATAAAGTGATGTACTTACTCTGCATGCCTTTCAATGAGAGATATTGTCATCAGACATCTCGATCAACGGAGTCAAATGCCGCCTTCAGATTGAGAAATACAGCTAGTGTCGCGCGTCGTTAAGCTTGCCTATGTTCCAAAACTTAGCGCAGTGTGAATATTTAGTTGATACACCCGCGGCCGGATCTAAGGCCTGCCTGGTTTTGTCGGGCTTGCTGTCGAAGAATTATAGAACCTAGGGTCTTGGACACTGTTCGTCAGTGTGGTTCCTCTGTGGTTATCACAAGAGGACTTCCCTCCTTTCTCGAAGACTGGGTTAATCAGTGATTGAGACCAGTCAGAGGGGATCGTATTTGATTCCCATACACTGGTTAACACTTCCGTTAAACTGACTAAGAGCACTCTAACACCATCCTTGTTTACCTCAGGAGTTAGTCCGTCTGGTCCTGCCGCCCTTCCTCGTTTCAGGTTACCTACAACCTTCTCGACTTCTGCAAATGTTGGGGGGCATACTCAATGTTGCATTCAGGATCCGACTGGATAGTGGGTAACGCAAAGGTGGCTGGAAGCCAGTTAAACTGTTCCACGAAGTGTTCTGTCCATCTTTCCAGTCGTCTCCTCTACGAATGAATCGCAGACCTGCCCTTCTCCGCTACAGTCTCACTAACTGTTGTTGACTTCTCCCCTCCTCCCCCTCAGTTTCCTTAATCAGTTTAAATAACTGTCTGCTGTTATCGATCGCCGCCGCCTTTTCCATCTCTTTAACCTTCGCTGCCCACCGCTGTTCGTGATTATTGCGTAGACTTTTCATTAGTCTACTTTTAAGTTGAGCTCGCTCTTCATTGTACTCAGAGTCTGCAGGGATGCTTTCACGTGCATCCATTAGTTCGGAAGAAGCTGCTGATATCCACTGGCTCTTTTTAGCCACTTTTTCGGAGTCGGCTACAGTCTTCAACGCTGCTTTTACAGCAGACTGAAGATGGCACCAAGCTTCTTCTGGATGAAAGACAGTATTTTGTTCCGATGACTGCCTAGCCAACTTCTCACTGAACACAGCTTTGGTGTTTTTGTTCTCTGGCAGCACTCGTAGTGGTTTTGTTGCCAAATTTTTCCTACATCCATTGAGACGCAGGCACATACGCGCTAGGACTAACGCGTGGTCGCTATCCAAATACGTACTCCGGAATGAGCGGCAGTCTTCCACCGATCCTCTCCAGCGATGACTGATAGTAATGTGGTCTATCTGTGTCCATCGCTGAGTTGGGCTCGGTGGACGCCAGGTCAGACAATGCCTTTCTTTATGTCTGAAATTTGTGCTAACTAAAAATAGGCGGTTATCTGAGCACAGTTGTAGTAGGCCATCACCGTTATCTGTTCGTTCAACCGGGACTCCGAAAGTGCCACCCAATTGCCTTTCTGCCTCACTCAGTCTACCCACCTGTGCATTGAAGTCACCTGCAACAACCACTACGTCCGAACGTTTGGCTTTCGAGAGGAGGTTAGACAGTTTTCGGTAGAACCAACTTCATACGAACTGCAGTCAATGGGTGCGTAAGCAGAGATTACAAAGAGACAACGGCGAGTTTCACTATTCCTTTTAGTTCTCACTGTGCCATTCAGTTGGATAGCGCAGAGGCGACTATCAACTGGGATCCAGTCTAGTAGTGAGTTTTCTACCCTAGTGTTTAGTGCTATGACCACACGTGCAAGACCATAAGAGCTAGCTATCGAATCTGCAGAAACTCGGAGGGTGAATTTCGCGGATTCATCAGATTGGTCAGGAGAGGTCAGGTGAATAACCTCACTTGGGTCCTGTATGCGTGTCTTGCAAAAACAGCGCACATCCATGGCCTGAGTTGCTAGAGTCTTTGCCAACGAAGCCTGTTGACCAATTTGACGGAGGGTGCGGACATTGAAGGCTCCAATATGTAATTTGGAGCGTGGTTTAAGGAGACCTAGGATGCTGTTCTGTGGACCCAGATCGCTGTCGAAGGCTGCAGAGCTAGGAGAAATTGAAGATGATATAGTGTCGTTAATTGAGTGACATGAAGGAAGATTAGAAGGCAATGATGAGGGAAGGTGGATAACAGTCTGAAGAAACTTGAGTGCTGACAGAGTTGTGAGGGTGGTTGACAATTTCCGGCTGGCCACACCGTGGAAAGCTGTTTCTTCTTAAGGTACCTGGAAGAGATTTGTGTGACGGCAGAGCCCATCGGACATCTGCTTGAGGCCTGTCACAACCAGCCTTTTGTGTATGGTTGTTTTGAATTTTTGTATTTTTGGGGTGGGATGGTTGGAAAGAAACGACAAAATTAACCAACACCGCCACCCGGCAGACTGTGGGGTATGGTGCAGTGTGTTATTTTTAGGGCCTTCGTTTTCTAACCCCCCTTCCACTAAGAAGGCAGCATCAGCATGGCACTGCTGGTCATCCAAGGGAAACACCTTACTGCTATCACACCCCATCCAGCTAATAGCAGTATGACTTCGCCCTCAGATCCCATCATAGTGTAGTAGTTTACACTACAACGGTAACTGCTTTTCATGTAACCACTATCCGACAGACCTTTTTGGTATGCTAGAACCCCGAGGGAACAAGTGTCTCACCAGCATAGGTCGTTGTGTCATTGTGATATGCAGGCCCGACCACCAAGTCAAGGTAGCAGCTATCGGTTGGGTCCGGTTAGGTTCCCAAAGACGACATCGCACTGGTGGTTGGACAGGTGTATGACAGCAGTAAGTAAGGTGTTCCTCTCAAAATGAAAGCTGTATCGTGTTGACACTGTCCTCCTTATTGGAAGAGACCAGGACTAGGAAAGGTTGGTCGTGAAAGTACCACATTTCCCTACACCGTACAGTCTCTCAGTACTGGTGGTATGGACTTGTAGCGGTATTTGAGAGAAACAAAATAAAATCTTATACCACTTAAACGGTTATGTGATTTCCTATGTACTCTACAGTCATGCATCACCGTTACCAGCCCTTCTCCTTGAAACACTTCAACAAGAAAATACCACTCATGGTAAGGGCAGTTAGAAGGTATCATCCACCTCCCTAACCCAGTTAGAACTCAACTTCTTTTTAGATCGTTATCAACCTTCAATATTTTCTTCTTGTGACTTTATTTTACGTCTCTGCATAATCATCAAATTGTAACAGCTTAGTAGTCAAATTCCGGTGATGAAATAGCGCATTTTTGATATTGCCTTATTATGCTGTTCTAAGAAGTAGCGTTTTCGAAAGATAGAGAATCTACTTTTTTTAGTTTAAGTTGTTGGGGATGATGTTCATAGATCGCTGATTCTTGCCATTTAATGTACAGATATAAGTATTCAATCTGTCGTTCCTTTGGCCTGTTTACTCTTAGCAAATAAGAGCTTACTGCTTATTTAGTGTTCTTCGGGGATATAATCTTTTGGTTACACTAAATCGATTGGGTAGTGTGAAACTGAATGATCTAGCTAACAAACGTTAACTGAGTATATTGTTAATAACATGCTGCTGAAGTGCCTTGATGTCGGGAAACTTTCATAAATACAGAAAATGAACAGACTATCTCGAAAAGACAGTGAATAATGGTTGTTCTACTTGGTAATTTATGCTTTGCAGTGCTACGAGGATATCGAAAGACACCAGCTGACCTATGACTACTGGTGTACCACATGCACATTCGTACATGATGTGTATGCATCTGAACATGCAAAGTATTGAAAAAGTGTCAAAAAATAGTTGTGGGTTTTACAGTGTATAAGAACATTTCGTACACCATCCTGCATACATCTATTGCCTAATCAAGACTTTCTTATTGACTCCTAACACCTGACATCAAATTTAATGGATAGTGTTATCGTGTCACTCAGCTTGGTGGTCGAATTGGAAGTTTAATCTCCATACCATGATAAGCACAAAGGACTTGGAAAGTAGATTGGTAATCAACAACTTAACTGAAGGTGAATATTTTAACTTCATGACCTAGAGCAAAGCACTATGAATTATGGATATTTTTTGAAGTCTTAAGCAAAGCTTCAACAATCATTTAGGGTACATGTACATCTAGCTATTAAGTTTTGTTTCGGACAGAAGTAATTACCAGAACATGTAAGAAGAAACAAACATTTGTTTAATTTACGGTATTGCTTATCTGACTGGATCCGATGTACTATTTTGTCGAATCCGTTTAAACTATATTTGCTTTCTTATCTCTATTTGTTCTTTACATAGATGTCTATCATGGGCTTTCTTCTTGGCACAATGTGTACATCTATGTGTGAAGCTTCTTCAAACTATATAAAGGTTGATGATGAATATCATGTAGTTCCAATTGAAGATATATTCGGAAGGAACGAATTAAATCGTAATCGTAACAGATATATCATTAATAACATTTTAAATAAAGAAGAAACGGGTACACAGAAAATGAAGCAAAATATGAATGAATCTAACAACTCAGACATGGACATTTTGCAAAGAGTCAAGCTTATGTATGAAAAACGTGGTGTAAGTTTTGCAATGAAGTGGAGATTATTCTCTTTTCTTTTATCGACTAAATTCACCTTGTGGGTAACATTAATTGTTTTCTGTAAAAAGCGGAAAAGCAGTGATAAAAGTGAACTCTGAGTTGGATGAAGTGTTTGATTGAACGGGTGCATATGCAAATATAACCTCGCCTAGTTTACTAGTCAATAGCCGGCCCTAACCCGGAAAAGTGGGAAGTGTGGGCGTGGGGCTAGAAACCCTATCCTGGAAAGCCAATCCAACCGCAAAAGAAACTTCAAAGCACAGACGAAATATAAAAAATAGAAATAAATTTATTTATCACTGGATTCGGGGAAACGAAATGACGCCGGCTAGTGAAAGCCTTCAGGAAGCCAATTAGCTGATCTGCCTACTCTTCTCTCTATGAAAGAGAAAGTAAGCATGGGGACATGGAATGTCTGCACCGTATTTGAACCTAGCAAGGCTCCCAGATTTCAAAGGAGATAAGAAGGTAGCGCATTGAAGTGTCAGGAATTTGCGAGGAATCAGCAGATGGAATGGAAGTGGACTCTCCAAACTGTCAACTGGAGAATCAATAATCTACTCCGATATTGTCACCCAGACGGCAACCACGAGCACACTGAGTTTTGGAGTCGCTATCATGATGTCCCCAATAGCATCTAAGGCTCTCTCCCCATGCAGAGGGAACCGATCTCCTCCACGATGAGGATTATGATAGCAAGATTCAAATAAAAATGAAAGAAAGTTACAATCATATAATGCTACGCTATTAACCTTCAAAAAATGCAGATGAAGAGAAGAAGGAGGAATGCTGCAGACAACTGCAAGGAGTACTGAGCGCTTCTCGACCCATGGTTAGTTCTCTTCCTGTGTTGTCCTCTCCGAGTTTGACATTCATGTCTCCCCACCCACTGATATCTCCATCTTGGGTGGGGTCTTGTCCAGTGCTGATTGCAGTTGTCTGTAGAATCCCTCCTCCTCTTGTTATGCGTCTGCATTATTTGTAGGTGCACAGCATAGCATTGAATGATTGTGACCTCCTTTGCTTCTGAGTTGAATACATCTTGCTGTTATGATCCTGCGGGAGGAGATTTGTTCCCACTGCATGGGAGAGAGCCTTAGATGCTATTGGGGACATCATGATAGCGACTCCAAAACTCAGTGTGCTCGTGGTTGTCGTCTGGGTGACAGTAACAAAGTAGATTATTGACTCTCGAGTTGACAGTTTGGAGAGTCCACTTCCATTCCATCTGCTGATTCCTCGCAAATTCCTGACACTTCAATGCGCTACCTTCTTATCTCCTTTGAAATCTGGGAGCCTTGCTAGGTTCAAATACGGTGCAGACATTCCATATCCCCATGCTTACTTTCTCTTTCATAGAGAGAAGAGTAGGCAGATCAGCTAATTGCATTCCTGAAGGCTTTCACCAACCGGCGTCCTTTCGCTTCTCCGATTCCAGCAAGGAATAATTTTGTTTTTATTTTTTATATTTCGTCTGTGCTTTGAAGTTTCTTTTGCGGTTGGATTGGTTTTCCAGGATAGGGTTTCTAGCCGTATGCCCAACCTTCTCTCTTTACTGATGCTTAGGACCGGCTAGTAACTAGTGAACTAGTTAACCAGGTGAGGTTGCCCAACAAATATGCAGGTGAAGAAAGTGGAGATGGATTGGACTGGAGATACACTAAGAAGACCGATTGGGGACATCATTCACCAGACCAGGTGAGGTCATCGAGTGTAACCGAAATGTGAGAGGACGATTTGGGCGTCCGATGTGAGGGTGACATGGATGAGATAATGTGAGTAGGAAAGAAAGCTTGTTGGGAGTAGTGGAGCTATGTTGAAAAGACTGTGGAGAAGAGAGTGAAATGGTGACGTGCTACTGAAGCCCTATGTTCCACTAAGAACCCAAGGGACAAATATTGATAGAATAAAATTTGTAAATGCATTTTTTACTATCTTAGGTGATGAGTTATGTATTGTCTTGTCTGAATACATACGCATGTTTGAACGTAGGTTTCATTATTTTAGTCTTCCTTGACTGAGACCTATACATCTCAAGTTGACTTTCATCTAACATTTGAATGCGTCAAAATGTAGTTACGAAGATGGCATCAATACATGCAAGTTGTAGAGAAGTAATGGGGAATGCCAAGGAGCATAATACAGAGATTGAATGGTCTATTGAATCCCGGAGTGCAACATGAAATTCACCCCTTTATGGTGTTGTTTCAAAGTGATCAGTGGTATTCAATGAGCATAAAGAATTCTAACAAGATATTGGTTCCTGTTTAGTAACTAGTTCGTGTATTTGACGCACAAAAAATTATATTTAATTAAGTGAGTCTGAACGTAAGACCTCATTTTCCGTACATACACCTTGTATAATATTTTGTACATTGGTTGCCGTTATATACTTTCAAAATATTATTGTTACAAGTTATACAATTCCCTTCACTTTTTACTAGAATTTCAAATCTACCTCAATCGAATCTGTTCTGGAGGGATTTTATGCTTATCGTAAGCAGGTGAGGTAAATTTATTTGTTTTCAATATGACTATGTACTGTAATAATAAGTGGTATTCTTTCATTTTCATCATGGCCGAGACTCTCCTTTATTATTCAACTTGATCTAGAACTTGTTCGACTAGTGAGTAAGCGTAGAAAATGACTATTTTGTTTTTATTATATTGTACTCCATGTGACATTACACATAGTGGTAGGAGGTTGCTGGGGTATGAAACATATATCCGCAATATTCCCTTTGAATAAACATACTTTATGAAGAGGAAATGCTGCTCAAGTCACCGAATATAGTTATAAAATATTCTTAGTGCAAAACGACCTTCATTATCATCCTTAACTAATAATCTTCCGTAGTGATGAGAGAAATTTGTGCATCAGTATAAGCAGGATAGTGATTTGATGTTCTCTGAGCTTTGGTATTTCGTCGTGGACGTTTCAAAACAAGGCTTGATGACATCCTCAGCATTAACTTCATAAAGAGGGGAAGCAGATTCAAATGTTACATGAGTGTTTAAAAATGAAAACACTGTCTAAACATTCGTGCAGCATCTGAATATGCTTCTTTTTTTAAATAAAGTTAGTGCTGAAGATGTCAAGAATCTTGGTGATAAGACATCCACGACAAAATATCAAACCGCAGAGAACACCAAACTACCATAGGTTTTTGTATCATTGTATGATACTTTTTTGAAAAAGTTTAGCTTATTTGAAGGAATGATTACTTGAAGTATATTGAAAGTTAATCTCCTATGCATCAAATCATTGCACGTCGGAATACTCATGAATCGGATCATAACTTAGAAAAATAGTACATAATTATGTAGTTATATTTTATACACAGTGAGTTACGGGTATGCGACCTTAAGCTGAAGAGTTGTGTTTACTTAAATGCACTTGTTCATACCTTGGTGTTGTGACTTACAACATTCATCAATAGATATTGTGACCTTTTATATATCTTTCCATTACTTTGTCTTTTCTTCAGCTTCTACCTTCATGTGTTGATGTAAAATGTATCGAATTGAAGCAATGTAAAGATGTACAAGGCTGCATTATGTTAATTTAGTAGTCTGTGAATATACCTGAATAATCTAACTAACTAATCTTTTTTGGTTTATTTTGGACGATAGGTTGAAGCATGAATTAGAAAATTGAGAAAATTAACGTAGTACACCTGTAACTTCATCTGTAAAATTCTCTTCAGCCCACTCTTCATGAGCTATGTAGTGCTGCTTAGAATGGGTTTACATACAATCAGCAGTTCTGAGCTTTTGTGAGTTTATGAAATTCATGTTTAGCTAAGCGTTCCGGGAAACTGTTTAACGTTACCTCCTTCCAAAATATCGATGTGCAGTTGATTTCAGCAAAATGATTGAGAGAGAATGCAAAAGTAAATTGCGTACTTCAGTGGACCATTACTTTAGGTGGCGATGATTAACTCGTTAATTCATTAACAATGGAATTTCATTATTGCATTTCTTACCTTGGATTGTGAATTTTTGAACCTGAACAGTTGTGTTTAAGTTTTTATCTCCGGCATTGAACGATGTAGATTGGAACCACCAAGGAAATACCAGTTTCTTGATGCTTGCAGGTAGGCTTTGCTGATGAGAGATAACAAGCATTAAACCTTAGTCCACAGCCTTCTGGTAATTGACTTACATCATCTAGCACCGAATTCCAGTGCACTGCGGTGTGCTCAGCCATTATCAGATGTTCCTTGAGCTCTGGGTCACGCATCACTGTTACCAACCCTTATCCTTCAAACAATTCAGTGAGAGATTACCACTCACAATATGGACAACCAGAAGGTGTCAGGCACCTCCACAACTCAGAACCCAACCTCCTTCAGATCATTATCAACCTTCAATGTATTCACCTTCTAACCTTTCTTCACGTCTCTGGGTCAATATCCCTACACAATCACTAGATTGAATTTGAGGGGTTTATGGGGATTCAGAGATATTTCAAGTTGGCAGTCATCGCAGACTGACATCAGTTGGAGGAACAATGGAAACCTACGAACACTGGACAGCTGTTCCGTCCAGCAGTGCGCATCCACGACCCCACCAGGGATCGGACCCGCCGCCTTCAGGTTTCGTGGCCAGCACGTTACCATTGAGCCCCTGGTCTGAATCCAATGCTCCATATTTCCAACTTCTGTCGTTTCACGACAGCGCGACCACCACCTAATGTTATCGTTGAATATTTGTCCTCACGGCCACCAGGTTTGCCCCACTGGTCACGACTTCTCACTGGAACTTTGGGAGTCACCTCTCGAAGCTAGTCCCCAATGAGCACTAGTTCAGTTGAATTTGAGGGGTTTGTGGATATGCGTTCACAGAACAGCATCACTAGTCTCTTGAAACCAAGCTGTAAACTACACATTGGGGCTTTCAATGTCCATAGCCTCCGTCGAATCAGCCAACAAGCTATGCTAACTAAATCTAGCATCTCGAGCGATTGATGTGTGCTGTGAGAGTCATTTATGATCGTCTGATTATCTCAGTCTTCAAGAGAGGTGAGAAATCCTCTTCCGATAACCACGAATGTAGTGCTTCTAAGTGAAACTCTTGAGCAGAAAACCCGAGAAAAACAGATAGGCTTTATACCTGACTATGAGTGTATCAACCAGATATTCATACTCCGTCAAGTCCTGGAACAAAGGCATAATTACCGACACCCGACACTAGCTGCATTTCTCAACCTGAAGGCGACTTCTGACTCCGTCGGTCGATCGAGGGGTCTTATGGCAGTGTCTCTCAATGAAAGTAGTGTCAAGTAAGTACATCAGTCTTTTGAAGGCTGTGTCTTCGAACACCCGTGGGCATGTTACAACCGATGGTGAGCTAACAGATGAGTTTTGTACGTAGAGTGGTGTGTATCAGGGATGTTCTCTCTCTCTCTTTCTATTCTTATTCAACTTTATCATAGACATAGTCATGGAGGTCTCCCTCTTGTTGTTTGATTGTACAAGGATTGACCCAATCACAGGAGAATCCTCATTCGATGCGAAGTACGCTGTTAACATAACCTTTTTAGGTGAGAACGCTGACAAGATGCAGTCTTCTGGACACCTTCAGTAACATTCTGAAGAATGCTTGGAAGGTGTTTCTTACTACAAAATGCAAATTGTTGCTCCAGAACTGATATTCACTCGTGCCCCATCCATCAACAGGGAGTTATTTGGTTGAGTGCATTGATCACTTCACTTCACCTACCTGCGAGGATGAACCATCCTTGGTGGGTCAGTGACCGACGAATTCCATGAACGGATACAAAGGGTCCGACTGGCTTCCGCCTACTTACGCCATCTATAGCGCCGTCGTGAAATCCGACTGTCTATCAAGATTCAAGAGTATTGCGCTGCAGTACACTTTGTCCTACTTTACAACTGGGAAACCCGACCATTAAAGCTAGAGGAAATGAGGAGACTTCAGGTGTTTGACTACTGTAGCCTTAGTAGCCTAGGCCGCGTTTCGTAGTGTCACCACCACGTAAGTAACGTAGAAGTCAGGTGTAGTTTTAGGTAGAAGAGGCGAGTCAGTCAGACTTTATTGATTGAGGCGGTTGGGACGTGTTACTCATAACTAGTCACCGTGTATCTCGTCGCAAAATGTCGGCTGAATTAGGTTTAGTATGGAAAGAGGTTATTGTTGGCCACACTAAAATATGGCATCAGAGCATGAAGTCTCTGACCGTTGGTCAGAGCCATGTAAAGAAATATAGACTTTGAGGTTTATTTCAACGTGACAACATAAACAGGTGATTGGAGAGTTTATGTAATATGGTTCGGAATCAATGTGGGTGGTGCAGATATTTCTTCATCATAATTGTCATACCGGAATTCAGCATCCCGCCATTACTCTTTGCTCTTTTTTAATGATTTTCTATTACTTTTGACTGTTTTCTTCATTTCTAAATTTTTCAACCTGATGCATTCTCGCTTGATATGCTGATATGAGGTGTAGTTAACTGAACTGTTATGCCGTAAATCCAATTACCATTTTGTTATTGTCTGTTTATCTAGTTTCCCTCCTGCAGCTGCTTGCTATTCAATGGTTTTTTTGTCTTGTATGTTTCAGTTTGACAAAATTGTTGTCTTTGGGGATTGTCATAGACATATCGTTGATTATGTTTTCAATTATCGTACACACATTGGCCCTATAAAAGCTATTTGGGGCAATTTAAGCGGTGAGGACGAATGGTAAGAAGTGTTATTCGTCTCATTTTGATTCATTTGTGTGTTTGTTTTTTTTTTGCTTTTCTATGTTAAGTAGATGTTGGTACAAGGGTTGTTGCTCATTTATCTGGGTACTGAACTTTGCAAAATTGTTTCACAGTTTGGAAAGCCGTTACACCTGCCGACGTTTATGCAGCTATTTAGTGTGACGAGGATCGATAAAATGGTTGTGGCTCATGAACGTGTGCTTGGTTGCTGAGACCCATTTTCTTTAACATTCTGATTGGGTGGAATGAATCTTTCTGTGGATTACAGGGCCATCACAATGCATGTTTCTACTCTTAGGTTTAAATTTTTTGAGAAACGTTCACTTTCATGATTTTCAGTTTATTTTGCTTTCTCGCAAGCTTACGTCTTAAAATAGACTATATTGGATTGATTATATCGTTGAAGATAGCTAACAATATCGACAAAATTAGTATATTTCTAGCTTTCAGCATGCCTCGATGCAATCAGTGAAATAAATGCGAACATGAAGGATGTGCTACTTATCATCACAAATGGCATTTGCGTTGAGGACATCTTCCACATTCTCTATACAGATTGCTTATCTAAAGAATCCTATAAGGAGTCAAACAAATTTCGCAACTTATGAAACTATGATGTCATAGAATAACAACAGTTGAACACCATAAAAGTGAATGTTTATGTCAGTTGTTCCAGGCATTAAAAGCGTAGTAATGAATAAGTTTTCATTGAGATCCCATGCGAAACGGACTAGTTTTTCCGAACAAGAATGCATTGGAGTGGTCTTATTGTCACTGCAGAGCAGTTTATTGATAACTATTCTCATAGCTCTCTGAAAGTATCTAAAAGGCTATCTGTAATGTATGTGTTGTAATAAGGAAAGTGAATTTGCATGTTGACAATGTCCAAAGACAACTAACGTTAAAATTAAGCTTGTGGATATGCAACTGTAAGGTAAGAACCTTGATTCCGGATTCAATCATGTGGTTATCAATGTCTAAACACTGAAATTCAAAATTGCATTCATTAGGATATGTTTTACTGTTAAGACCGTTAATTAGCTATGTTCAACAGTATGACTGGAAATATGAGTTTATTGTTAAATATGATTTCCATTTTTACCCTTGCGAATTATTTTTGTGAAGACGTTTTGAATTGTTGAATATTTCATTATCAGTGGGATACTTTGGACTATGAACATGAATATACCATACTTATCTGTGTAATATGCAGAATATCTAGTTCTTAAGTTGACTATGAAGTGCCGTAAAGATTGCTGATATGAATTTTTGAATATGATCTTTTCCAACAGAAATGTTTTTTATTATATGTGTATTTTCTGATTAGGATGATCTTTGTGTTTTTGTGGAATATTCAATTGGTTTATCTGTGGAGTAAGATTACAGTCTTCATTTCAAAGTTCATTCCATATTGAAATTAATTCACAAACTTCATATTAATTAACACTTAAAATATAAACATAACATCTTATGCGATTGTTCTGTTTTAGGCCAACATCATGTCATAAAAGTGGGTGGGTTGAATTCAAAGGATGTACAGATCAAATACTCCGATATATTGCAGATGCAAATGAAGACAAACTAGTTGGACGTGTCGAGAAAATTGACGAATTGTATGGATTAATTACTAATACTTCATACCAACTTAACATTGAATGTGAACAAGATACGAATAATAGAGTCTTATCTAAACGTGATTATATTAAATCAGCGTAAGTATTTGTTTCAATTCACTCAACATTAAATTTAGCTGTTTATTCTTTAAAACGAAGTCGTTGAACTCCTAAACCTTCTGGAATTTATATAAATTAAGAGTTAAATAGCCTGTTAACTTCTAATATTTCAAAATTCATTCTATCACATTTGTTGTCGAATAAATTAACTTACTCATTGATTGTAAACTGTGACTTAAAAGGCCATCCTACCAACAACTAAAATAACCAATCAGACTTTTCTATTTTATGCAAATTTGACTTTCCAGCCGAAATGAAGAAGCCTAATTGGTTGTTTCGATCGTTGCTAGGGTGACCTTCTAAGTCAATCATTGTAGTTAACTAACTCATAAATACAGAGTTTTTCTGTGTGAATGCATATTCATTCTATGCACGAAAAAATTAACTAGATTTCAATTAAGGTTGAGAAACAGTTTTTGACGAGTTTAAGTGGGATCGCACGAGTATTGTTATTTTCTGCTTATATCTGTACTTGGTTTTGTTTTTTACGCTAGAGGAGATCACATGGAATTTTTAAAAAAAGATCTGAATTTCTCAGCGCCAAGCCTAAATGTTGTGAAAGCTTAAATGTTTGGAGATTGAAGGAATTATCTCCCAGATGCTCTTATCTAAGTTTCAAAATTCAACTGTTTTGAAGGCATTTGTGTACATTTATATCAACTATGATCAACATTTCATCGAGTAATATCGCAGGTATTTAACGCTGACCAAAAAAAATTAACATCAGAAATAATTTATGTTTGTATACATGTTTACTTAGTCTTTATTGCAGGGCCCGATAAGCATCCGTGTGTGTATCAATGGTAATAATAATATTAAAATATCTGTCGGTGTGTTTCTCACTTACTTCACATCAAGCTATAAAGTTTCGATTCCGAAGATGTCTCAAGCTGAAAGCCATCAAAGTAGTTCGTGATAGACGGCCGCAGTTCAAGTTCAACACCCAGAACACAAACTGAACTGAAGGACGAAACTCCAACCGACATCTTCACGTCAGTCACTGGTCGGGACAAAATGCAAGAGATTAACCAACATCCCTCAAGGGTTGGGCATGGAAGAAAGCTGGAACTCTTTGAAAGAGATGTAGAAGGAAACCTGGATGACTGTGTTAGAAAGGAAGAAAAAGAGGCAAAACAAGGAGTGGATCTCGACGGACTCATGGAAGCTGATAGAACAGGGAGAGGAAGATGGTGATGGTAAAGCAGAAGATGAACCAGTGCAGTGCAGTACATGGATGAACAACAAAAAGAGGAAGTGAGTACAACCTATGAAACACTACACTAGACAAATAAGTGAAGAAGAGTGCACACAAAGACAAAAGACACTTTCACGACACACTTGCAAGTGAAGCAGAACAGGCTGAGGGCTGGTAGGAGAGACTTGACAACACTATATCAGATAACCAGGTTACTATCTGTTAGGGAAGAGGTGAAGCCAGAGGAAACCAATGAGAGATAGTGAAGGAAACTTAGTTACCACCAAAGAGAAGAAACAAACGAAAGGATGGACTGAGCACTTCAGAAAACTCTTGGATCAACTACCACTACCACTGCCACCATCACCACCACCTGTAACTCGTCCAGAAATATCACCAGTAGCCGAGCCACAGGACTATCAGTGAACACAAGCCCTCCAACAAAAGCAGAAGTCAAGTTATGAACTCCACGCCATTAAGTCGCTGAAATCCGAGAAAGCAGCAGGACGAGATAGAATTCCTCTAGAAGCACTAAAAACAGACACAGAGACCACAGCCGACACACTGACAGCACTGCTACAGAAGGTGTGGAAGAGGGAAGGAAGGAAGGAAGGAAGGAAGGAAGGGAAGTTACTTGCTCACTGATTGGAAGAAGGCCTACCTTGTCAAACTTCACCAGATGGGAGACGTAAGTCTTTGCAATAACTGAGGTGGGATCATGCAGGTGTCCCTGTCCACTCGAAACAAAATCCTAAGCTATATCATACTGGAGAGATTGAAAGGTGCTCTGGATTGAAATGGATTACGACGGGAACAGGCCGGTTGACTGGCTGGCTTCAGGAAGAACAAATCATGTGTAGATCAAATATCAAGGCTACACTACGCAACGCATCATCATAGAACAGAGCATAGAATGGCAGAATGGCAACTCAACTCCACCTCAACTTCATCGACTCTGAAAAGGCCTTCGATAGCGTGGATCGAGAAATAATTTGGCAGGTGTTTCAATACTACGGTTTCAGGGCCACAAACCTCTATCAATCTCATTCAACAGCTATATGATGCTAGATGCCAAGTGATTGTTGATGGCAAGATCAGTGATGCCTTTCAAGCGAAGTGAAGACAAGAAGGAGTAAGACAAGACAAGGCTGTCTACTATCACTCACCGACGATCTTCATGATTGTGGTCGACTGGACTGGACAGGACTGGATTGGATCATGCAACAGACAACTGTGAGGAGGGAGAAGATGGGCATACTCTGTCTGACAGATGAAAAGACACTAGATGATTTGGACTTCACCAATGATGATTTATGTCTGATGTCTTGTCACACAAACTCGAAGATGTACAGGCAAAAACCAACAAGTTGAGAGCAGAGGCAGGACAGGGAAGGTGGGACTTCAAGTGAATGTAGAGAAGACAGAGGTGATGAAGATATCCAACGAATGATGACAACTATAACAAGAAGTACCAATCACCATGAACGGGAGGAAGCTGAAGGAAGTTGTTTGTTTCAGCTACCTACCTAGGTGGGCAGGATCGTTTCAACTACAGGCGGCGGTGACGGTGACGGTGGTGGTGGTGGTGGCGGCTGCACAGATGAGGATGTCAAAGTAGCCAGGATCGGAAAGACATCAAGACAGGCTTTCATTAACCTGAAATAATCAGTGTATAGATCTACTGCACTGCACTGCACTGCAGTACACTGCACTGAGGATAAAGCGTGAACAGGATCCGCATTTTCAACACTAATATCAGTCAAGTAAGTCAGTGGTTTTATGTGATGGTTGAGAGACTTGGGACGTTACGAAAAGTATTTCCAACAAACTGCAGATGTATGTCAACCGCTGTCGCCTACCCTGGTTCGATACTGAAGATCAGATGGATGGCCATATAGACTAAGCAACAAGGAACTCTGGCAACGAACTTGTCTCCCAATAAATATGCAGGTGAAGAAAGAGGAGATGGATTGGACTGGAGATACACTGAGAAGATCGATTGGGGACATCACGCACCAGACCATGTGAGGTCATTGAGTGTAACCGAAATGTGAGAGGACGATTTGGGCGTCTGATGTGAGGGTGACATGGATGAGATAATGTGAGTAGGAAAGAAAGCTTGTTGGGAGTAGTGGAGCTAGGTTGAAAAGACTGTGGAGAAGAGAGTGAAATGGTGACGTGCTACTGAAGCCCTATATTCCACTAAGAACCCAAGGGACAAATAATAATAATCTGTTGGTAAAGACTGTTTTGGAAATGATATTTTCTCTTTCTCACTATTTCGGAACTAACCTAGTTGATAATGTGATGGCTGTTGACAAATGACTTTGCATGCTGTTTTTGGAAGTAGTGCCATGTTTCCCGAGTTTTCATGTTGGCATTGTAATTTTATTGGGTAAAAAAAATCTATTCTCGAGATCTATTCACTTTTTTTAAACATTAAGCTGGGTGTGCCCACTGACGTTTGCGGATATTTCTAGGATACTTCTTTTTTTGCCTTTTTGGTTTTACTCATGTGACAAAATTGCAGGTTTATTTACTATTGTTATTGTTATTTTTTTTAATGTAGATGGAATTGTTGTCAAGTGTTTGTTTCATCTACATTTCGTGATATGTATGGGGAACGTGATCTACTATGCGGTATACTTATCCCTGCTTTACGTCGAAATGTTGCAATACCTTTACGAGTTCACTTGAATGAGATCGACTTACGCTGGGGAGTTCCGGAAGCGGCTACCTGCAGTTCATGTGCCCTGCAGATATGCTTGGAACAAGCAGCTGCATCTGATATATTCGTGTTATTACTGGGAGATCGGTAATACTTCTTTTTATATTCATATCGCTTGTTATAATGATGATTAGTATACTGTAAAAACGTCTGAGTAATTTTTATCTTTTATACTTAGGGATACGCAATTGCATGTAGTAGTCATCTTTACCCATTTGATTACCATTCGGTTAGTAATTGTATGTGATGGTACCTGGAATTTTTTTAGGTTCTTAACTATGTATGCTGAGTTTTGTCTTGAAGATCTTTTGCGTGGAGAGCTGTTGTTTTATGTCCTTGAAATATAATTTCTCACTACTGGTTTGTGGATTTCAATCGATTCCATGTGTTTTAATCTTAGAAATTAGATAGTATTGTTCTTTCGCGCAGAATAATATGGCCTACAGTTAAGGACATAAACCTTCAGTTGAATAAAGTCTCTTCATTCCTCATCGTATACAAACTCATAAAATTTAAGTTAATTGCAAGATGCTGAGAATTATCTTGTTATTGTTAGGCCACTGAACTTAATAAATCAGTCATACTTGACAAATAATTCACTTTTTAAGATAACCAAAATGTCTGCATGAGTCATGTTTGGCTTGTATTTATGATAGCTAATGATTATTTGTAAATTAAGTTTTGCGTCATTTGTAAGCTCATTTTCTTATCACATATACACCATATTGTTTGTTAATGATACAAGTAAAACTTGAATGTATCACATTTCAATTCAAATATGTATAAATACAATCCATTGGACGACTGATAAGTCTCATTTACTACTAAATACACTTGAAAGACTTCCTTTTAATCATAGCTCGTAAAATAATTTATATGATTTTATGCCAATCAAGTTAGTTAAACTCAAAGTTACTATTCAGTCTACGAATTCATAATAATATATCTATCTTCAAAGGGCATCCTTGTTTTCATTCTATTGTTAGTACTCAGCAGAGAGATCATTATGCTGAGGTTTAAATGAGATACTGCACTACGATGACAACTTCGTTTGAAACTTTGAACATATATATGACATCTTTCGTAGGCGTTGGCCAACTTATCCTTTTAGTGAAATGCTGAATTCGGTTGACACCAGCAAATATTTACTTTAATATGCTATAACTCAGAATAAGACGGTTCAGTATATATCCATGTTTTGTTCAATATTCAAGCGATTCGCTGGGACATTGAGATCGTCATATTCATATATGATCTTTTTTATTGTTTAGCTATGGCTGGGTACCAAACGATGATCAGATTCAAAATTTACCCAAACCGTTACTGACCGAAGTGAGTAAATTCTACAAACGTGGTATGTCTATGACTGAGATGGAATATCATATTGCCAAGCAAGCTGCAATGTCTAAGGTCCCCTTACGTGAAAGACGACATGGTACAATTAGTTTTCAGGAAGCAGTTCGTCGCCGAATTTGTGTTTTCATTAGAGATTCAAAATCTGTAAGGTAAGCAGGTTTGATGGAGTACAATAAGGTCATTTTCATTTCGTTACTTATCCTTTTCGGTTAAACCTTGATTATTATTGAAGAACCAGTGTTTCTCAGGGGTGGAGCTATGGCTCATTGGTTTAAGGAGATAACTTTCACCCGATGGGTCGTAGGTTCGAGCCCCGCTCCATCAACGGAGGTTTGGGCTGCTAAGTAGGAAGTATCACTAGCCGTCACATAATAGGTGCGGCTTCCTGCCTGCTGCTTGAGTGAACACAAGGCTGCTGAGTGCATTTCGAGTTCCATATCTTTTATCAAGATAATATCAACATTAGACTTTCTATTACTGTCTAACTGACAATTTATCTCACTTCTCATCAGCACACTAATTTGCATGAAAAGAGATGGAGAAGCAGACGAAATATCATCAAATATTGTGGAAAGTCACAAGAAGAGAAGGAGAGGCGTTACGTCAAATGATGAAATGTGATATGACGATTAGGATAAGGATAATGCATATGTTTTACAAATCTTAGTCAAAACTTCCGGTAAAATAAACCCAGTATACCTGAATCCACAGGAAACAATAAGCAAGAATAAGCACTAGAACATTCTACCGATTCTAAACTTCAGAATAACTGAACTCATGTGATGTCTAGTGAGTTCGGAATTCACCCCAAAACTGATGATGAGTACATTTTTGCAATGATCGACGGTGTATATAATGCAAGTCCACCTACAACTTGTGTTTGCGAAGTAGGTAATCAACATTCATCCATTCATTCTTTTCGATGACAAAGTCAAGTGAGTATTGCAAAACTTAGTTCTTTCCCAAAGTATTATCTGATGAACAAAGAATATTCTTTTCGTTAACGGACTTCCTTAGGTTCGACTGTTGCATATTTATATTGATTATCAGTTTGATTATCTGAGATAGCGGTTGTTCGGCAGACTTGTATTGATACTGGATGATGATTGAAAATGAAAGAAAAATCTGAGCCGTGGTAGGATTTGAACCGATATAATAATGATAATAATAATAGTTTTATTCTGAAAGTCAGAATCGGAAAAGCAAGACAGGCGTTCATAAGCCTAAAACCAGTGTGGAGATCTTCTGCACTCAGCATGTGGAACAACATCCGGATTTTCAACACCAACGTCGAATCAGTGCTCCTGTATGGTTCAGAGACTTGGCGCGTTACGAAGGGTATCTCCAACAAACTACAGACATTCATCAACAACTGCCTACGCTGGCTCGTTACTGAAGATCAGATGGCCAGAATAATAAGAATAAGCAACGAGGAACTCTGGCTGGCTGGCTGGCAACGAACCAAGCAAGAACCTATCGCTCAAAAAACATGCAGAAGGAAGTGGAGATGGATTGGGCATACACTGAGAAGGCCGCCTGGGGACATCACGCTCCAGGCCAGGTACTCGGATTGACCCCCGATGGGAAGCGATGAGTTGAGCATCCAAGTTGAGGGTGACATGGAGGAGATGGTGTGAGGAGGAAATGAGAGCTTGGGGGCGGTGGTGGAGTCAGGTTGAAACGATTTCAGAGAAGAGAGTGGAATGGAGACGTGCTACTGAATCTCTATGTTCCATTAAGAACCCAAGGAACAAATAAAAATAAAAATAATATTTCGGGAATACTTTGCAGAATTTTCAGCACGTCGTGTATAGCATCAATTTGATAGAGACAATAAATATGTATGTATAGCAAAATGAACATAAGTAGAAATTACATCAGGAAAAGAATAAAATATTCACTCTGTCTACAACATCTTCAAAATGCACAGTCAGTTTAGGTATACAATCACATTAGCAATTTGGTTCATAATCCGTAAAAAGTAATACGCTCATCTTCGTTTAGTTTGCTTTCAAAAACAGAAGTTGATTTGTTAGTTCATTTCTAATACTTTCTTCATCACACACGCAGACGAGCGAAATACGGTATCGTAGAGTTTTTATATTTTTTTAGTACGTGCATAGAGTCTTATGTACTTGCTCCTCGTCTTTCCAGATGACCGACACGTAGAGGGCTTCGAGTGAAGAGAATGTTGGTCATCTGATAAAATAACTCCTGCCAGATGTTTACACGAGTTAATATGTTTGTCTACAACAGTTTTAACTAAAAGGTCAAAGAGTACACCACTAGTTCTGCCGACAATCTTCAAAGCTCTACGCAATATTGCATAGTCTTTTTTCAGCAACCCAGGAAAATATAAAGGGAAACAATAGAGGAGGATAGGCAAGACTCAGGAGTTTATAAAACGTAAGAGAAGAGGCTGAGTAATACCGGATACTCTCAGCTTCCTAATATAGAAAGTTAGGCGAAAAATTCTTTTGGAAATTAGTGAGATGTGAGAAGACCAGGAAAGGTCCGAAGAAAAACACAATCCAAGAAAAATCACATTTTTAACCTTCTCTAATGCGCAACTATCAATAGAACAGGAATCTTGAGAACTAAGTGGTTTACGTAAGTTATGTTCACGTCTTAAACTAAAGTTTATGGTCTGACATTTTGAAAAATTAAGCATAAGATCATTCTTGAAGGACCATCGTCTAACATTGGATAGGAAGTGATTCAGTCGGGAGCAATCTGCTGAAAGGGAGATAGGTATGAAAACTGTTAGGTCATCAGCGTACTTAATGAAATTGATACCAACTGAAGATGGTAGGTCATGCAGAAAAAATGAGAAAAGACATGGGGAATGGATGTCCTCTTGGGGAACTCCAGTCACAGTAAGCAATGAGGTGGAGCGCTTCCTTCTGTGAACAGTATGTTATTTTCTATCAGAGAAATAGAAATGCAGCCAGCTGATTATCCAGGACTCAATATTTGTCCTGGTAAGCCTGTCCAGCAAAAGAGGTCTTATAAAAGAGTCAAATGCCCAAGTATAGTCTAAAAAGGCACACCCGACATACTTGGCATTTTTATCAAGACTATAGGTAATATCGTTATATATGAGAGTGGTGACATCCAAAGTACTTCTGCTTTTACATGCAAATTGACAAGGGTCTCCGAAAGCCTTCAGTGAGGGTTCGAGCACAGGTATTATAAGCTTCTCCATTATTTTTAAGAACGGAGATGTAGCCGCAATCGGACGGTATTTTGTGCATGTACCTGGAGTCCTAAACTTAAGTACGGGGACTATCTTAATATCTTTCCAGGCAACTGATATAGTGTTTTGTAAAAACGATCTGTTGAACATGTTAGCTAATGGATAGCATAGAATATCAGCATATTTCGTGAGTACGAAACTTGACATACCATCCGGACCTGAACTGTGAGAAGGGTTTAGGGATTTGAGATATTTGAAAACATCGTTCGTGATAAACTCTGGACAACGTTCTTCATTGGACATAGGTAGACATAGCGGGATCGAACAAGTGGGTTGACGTAAAAATGATTTGTTCAAGGCACAGACATCGACATAAGGTTCTTTGCTAGGGTGTTTACTTCCAGTGAGTTCTTTAAAAAGGTTCCACATGCTGGAAGAACCTTTGCATGACAAAAGTTTCTGGTTGTATAGTAGACTCAGACGTTTAATTTCCAACCTAAGTAAAACGTCCAATCGACGAACACCAGCATTATCACTTACTTTATATGATCTTTCTTTTTCTCTTCTTATTTTCTTAAGGTGGGTATAGGACACACGATTGAAGCGTAGAAAAAACTTTTCACTAGGACAACATATATCTAGGCAGAACTTGAGATAGCATGTTACACCATCAATAGTATCACTCAAATCATCGCTGTCAAATATATTCCAGTCTGTACATTGAAGCATTTCTCTTAGATTAAATATAATACTCAGTGAATAGTTTCTATGTACAATCTTCTCACATGTGAAAACTGTTTTGTGAAGTTTGCCATATAGTTTGGACAAAACACGTATAATACAATGATCTAAGCTGAGCAGTGGGGATCTCTTTCGAGTTCCGTATATATCAGTATCATTGACAAATACCAAGTCTCGTGTTGCATTCTGACGTGTTGTGAAGTTGATGACCAAGAGTTTTGAGAAAGCTTTGGTCACAGAAGTCGAAATCGCCACATATTATCGACAGGGAACCACAGAGTGCGGGGGCTGCGAATTCCCTGAATATATGAGAGAAACTGGATAGTTCGGAGAAACTGCAACCAGGCGTTACATAAATATTTATTTTATAAATAAAGTCATGTTTGTCCAAACGTTTTGGGTAGCATTTTACAGTGATGCAGTCTATGTGGTCATGAGAGAATTTGAAGCAAATGTAACTCGAAATGCACCAATGGGTATTGATGAAGATAGCTACTCCGCCTCCGCTTTTCTTAGTAGAGTTACATTGATCTTGAGGGAAAATTTTGAAATCATTCAGAGAAATCAAATTGTCATCATACAGTTCATGTAACCAAGTTTCTTGCAGTATAGTTACTCCAGTATTACGGTATACATCGGAGGATAAAAGAGATTGTAAGTAATCTATTTTTCACTGCAGCGATCTGTATTTTGTGCTTATAATTTCAGGCAGGGTCATTTGAGATAAGGTTATTCGCTCCAAAGCTCGTTGCCATCCGCCGTGATGCTTTTTCCTCATCTTATGTGATACTATCATCGCAGAAGGCCGTAAGCTTTTTAAAAATGTGCGTGAATATATGATGCGATCAGGGGATATAATAGAATGATTAAAACGAAACAATCTGTTGAAAATTTGATGCAATATGATAGATGGAAAATTTAGTATCCCAAATATTCAAGCAGGTCGCTGATAATGACGCTTCCCTTCTCTGTTTTAAGCATTTGCGTAAGGCTTGCTGGTAGTTGTAAACAACCAAATCATAAAAGATCTTAGACGATCTAACAAGGATCGTATGTTTGACATTAACAATATTCACCTTTGTTATAACTGGCATGTTAACGACATCTTGAAGACATAGTTCGCTCTATACGTACACTCTCTTCATGCTAACCTAACAATCTACGGCGAGTCCACCTTACGCCGGCATATTGTGTGACAGTTGTTCATTGAAAGCAAAGAGAAATGAGGAAGAAAGTATTGAAAATTCATAAAAAACCTTAAGAAAACGAGGGACTGTGAAGCAACTAAAAGTGTATTATATGCCTGCCAGGAATTAGATAATCCATGAATTCATCAGCGCTACCTCGCTTAACTATGAATCACTTCACCTAGTCACCAGTAACTTTTCCATAGTCAGAAATATTTCAACCTAAAAGCCTTTGTTTTTCTATGTGGCTCAAACCAACAGTCAAAGACTTCATGAACTAGTTCCAAGTTTTAGTTTGATCACCCTCACTCTTTTCAGATATTCCCCACTTTAGCCTACATATGACGTTGAAGTAAATGGTAACTAGTCAGTTATGTGTGAGCCATCTACTAAACACATAATTCAGTGAAATTTCATAACTTCATCAACTGAATTACTTCTCTTGCTTGAGATTTTTCGCCTTATTTCCACACTATTCATGTTGTGTTTCGAAAGCATAGGTAGTCAATTTTTTTTGGGGAATTTAGGATTTTGATTGATATAGTCAAGCTTTATTAGGTTTGTTCAATTATTGATTACATATCTGAGATAATTACTGTCTATTGATGCAACACGGTTACTATTGATGGGCAACATATCAGTGCGATGATTGTTTTTACCTTTACCTACGAATAAACAAGACTTCATTCTTCACAAAGTCAGTTATCTTAAGAACCATGTATAGTAGTCACCAACTAGAAAGAAATTGACTTTACAATGGATAATATGTATGTATATACGACGTATACATACTTTAATGTATAATGTAACTCATTCCAGTACATGTTGTGTGATGACTTATGATGCCACTTTGCAGTTAAGGCCGAAGTAGATTGAAGAGGCGTTCAAACACAGGACACATTGCTTGGAAGTTCAGTTCTTAAACCGATATACCTTATTTCCATGAATAATGCATACGTTTGTACCATTCTACAATATTTCCATTGTATTTGTTTCAATTAACTATTCTTCCCAATTTTTCATTTGTTTTCAGAGGTGTACCAATCGAATTAAGAAGTGAATTTGAGGAAGCCGATATAGAAAAACGTGATCGTCTTAACTCCTTCAAAGAGTTAATTCGAAATGATGGGGTTATTGTTTTTCACGAGTAAGCCAATTAGATCGAATTAGTTTCTTGATAGTTACAGTTTTTCTGTTTTGCTACTAATTCTTCCCGTTGTGTAAATTTGGTGAGAAATGAACTTTTATTCTTGTACAACTGTTGGTGTGAGCGTATTAGTGAGAGGAATACGATTGTAAACTACTCGAACTGCATGCATAGTGTAGTTAGCATTCGTTCATCGATTTGTTATGGCTTTACCACAACTTTTCTAGTGTGTTTCATCAATGGTCTGACTTTGAAACTGTTTCTTAAAGATATATTTCTCATCTGTATGACTTTGTTCTCTGTTCCAGTTAGACAGCATAATAGTTCACTTTGTGACTGATCGTCAGGTAGACGAAGGCTTATATACCCTTTGTACCTTGACCGTGTCTAATAAAATTAGTAATTATATTTTGTTGAATGTCTGCTGGCTTTTGAACCAGTCAAATTTAGCATAAACATTTACCACTCAAGATTCTTTTGTAACTACGAGTTTATTTTTAAAAACTTCTTAATCAGGTGTTTCGGTTTTCGAATGGTGGGTTTTTTGATCTAATGAATGCTAAACTAAACTGTCGTTTTTGTCATAATGACTTAGCTAGCTAAACATTCTCAAATAATTACTCTAATACTTAGTGTGCCCTTAGGATTTCCGATAAACTATTTGTTTCATGCATAGTTGTTTTTTTGAAGATCGCGTGAACTTGCAAATCACTTACGGATTGGATGATTTATGTCACTATGTTTCACACTGGAGCAGTTTTACAAATGCTCATATTTGATTATGACAGAATTTTGTTGAACACAATCCAGTCAATGTTGACTATGATCTCTGACCAAGCGTGTCATCAATTATTGAAATACACTACCAAACCAAAAACGTATTTAGGTTCAGTACAGTTGAGACAAATTTCTGACGCCTAGATCACTGACCTTTAGTTCAGTGTCGCAAGTCACTAACTACTTGCCTAGTTTGTTAACTCAAACATACATATTTAGTGTGGTGAAGAATCTATCCGTACTACGTATCCATGATGCGCTTATCTCTGTATTGAATTTGTGAAGTATAATAGCATGTTGAAACGGGAATTCATGATGGGTTTGTGTTTTCAGCCTGTAACCTGAACAAGGAATCTGTTGATTATACACCAGATGCTTATTGTATGAATGCATTAGAGAAATATATCTGTGAGATGGGAGTTTTCTTTTCAAGAATTTGAAGTAATTAGTCCCTTTGATGAATTTGCATAGTGTCATAAGACGGAGGTTATCTGAAAAATATTATGTATTAGCGAAAGTTTAAACCCCCTTTGTGTATTCCAAAAGAATTTATCCTTACCTTAAACCTACGTTGGTAATCTTTATCTTTTTTCAATGCTAAGGTAGGTATGAAAATGTATTACCCTCATATTTTCTAAGTGTTGTATTCTCTTAATTTATTTATTTCACTGCCACCCTATTTTCATCCTTCATATAAAATGTCTTGACAAGTTAATGTGTGATCAGATTATTCGAAACGTATTACACGAATACATCACATTTCTCAAATTTATCTGTGTTTTTCACTCAATTATCAGTAATTGTTCAGTTGATGTGACAGTGGAGTGCGTCATCAACACTCTAAGGGTTATTCTTGCAGCGAGTATGGTGACTGACACTATTGTATTTGTATGAATACATGTATTCATGTGCTTTTCAGTAAATTGAGTAAGGTGAATGAATCGCCTTAAGTCTGTGATATCTGATTCATTGATTTCCGCTGAGTTCTTGATCCTTTACGAATGCGGATACTACAATTTGAATTCTTGTTCGTGTTGCGTGAAAGTGGGCTTACCAGTCTTAGTCAATATGGTTCGAAAATTCGTATTGTACTGCGTCGTCCAGTTGAGAGATCAGCGCAGAAAACATTTCTTATGTTGGGAAGACATAGGTGAACATGTAGTAAACTTCGGTTTTCGCCTTAATTTTTTCTCCTCAGTTCTTTTGGTAGCTATTTTTCTTAGTATGAAGGAGCACATGTGCACGCAAATAATTTCAAAATAGCTACAGTTTTAACTTTCCACTGTTTCTTGATCTGCTCATATGTTAAGTTTCGTCCACAATTGTTATCAACATTAATAATCCTTCACTTTGATTGTCATTTAGTTACCCTGCTCAATTTAATGGATTAGTCACTGATCAACCAGTAATGGGGAGTCTAGACGAATTTGGCAACAAATTTCTTTCAGTACTGAAATCTTTACTTCTACAACTGTATGAGGCTCCAGTAAGTGCTTTTTGTTGATTTTGTAGAATGTGGCCGTTAGTGCTAGACTGCGAAGATGCAAAATAAACAGTATAAACAGTGTAGGGTTTTTATTCCCTTTTTATCATGGGTGTTTTTTCAGTGAAGGATCTATCATTTCTTATAAAAATCCATATAATGCGGCATCAGTGACCAACTTTATTCTGTAGATTTTTAGTGCAGTGGTTATACCGCATAGTCAATAAGTTATGAAATAGTATTTATTACTTGATAGTTTAGTGGTGGTAGTCTTTATATCTTAGATGCTACTGCATTCTTCCTACTAGCTCAAACCCAAGCCTTTTTATGGAGCTTTTTCGCTACCGATCTGTAAAAGACACATTATTGATTGCAGTAAGATTCTGAAAAGGTTTTAAAACCGTCTATGCCATGACTGGTTTCAAACATCTATCTCTCAAATGTTGATATACTTTCCTACTGGATGAACTAACTAACCTAATTGAATTTCGTTTCCATCGTAGAGTATTTTATTATCATGTAAATAAGGAAAGTCATTTGCTTCCTCTTGAACGTTTTACCCTGCGTTACTGTTGAACTAATTAATTCTCTCTTGCTAAAATCTGAAATTTTCCAATGATAATAAAAACCTATGAAGTACTCCATTTATTCTTGAATTCATTTGAATCTTGTTACTCATATTGCTTCTATTGAAACTTTTAGATGACTGACAGTGGTTCATCTCTAAGTACAGTGGTCCGTAAACCATCTAATACCACTGAGTTTCTACGAGTCTATGTATATTCTGCAGCATGTGCAATCGCACCACGTCATCTTCTTGAAGTTGAACGAGCCTTTGATGCATTGACTGAACGTGGTCGACAAGTTCATCTTGTTCGAAGAATGGCGTTGGATAGCACCAAATCGAATAAACAAATCAGCTCAAAGCAATCAATGGATTCATCTTCACGCTCACAACTTTTAGGTATGTTGAAGAGATGCTAAATTTGATAAAAATTTTAACCTGGCGCCAATTATTTTTCTCATAGAGTAAGTAGTACAATTTCGTATCCGTTGATGGTTTCCTTTTATTCTCCAGTCGAATTCAATAATGTATTCTCTTGCATTGTTAGTACCTGAAAGTAAATTTAAACTGTAAGTCTTAGAGTCAAGACTTGTCCTAAATTGAATCTCTAGCTTTCAGGATTCCCTCTAAGTCTGACTTATGGTCTGAATGCTTCCCTCAATTCTGACGATTTAATTGCTAGTGATACTTGAAGTTTAATGTTGTATTCATTAAAATTAATCAAGTAGTTACAGCTTGATTTGTATGTGTGTACCAATTTTTGAGCTTTTTTTTTATTATAGAAATCCATGTATAGTACAAGTGTTATCAATATCCTATTACGCTTAATGATTTCAATTTTCTGTTTTCAGTCAATACAAGGACCTTAGTCTGCTTATCAATCTTGTTAACACTGAACAGTGAAGCTATGTGTACTCACTTCAACTATGCTTCGCAATAACAGCATTGTCGGTAATCTCCTTATGTAATGGGCTTGCGTAAGAGAATCCGTTGTTGCTCATTAAACTCAGTACAACAGTCTTGAAGTTTATTAAACTACAAATATGATATAGCTTTTAAACTAAGGGATCGAGCAATTTTGTTCACTTCCTAGACCGACCCATTGCTTCTTATCTAACAATGAGTTGAGATATTTTATTCACTTTCAAAAGTTTGTCATACCTTTGATATTGGCTTATACATTTGATATAGGACACTGTGATCAGACATTACTTTCTGAATGACAACTGGAACCAAGTTATATATATATATATATATATATATATATATATATATATATATATATATATATATAACATCATGATATACTTTCAGACGTCAAAATTGTACCCGAAAAATCATCCAATAAATGATGTTGTATCATGATTTGCTTAGTTTCGAGAAAATCTATAATGGCGTTATTTTCTACTGGAACATTTGGGTTCTATTCACACATTGATGTGTCACGCTTACCTTGAAGTTTCCTTTGATGGATATGTTTATTCCCGGCATTGTGCTATTTGGATAGATTAGGCTGGAATGCAGTTTTATTACTTACAATTTATACTTCACAGTCTTGGTTGTATTGTGTTCTCTGAGCTGGGTTGTTTAATCGTGAAGCTTTCATCGCCTTGCTAGACGACATCATCAGCACTAACTTCAGCATGAAGTGAGCTGTCAATATCCCTCCGTGAGTGATTTAGTAGCTTGCTCTGACGATGTGGTCTGTGATTGGTTGTTTCCTTCGATTGTTGTGTCATTGATTGTACAGACTTTCTTGTTGGCTGTTCCTCTGCTTCACCTCTGACGTTTCTGTTGTCTATCACTTTTCTTATTGGTTGATAGATCGGGTCTATGTCTATACATCTATTGATTGCTGACTGGTTTGAATGCCATGCTTCTAGGAATTCTCTGATATTCCTTGTGTTTCCTCTGTCCAAAACTTCTACATTGTCGAAATTGAATTCATGTCCATAATTATCCACGTGCACTGGAATGAGTGACGAAATGTCGTGGCGTTTAATAGCCAATTGGTGCTCATGTAGACGAAGGCGAAGAGGGTGGCTGCTTTGTCCAATGTAGTCCTGACTACAGTTATTGCAGTTGATTTTGTAAATGAAATTCGGTTTATCTTCTTTGTTTGTTGCATCCCTTGGTCTGCATAATAGTGTTTGGAGGGAATTTGTTGGTTTATGAGCCACACCAATTCCAAGTGGTGTCAGCAATCTTGCAGTGTTCAGAACTAAAGCGTTTAGTCACAATGGGGAAGTATATTGTGTTTTGTGAAGTATTGAAAGAGTCTATCCAGTGGCACTAAAGATGTAGCGAAAGTCTGTCATATCGAATGTACCAAACGTTTAATATTTAAAAATTGTTTGTATTTCTTTTGTCGCTGTAAAATTATTTTCTTAAGCATGCTACTGTCATTGCATTCACTTTCCTATCATATCTGACTATCCAGCATATAAGAGAAAGTAATTTACTCATGCAGTATTCATTCACTTTATTGTACACTTTGGGCTGCAGTAGTGAGACAGTAGATTCGTGTTCAGGGTTTGATTCTAAACGGATTCTTTATCGAAGCTGAAGATGAAAAAAGGTTGGACAATATCTTCTTGTGAATGGTAAGTTGATAAATACGCCGAGGATGATCCTCTGTTCAACTATCGTCTAACCAAATCCTATTAGGGGTGTTTGGAGTTAAGCGCATCTTGTTTCATGTGCATTATATTTGAGGAGAGAATGAGTTTATCTTGATTGATTTGTCAGATGATTAATTGACCAAAACCGGAATTCCTTGCCGAAAGGACCGAAGAAATAAATTGTGGACTCGCTAGAGTATGTGTCGATTGAGATGTTACTCAGTATTGCATAGAAATACCAGTAAGCGGGGCTTTTTGTTGGACAGTATGGTACATTAGAGTAAAGTTCTTCTTTTCAGTTATGGAACAGCAATCAACTAACTTGAGTCTTGCTATGCTTATAATCCGCATGGAAAAACATGATATATGCACAGAAAGTTTATGCACATTAAGCTTCTATCATACTGTTGATAGAAATCAGTTGTATCCCGAGTTGAACGCCGTTAACTAAGTTTTCAAACATTTCTGTATTCTTTTTTACTCCAATTTAAGGTTATGATGGGAGTGTCCTGTTGATAACTGGATCTGCTGGAAGTGGTAAGACAACCTATTTATCTGCCTTGGCCATTTCTTTAACTGAAGCAGACTGGTATCCACCGTCGACGAGTTCTAAACAGTCCTTTAATATATATAATCCAAAAGAACAGTTAATGAGTCCAGGGAAACCTAGTGGTGAGAGGCGAAAGTTTGTTTCACAGCGTCCAAAGTTGGCGAAACATCACATACTTATGCATTTCTCTGGTGGTCTGGCAGTCTCTGGTTTGCCACCGAAAAGGCATTTAAGTGTAATGCTTAAAAAATGGACGAAACTTCTCATTTCTCAACTTGAAGACATATGTTCTTCTGATGGTGCAGCTATGAAATTACTAAATGAAATTAAATTATCGCTTGGAATGTCTACTTCTCAAGCTAACACGACCACAGCATTTTGTGATGTTGAATTAAGGTGAGTTGAGTGTATTGTATGCCTTCAATTTAGTGTACATAATAAGTGATCATATGTTATCGATCAATTGATATTCACATAATGTTTTTTCTCATGTGTTCCTTTTGTAGATCACTTATTCAGTGCTTCACACAGATCATTAAGTTTATTGGTTACTTAACGAAACTACGTTTTGCATTTCTAATTGATGATTGTCATGAACTGCAACCAACAACATTGGAGTGGCTACCTGTTGTGTTACCTAAAGTAATTTATTTGTCAACATTTATATATATATATATATATGTTTATAAAAAAATTAGATTTTAGTAAGTGTAACCTACAAAATTAATGACAAGAACTTTATTGTTCACCAGCTAATCTAACTATCCTATAGCAGAGAGTTTTGTTCATGTCATGGGGCAGTAAAATGTCATGAAGTGAAATCAATATGATTGCAGATTCAACTGGAATGCCTTTAATTCTGAAAGCGCAATTGTTTTGATAGAGAAGGCAATCGCTTAAGTGAATGGCGCTTGGATTGACGAGCGGTTAAAATAAGCGTCCATTCAAACACAATTTGTGAAACAATCAGAAGTTATTTCACAGAGTTTCCCCTTAACTTCATTGACTGTTCAAAGGAAACAAAACATTTATCGTCGTGTCAAGGTTCTGTTGTTGCAAGGTTATTATCTAACTTCATCCCTTACTTGATTGTTTCTCCATACTGCAGCTACTTCACCCGTGTTATTTATATTTCGAGACTATATATATTGACTGTTGATTTCCCGTCCATTAGGTAATGCATGTTTTTAAGGGCCAGACATTTAGTATCCGTGTGAGATTGTGAAGGGAAAATGGAAACAAATGATTGGAGTTACTCCGAATTATCTGGTTTCTGTGATATATTCATGAAATTCGCAGCCCCTATTATATATAATGGTTTTAATTTTTTTGACCACAGCCTCGCTAAACCTCTCGCTCATCAAGACCTTGTTAACTTCACAACATATCAGGCTGCAACATTAGACTTGGTATTTGTCAGTGTTACTGATGTGTACGAAACTCGAAAGAGAGCCCCACTGATTGACTTAGATCACTGTATTATTCATCTTTGCCCAAATCATTTGGCAAACTAAACGAAACAGCTTTCACAAAGCAGCAAACTTCAACTTAGAGTGATCGAACAAAGTACGCAATGGAATGTAGTTGACAGTTGAACAACCTTATCGATGGTGTGACATGTTATCTCAAGTTCTGCCTGGGTATTTATTGCCCTAGTGAAAAACTATTTCTACGCTCTGGTTATGTATCTTCTTCTCAAATTAAAAGACTGACAAGAGGACAAAAATGGTCAAATAAAGTTAGTGATAATAGTGGTGCTCGTCGGTTGAACCTTTTAATTAGATTAGAAATTGAACGTCTGAGTCTACTCCATAACCGCAAACGTTTGTCATCCAAAGGCCGTTCCAGCATGTAGAAACTTCTTAACAATCCCCCTGGTAGTAAACACCTTAGTAAGGAAGCATTTGTTGATGTCTGATATAAACGAATCGTCTATGCGCCGACCAAACCATCCCATCCCACTTTATCAACCCAGTTCCAATAATTAATGTTATCCTAAATTCACCGAGGAGGATGTTTGCGAGTGTCGCCATTCCTTGAACCTTTCATACAGTTTAGTTCCGGACGGCGTGTTAGGTTTCATATTCACGAAATGTGCTGATATATTATGCCATCTACAATCTAACATGTTTAATAAGTTGTTTTAAAAAACACCGCTCCGGCTGCCTGGAGAAATTTTAAGATAGTCCCAGTACTTAACTTAGCGATTTCAGGCGCACGTTTGAAATCCTGTCCTATGGAGATTACTTCTTCGTTCTTCAAAATAATGGAGAAGTTTATTATACCTATGCCTGAACCCTCATTGAAAGTTTTCGGAGATGCTGATTAATTTGCATACAAAAGAAAAAGAGGCACTCTGTATGGCAGCACTTATATATCACTTATATCACGATAATGCTTATAATCTCAATAGAAATGCCAAGTATGCCAGGTGTACCTTTTTAGACTCTACTTCAGCATTTGATTCTGTCCCAAGACATTTTGCTGGACAAGCTATTCGCAACACACACTGATTCCCGGATAACCAACTGGTTGTATTCCTATTTCTCTGGACAAAAAAAACAACTGTTCACAGAGGGGAACGCTCCACCTCATTACTTACTGAGACCGGTATTTCCCAAGGCGTCCTTCTTTCCTCCAGTTTTTTTCCTTCTTTCTGTATGACTTGTCATGTTCAACTAGTATCAATTTTGTCAAATATGCTGGTGGTCTGACAGTTTAGGTGCCTGTCTCCCCTTCATCAGTGTTCCCAACCAAACGATTCTCAGTCTACTGTCAGACAATGTTCTTCCATGAAATGGTCTTGTGCTTATTTCTTCAAAATGTCAGACTATAAACTTTAGTTTTAGACGCGAACATAACCTATGTAAACTGCTTAAGCCTGATGTTCCATTTTCTATTGATGGCTGTCTGGTGGAGAATGTTATAAGCGTGATTTATCTCGCACTGTCATAGATTGTCTTTACAATTGCTTTTGTAAGGTATTGTAAATGAATTGTGTAGTGCGGTAGTAGGAAACAATCTGATGCATACTGTTGACTCATTTTTCGTAAGTTTTGAAGCCTTGTTGCACCAGGTTTTTCAGTAATTTCTAATGACCCCGGATAGTAATGCAACCGTTTTGTGAGTTGAGTGAAGGAAGTGAGTTTTTGAATTAGCTGCAATACATCTACAGTTAATTCTATCGTTTTGATGGGAGACTTTTATGTTCCTCGGATGTCATCTGTTCTTGTCCTGCCACTTTTTTTTTTATCATATTGGGCTACAATTCGTCGAAGCCGAGATTCCTGAATTAGTAACTCGATTGCCTGTTAAATTCTGATTACTAACTTTGTCTATAACGTCATAACCGGACAGTTACTCTATACTGTGCTAGGTTACTGAATAAGAGACACTTTGATCATTGTGTTGTTTGTTGAGCGTAGACAACTGGTAATTTAAATAAATTAAAAGATATGAGTTCGTCTTCGAAGTTCCTTACTACGCTGCTCATTAAGAAGTTTGCTCATTATCGTTCACAAATTTGTTAGTTGTTTTTAATAAAGTGAGAAGTTGGGAGTATTAAGTGCAGTATATTATGGGAAAAATTATGTTACATTTAGTTCAATGCCCAATTACCAAACGTGAAGGATAGATGCACTCAATACCATGATGTAGACTACAGGATATTGATTATATCAATGTTATTGGTTGACTTAGCAGTCGTATATCTATGCACACTGACGAAGATTTCTGATGCATTTGCTTGATTGAATCCTGTTCAAATAAAATCTCTTAGTTTATGCGTGTTATAGCGTCTTTGAAATATCTTTGACAAGCCATGTGAATATATTCACTGTCTATTTTTCGATTAAAAGCCATTAATAGTATATTTTCATATTTGAAGTTCTCAAACTGCTGTCATTGAACACTATATTAATTGATATCGTGTTATACCAGGTGCACGTGTCTAGTTTTTCATATGTAATTAGAAGTCATTCTGTTGGGATCTGATTTCTCGTTAATCATCAGTACGTTGATCATTTTATTTTTATTTTTAGAATGTTCGATTCGTGTTAACATGTGATTCAAGGTCTGCTGCTGCCCAGAGCCTAGCTTCAAGAGCTGATTGTCTTCTTTTAGCTGTATCTGGATTAACAACTAATGAACGTTGTGCAGCAGTGCGTAGTTTACTCGGACGATATGGAAAGGTTTTGAGTGAATCTGGCTTTCAAAATCAGGTAGAGTTTTTCTTTTCGATATTCTCATAAACACATATTGGTCGAAATCCAATTTGTTAGGTTATGACTCAGATTATTATCAAGTGGATAGAAGTTGACGTAAAGAAGTTTTCAACATAGCCATGCTTATATTCAATATGGCTTTTGTGTCTCCTGAGACATAAAGCAGACTGAAAATCATCTCGAAATACTTCACGAGACGTATTGCATAACTAGGGGTTTCGTAAAGTTATAGGTAAGGAGGGAACTGCGTAATGTGACTTGATAGCTAAGTGTGCACTCGGCAATTGTGTCATGGGCAAATAAACATGTGGCTGACGTACATGATAGTGCAAGAAGACTGAGTTATGCTTGTGTATTTTGAGTGGTAACCTAAATGGAAGTAAATATGATGGTGGTAAAACTAATAACCAGGAATTTGATTGCTCCGCCCAATTTATATATTTATATAAGTCGTATTCCCATGAAAAACTCTTGGGAATCAATTATGCGTGGTCACTTTTGGTACTCTGAAGATCATGAATTAGTGACTGTCCGACAAAATGTCATCGTTTCGTCAATTCTTTTAAGTTCCTGTATGCATTACATCACATGCTTGTCTATGTCACTACCTGTATCTAGACGCCACATTGTCTTGTTCCCAGAAATTTGCTGATTTCACATTGTTTCTTCTTGAATTTAGATAGGTAGCGCTAGTAGTCTCACGTGGTCTTCCTACTTTAGCTTTCAAGATAAAGGCATTCATCAATTCTGCGTCATTGTTTATGATATTTCCTCTTTCGCAAACAATGTGGGAATTTAGTAAAATTGCTTATGTTATACCGTCGTTGATTGGACGAAATTGATCCATCTCTATTGGTATATGGGCTCCTCTGGGGATATCTTGATATTACCTATGTTCTAGTTATAGTTATGATGGATAAGGGCCGGCAGTGGGATCCAGAATGCACATTTCTTCTTATTTGGAACTTATCAGCTGGTTGCACTTGCCTCACAGTGAGTGATGTTGTTCCCACCGGGATTCCGACTCGGGGGCGATCGGTTCAAACATCAGAGTGTTGTCCACTACACCATCGAGCCACGATAGCCACTTCTTGTGCAACGGGTATAGTTTTAGTACAATTGCTTGTATTTTACCGTCGTTGGTTGGACCGAATTGATCGGTCTGTATTGGCATGTGGGCTCCAGTGCGACGGTATAATGCAACCAATTATACTAAAACTATACCCGTCGCACAAGAAGTGGCCATCGTGGCTCGATGGTGTATTGGACAACGCTCTGATGTTTGAACCGATCGCTCCCAAGTCGGAATCCCGGTGGGAACAATATCACTCACTGGGAGATAGGTACATCCAGCTGACGAGTCCCAATAAGGTCGAAATGGCCATCCTAGATGCCACTGCTACCCACTTCCCATCATTACTATATTTGGAACAAATGTGGAAATTTGTTCCAGTTACTTATATGGGTTTTCTCTTTTTTTTCCGAACCTAGTTATCTATTTTGGTTCGAAAACGTGATGCTGATGTTCCTCTTTATTTGAGATTAGCTTGTGAAGAACTACGCTTGTACGGTACATACGAACAGGTGAGTCCAGTTTAAGTTGGTATATTTCGTTGCGAATCAATCTCTGAAGATATATATATATAGCATACTGACACAAGTTAACCACAGTAACTTTGTAAACTGGAGCATAACCTTTTTGCGGATTTAACATGAGTACATAATTCCCTCACTTTTATTTTGTTAACTTTTTACTGTTTGTTTCGATGAATTAGATCAGTTCATATCATTTGTTATTTCTATTTGTCTCACTAGTTGGATGAGAAATTAAAACAATTACCCGATACAATCTCCAGTTTTGTTGAACACGCAATTAGAAGAGTTGAATTGGATTGTGGTTCCGATTTAACTAGAGTTGTACTTGGCTTTCTGATTTGTTCTCGATGTCCACTATCCACAGATGAACTTCATGGTCTAGTTGATGAATGGTTATGTGAGTCAGCAATCAAAGATGAATTTGAAGAAGGTAACTGCAATACAGATCCTTGGAAAGAGTTAACAATAACAAGTGATGATATATCACTTTGCCTTGATAAAATGTATTTAAATGAAAGTGTCATACAGAAAGTGATTACTGGTCAATGGTCGAATGATATGCATCGATCTAAGTCTTTTAGAAAACAACCTCATTTACCATCACTCGCTTTGCATATTCTGTTGACTGGTCTTCATCCTCTACTATCAGGTTTCAGTGATGAAGGAGATTTCATTGAAATGAATAGCGATGATGATGATGAGGATCTGTGTGAAAAATCTATCGAAACAATAAAACGACAAAAACTTACTATATGGAATCTTGGAAGTAAAGCAATATCTTTTAGAAGTTGTGAGTTACGTGATCTAGTGAATGATATTTGTTTCAATCGACTGAATTATGCATCAACTCATCAAAAATTTGCTTCTTACTACAATAAGCCTAAACGGTCAAATGATGAAATTCATCTGAAGACAGTGACGCTTAAAACGATACACAATATTTTGGCTAAACAAGGATCAAATATGAAAGATGTAATCTATCACTTGGTGAGTGGTTTAGTTGTAATTGTCATGTAGTCATGTGTTTCACAATACATGATAGGTTGTTTTTTTTCCGATGACCTTAATACATGCGATAGTCTATGGAATAAGTTGAAAACACGTCCTTAGAGCATCTTCATGATGATTTGAGTCAAAACAAGTTGGTTTAACTTTTGTTGATACTTTCTTAACAAAAAGATATCTTGTCAGTAAACAGCGCTGCACTGTGTTCATTTTGACGAACAGTCGACTATTATGAAACAAAAAAAAAACGTTTACCGAAGAGCCACTCTTTGCAGTGATATCATTCACAAGCTGTACAATCACATAAATATTATATTCACATGTTCGTGTAAAAGAAACTTCTCATAAAATTTTTTTGAACGAAATTCCGTTTGGTTAATAAATCAGGTGAATAAAAAAAAACCGTGAAACTGAAAGTAGATAATCGTTCTACTTCCATGGTGGATGCTAGGAGTCATCTTTTCATGAATTTACTGTTTTAACAGAGAGGCGTCAGTGTGTGTATTGAGAAACGATTTGGGAGGCTCATTGAGAACGGGTTTCAGCGCTGCCAAACTCAGAATAACGTTCTCTGTTTACCCAGCGCTTCGCTTATGCGTAAGGGATGACCCAGCTTCTCTGGCCACTTCTATGTGTGTTCATCAATTCACCTAGTCCTGTGGAGCGAGATATGTTGACCGTACTCAGCGTTTGCTTTCCAAACACATTTTCAAACGCATGCCAACCTGGCTCAACAAAGGTGAGAGGAAAACACCTAGGACTCTTATTCTAGAACATTTGATCGACTCTGACCACCTGGCAGGTACAGAAAATAACTTCAGTATCGTCTATACAGTTCGTGCAAACTTCATGAAAGGTTTACCCGTGAAACTTTTCAAACTGCATGGTCTATCGCAATCGATATTTTGAAGCCTGAACTCTACATTCAAAAGAAGTTTGTCCAGTCCCTAAAGTTGCAATAGACACGACCTATCAGATCATTTTGTCCTCAAAATGTTTTCTTTCACCTACTAACTAGAATATCACGTCTTCTCATAGGATCACCTTCTTGCACCCTTAAAATTATGATTTCTCATTACATTCACCAGTCCTTATAACTATATTTCATCATCTAACTAAGCAGCTTAACGTTGTTTCGGTCTGAATAAGTCTTCCCATTACTATTTTAAATATTTTTTTTCCGATCTGATTTGTGATCAAAGTGAATTTCTTTCAAAAATATTTTATGAAACATTCCTTTTCTATGATCATGAATATAATATATCGATTGAGAATGATATTACTGAAAAGTGACTCTTCTCCAATCGACTGTTCGATTGCTGTTAGACATATCGGCGTAAGACAAACTCGTTTTAGATAGTTAGCATGAAGAGACTATAAGTATTCAGTCAACTATGTCTTCAAGATATCATTGAAATATCAGTTATAAACTAGGTGATTAATAACAATATCAAACATAGATCATCAAGAATCTTCTGTGATATAGCAGGTTGCTATACTCAATAAGTTCCGCACGGATGAAAGCCAGATGTGTAGCACTTGACTGCATCATCGAATCAATCTTTTCAACAACATTCAGTCGCTGTTTTCGAAGTACATGTAATCAGAAACATAAAAGCTTCACATTTAAGGGAAGCGCAGTTAAGAAACGTATTGAACTAAAGGACAAATAAGAAATCAGTTACAAGCTAATCTCCAGCAAACCCAAAGAGGTATGTGCATAATTATCGAAGCAAAGTGGTGGATTATATTCCAGAGGATTCATTAAAATTTCATTTCTAAAACAGTCTTTACCAACAGATTATTATTATTTGTCCCTTGGGTTCTTAGTGGAACATAGGGCTTCAGTAGCACGTCACCATTTCACTCTCTTCTCCACAGTCTTTTCAACATAGCTCCACTACTCCCAACAAGCTTTCATTTCCTACTCACATTATCTCATCCATGTCACCCTCACATCGGACGCCCAAATCGTCCTCTCACATTTCGGTTACACTCGATGACCTCACCTGGTCTGGTGAATGATGTCCCCAATCGGTCTTCTCAGTGTATCTCCAGTCCAATCCATCTCCACTTTCTTCACCTGCATATTTGTTGGGAGATAAGTTCGTTGCCAGAGTTCCTTGTTGCTTAGTCTATATGGTCATCCATCTGATCTCCAGTATCGAGCCAGGGTAGGCGACAGTGGTTGACATACATCTGCAGTTTGTTGGAAATATTTTTCGTAACGTCCCAAGTCTCTCAACTATCACATAGAACCACTGACTTACTTGACTGATATTAGTGTTGAAAATGCGGATCTTGTTCACGCTTTATCCTCAGTGCAGTGTACTGCAGTGCAGTGCAGTGCAGTGCAGTAGATCTACACACTGATTATTTCAGGTTAATGAAAGCCTGTCTTGTCTTTCCGATCCTGGCTACTTTGACATCCTCATCTGTGCAGCCGCCACCACCACCACCGCCGCCTGTAGTTGAAACGATCCTGCCCACCTAGGTAGATAGATGAAACAAACAACTTCCTTCAGCTTTCTCCCGTTCATGGTGATTGGTACTTCTTGTTATAGTTGTCATCATTCGTTGGATATCTTCATCACCTCTGTCTTCTCTACATTCACTTGAAGTCCCACCTTCCCTGTCCTGCCTCTGCTCTCAACTTGTTGGTTTTTGCCTTTACATCTTCGAGTTTGTGTGACAAGACATCAGACATAAATCATCATTGGTGAAGTCCAAATCATCTAGTGTCTTTTCATCTGTCAGACAGAGTATGCCCATCTTCTCCCTCCGCACAGTTGTCTGTTGCATGATCCAATCCAGTCCTGTCCAGTCCAGTCGACCACAATCAGGAAGATCATCGGTGAGTGATAGTAGACAGCCTTGTCTTGTCTTGTCTTGTCTTACTCCTTCCTGTCTTGACTTCGCTTCAAAGGCATCACTGATCTTTCCATTAACAATCACTTGGCATCTAGCATGATATAGCTGTTGAATGAGATTGATAGAGGTTTGTGGCACTGAAACCGTATTGTTGAAACACCTGCCAAATTATTTCTCGATCCACGCTATCCAAGGCCTTTTCAGAGTCGATGAAGTTGAGGTGGAGTTGAGTTGCCATTCTGCCATTCTATGCTCTGTTCTATGATGATGCGTTGCGTAGTGTAGCCTTGATATTTGATCTACACATGATTTGTTCTTCCTGAAGCCAGCCAGTCAACCGGCCTGTTCCCGTCGTAATCCATTTCAATCCAGAGCACCTTTCAATCTCTCTAGTGTGATGCGGCTTAGGATTTTGTTTCGAGTGGACAGGGACACCTGCATGATCCCACCTCAGTTATTGCAAAGACTTACGTCTCCCATCTGGTGAAGTTTGACAAGGTAGGCCTTCTTCCAATCAGTGGGCAAGTAACTTCCCTTCCTTCCTTCCTTCCTTCCCTCTTCCACACCTTCTGTTGCAGTGCTGTCAGCGTGTCGGCTGTGGTCTCTGTGTCTGTTTTTAGTGCTTCTAGAGGAATTCTATCTCGTCCTGCTGCTTTCTCGGATTTCAGCGACTTAATGGCGTGGAGTTCATAACTTGACTTCTGCTTTTGTTGGAGGGCTTGTGTTCACTGATAGTCCTGTGGCTCGGCTACTGGTGATATTTCTGGACGAGTTGCAGGTGGTGGTAATGGTGTCAGTGGTAGTCAATCGAAGAGTTTTTTGAAGTGCTCAGTCCATCCTTTCATTTGTTTCTTCTCTTTGGCGGTAACTAAGTTTCCTCCACTATCTCTCATTGGTTACCTCTACCTTCATCTCTTCCCTAACAGATAGTAACCTGGTTATCTGATATAGTGTTGTCAAGTCTCTCCTACCAGCCCTCAGCCTGTTCTGCTTCACTTGCAAGTGTGTTGTGAAAGTGTCTTTTGTCTTTGCGCGCACTCTTCTTCACTTATTTGTCTAGTGTAGTGTTTTATACGTTGTACTCACTTCCTCTTTTTGTTGTTCATCCTGTACTGTACTGTACTGCACTGCACTGGTTCATCTTCTGCTTTACCATCACCATCTTCCTCTCCCTGTTCTATCAGCTTCCATGCGTCCGTCGAAATCCACTCCTTGTCTTGCCTCTTTTTCTTCCTTTCTAACATGGTCATCCAGGTTTCCTTCTAAATCTTTTTCAAAGAGTTCCAGCTTTCTTCCGTGTCCAACCCCTCAGGGATGTTGCTTAATCTCTCGCATTTTGTCCTGATCAGTGACTGACGTGAAGATTTTGTTTGAAGTTTCGTCCTTCAGTTCAGTTTGTGTTCTGGGTGTTGAACTTGAACTGGGGCCGTCTATCATCAACTTCTTTGAAAGCTTTCAACTTGATTTTGAAGATAGGCACCTTGCACTAGATAGTCGTGTGAGTGGTGTGAACCACCTACATCCGCTCTCCTTCTTCATCTGATTTTGTGTCCAGTTAAGTAGTCTGCGTCTTTATTTTCATTTTTTTCAGATTTAAATAAATTCGGTCTGATTTTTAATGTGTCCTGGTGTCTGTTGAAATTAAAGCAATGTCGTTTTGTGAATATCCTTGTGTTTGTACGCACTTCCCTGCCGCCAATCACCAGGTCATTGAATGCACACAAGTCTGGAAGCAGTTCTCCATGATCACTCATCATTTCCCTGATTGCGTCTTTACCCGGCGTCATTTCGTCTATCTGATTCCAGCAAGGAATAAGTTAATTTTTTTTAATATTTCGTCTGTTCTTTGAATTTTTCTTATCGATTGGATAGGTTTTTTTTTGGTGGGGGTGTGGTTGCTGGCCGTATTCCTGGTTGAGTTTCATATGCTGACGCGAATCTATGATGAAAGGTCCTTAGGCTTACAACTCCAAAGTCATTTTATTGACAAACATGTTTTCGCCCCTTATCTTCATCTGTCTCTGTAACATTTTGTTGTCTTCGTTATATGATCGTTTTTCACCGATATTTTTTATTTAGGTCTCTTCATATTCATTTCGGTTTTCGTTTTCTTCTAAATGACTGAAAAATTTGCGAGTTATTAGCAAATTATACAGTTTCTATTTGCGTTGTTGTATAGTTTCCAAAGTATCAAGTTTTATTTCAGTGACTTTGCAGTGGAAAACGCCAAACCGAATTCACTGGTTGTCATCGGTAACACTATTGGAACGATTTTTCAGTGTTGAGATCGCTCTTATCCGGTCAACCGTAGTCTTCATATTGCCATTAAAGGTTTCCATTATCGCTTGTTATTCATTAGTAACTCAATCTGCTTTACAGTCAATTGTAGCAACTTGAATAAATTTGCTTTTTGTGAGGTCCAGCGTTAACATTCTTACCTTTGAGGTTACGAGAGACTCCTTTGTAAGACACTGACCGGTTTGTCATCCTTTTGCATTAAACTCAAAATATTGGATATCTAGAGGTGAATGACTTCGAGTAGCTACCACAATAATGAGGGTCAAGATTTACTTGTTAACACTTCCATTTCCTTCACGTATGGTACTGTCACCAATTTTATCTGTAGGTTGGGTGGGTTCGGTATTTACTGTTTCCTAACCTTGTAGTATCTGTCCTACAATTTGTCGAATCCCTTTGTCAATAGCATTTTGTTTACTTTTAGTATCATGCCGAAAGATTGGATATAGTCGCTTGCCTACTAAGTAGTCCAACATTTCTTATTCACCAAATACAATCTGGATATGGTTCAACACTTCTAGAAGATTTTAGAAGATGTGGTGAGCTTTATCTTTTTTTCGTCTCCATGTTTTTATGCCTTGAAGCTATCATATTTAGTATCGTATCACTCCTGTTAAACTAAACTTTAGAGATAGAGGCAACAGCCTGAGGTTGGTGTTCGCTAATTACCTATGTATAATGTACCTGTCTCTTCGTAGGGCTGTCGTAAGCTGGTTTTAAATATCAACGTCATGTATTCAACCTTAGAAATTCCGAGGCAGTTTGTTGAGTGTGCGTTTGTGTGTGTGTTGAGTGTGCCTTTTCCACGTACTACATACTTCATGAGAGTTTTTCAACAAGCGAAGTTCAAGACTATAGAAATGCATTATTTTAATCCACTTTACATTATTTTGAAATTAAAGTATGCAAAAGTGCTTATTTTTAGACTTCTCACATTCAGCATAAATTGTATTAGGAAGAGAAAAACTAATCCAAATATTTAATGTAAATAATCACACAAATAGAATAGAATTCAATTTGAGAAGAAATTGTGTATTGAGGAAATGAGCGTTTAGTTTAGCTCTTAGACTGTTGTCTAATTTTTATGATTTTATTCAACGTGTTGTATTATTATTCTTTTACCTGTATGTCATTCATTTTTTGACTTCCCGTCTCTTTCAAAATCTGATACTGATTTAGTTTCAATCCTCGTCATTCATTAATCTTTTTTTAAATATAAGAGTCACTTCTTTAGTACTGACACGTTTCAAGTTCGCAGTCATCCAAAAGTAAGTTAAATAAGTGTGTACACGCTGTTTTGAACAGTTTATTCTTAGAGTTAAGTCTCTCCATAAGACAGACAGTCAGATCGCGAAATGGCGAGTGTGAACATGGCTCACATGCAACTTCTATTTGTACTTTCCTTTAGTACTAGTCGTACAAAATGCTGTCTGGTAATCGGAACTATCTTTAACTTTCTCAATAAGAAGGTGAAGTCAATCTCTCACTGTATTTGCAGAGTTGCCTTGAACTAGAAGAGGCGCATTTCATGGGGCAACTGCGAACGGTGGTGTGTAAATTTGTCTGAATCAGACAATAATCCAGTTGAATACTTTTAGGTCAGAATACAATTTTGTAATGTTAACCGAATTAAATTTCTGTTACAATATGTATCTTAATAGTAATAATAATAATCCCGTTAACAGTGATAATAACAGTGATCCTTATTTTCAGTAACAACGGATAGAAATGATCAATTATTAACAAGAAAAGAAGATCATCCCTCAATCAATGATATGAATGATAAAATAATCGCCATGCAAACTTTTATTGCATCGAATTATGAACTTTTAACCAAGTGAGTAAATCAATTTTTGGTATACATTCTCAATAGTAATAACTTCTAAAGCCTTATACTGATGGAATTAAATGGTGTTTAAGATGCAAAGTTATGCGGTATACATTGTGCCTAGGTTTCTTCTCTATAGCTGCTTACAGGGTGTTATTAGTTGGTTTTCTGAGTCGAATAGAGTTGAACGTTATTTGAATTACATAGTCCACCAGAGGACAGCGGAAAAGATCAGTGTGAGGTTAGCATAAACTAGTCATATGTTGAAGTTTTGTAAACATTTAGGATGATAATTTGAGTGACTTTAAAGGTCATCCAAACAACTAGTGAATTGACCAATTACCTTTTATCATCTTATAAAACCACCGTTCCAACTTAAAATGTGGCTCATTAGTTTAGGGAGATAACCCTCTACCTACCGAGGTTTGGACAGCCAGATAGCACCCTTAGCCCTCACACAATAGATGTGGCTTATTGTTTGCTGCACGAATATGCACAAGGTAGCTAATTGGTTATTTCAGTCATTGTTAGGGTGGCATTTATAATCACTCGATAATTTTAAAATTGCCATGATGACTAGTCAGTTAGCAAGAAGACAATCGTGAAGATGATATAAAATGGCAAGAACATTTATGAGTGAAGATCAACAAGTTACAACCCTTATCAAAACAGAAAGGGGAAAAATGTGTCTAAATTTTCTAGTATACTAGCAGTTAATTATCAACTCTCAAGCCTTTTCGAATGCAGAGATCAGGCTTTAGTTTTTGAATTGTGATAACTTCTAAGAACGGAAACAAAGTAGAATTAAGCTGTTTATTAATAATTTCCAGGGTTTATCTTCTGTCATTGGCATGTTTTGGGCTGAGCAAATAACAGTGATTCAGGTGTTAATACCATTCGGTCCTTTAGGCCGTGAGCTTTTTCGAATATCTTTCTGTCCCCCCAAAGTACCTACTTTGATATGTATAAGTGAATTGGTAAATACACTGTGCGGTGCCATGAGTATTTTTCATTTTTTATTTGAAATATTGAATACTAAGTTATACAATAAGATAAGGAATATGTTGCTAAGTGAAACCTTCGATCGTTGATCATATCTTAGTGTTATTTTATCTCTAACTTTTAATGTGATAAACATTGGTTTCTGCTCTGTCTTATTTGCCGGATATTTTGACAATTGTTCTCCTATTATTGGATAACTGTTGTTAACGTTTTAGCAGTTGACGTCTATCAAACCCTTTTTTTTTCTTTTTAATCCTCTTTCATAGACATCCTTCTTCTTTCGCTGAACTGGCTATTAATCAAGACGTTAGCGAGTGGATTCAGAAAGTTGGATTAGTGTATTTGTTTTATTCGGACCCACCTGATGTAGATCCTAGTCAACGCCAAATGTTTTTCAGTATTAAACGCGATAGAGATATTCCGTTTAGTCTTCCAAAAGTTGTCCAACCATTTCTTATTCACAAGCCGGTGACGCCTTTAAATGGCTCGAGAGATGTACCTATCTCAGTTGCAATTGATCGAATGGGTACTTTATTGGCTTACGGGACTGAGTCAGGCACAGTGAATGTTGTCCAAATTCAGTCTATGAAAGTATGTCTCGGACATCTGTCTTTCATTATTGTTTATCGTAAAATTTCCAAAATCGTTAGTGATACAAGCATACCGTTGTGTTTATGGATTACATTCAGTAGTACATTAGTTCCCTTGTTTCTTTTGTACTATTTGCATCATTTCATCGTTTTATCGGAAAATATCGCATGGATTCCTTTCCTTTTTAGGTACTTTGTTCATTTCTTGGACACAATTTGCCAATACTTAGTTTATGTTTCATCGATGGTGCTTGTATTGAGTATGGAATTCCCAGTTCACAGTTATGGTTAGTCAGCACTTGTGAAGATGGTGGTATAATTGTCTGGGACATATCAAATGTCAACCAAGAGGTTACATATAAAAAAGTTGTAGGTGTCAGTTGTCAGTTATTTTCTTTGAGTGGTCATCATCGCCGATCAGTGACTAATTCTGCTTGGCATCCAGAGCGTCGACTGCTGGCTACTGGGAGTCTGGATTGTCTACTTTGTTTGTGGGACTTGGGTGATTTGGGCTTCGGATCAATCTCTACCTCCAGAGCATTAGGTTTTGGTCAAGTAAAACCTTCTAAACGCTTCGAAGTTAATTCCCCTATTAATGCACTGGCGTTTCGATTTCCCAGATACAAATCCAACGATGAAAACTCTATTGCTGAACACTTACGAGATGTTATAGCTATAGGATGTTGGGATGGTTTTGTTCACTTCTACAGTCTCATATCTATGAGCAAAATAAAGGTAAGGATTTTCGTTGTGGTATTTGAAGTAATTTTAAATAATTATTTGTTGTTTGTATTTTCTATTTTAATGGTGTCTTTTATTTTTTGGTTAGTCTATTGCAGTATCATGTTTTTCCATTTGTTCATTGGCTTATTCGCCAAATGGTGGCAATACTTTGGCTATTCTTGACACTGGAGGTCAAACTTATCTTTTGGATGCCGATACTTTTGTCTATCTCGGTAGCTTAACTGAGCATACTAACTTTTCACCAGTTTGGAACTCTTGCAGTCCCGAGAAAAAACTTCATTTGTTGCCCAATCAACGCGGAAGTGTTTGTTTTTCCAAACCAAATGGACGTTACCTCATTCAAACTGGGAGTGGTTCATCTGGAGGTCGAATCAACGTCTGGAATGCGTGCCCTGGTGCCCCGGCAGGTACGTGTGTGACAGGTTTTTTTAGTAGTCCCAACCTGCTCTGGTATTTCACTCAAGCATACTTCGCAATCATAGTACTTATGCACGATAATGTTCTGTTCACTTGGGGCTGGAATTATTTTGACACTTCAAAGTCTAATGGAATATTAGTAGTGAAACAAAACTCCTAGTTGTTTTAAAATTGTTTTAACTTTTATGGCTTTCTCAGAAGTGTTTTTTAGTGGTCAGTTTCATTACGAAGTGGATTTTAAGGTTCTCATCAGGCAAGGTATTTCGAAGCGTGACTTCATTTTACAGTCTCTTTTTCAATTTTCATTGTTCAGCTGCTACACCATTTTACGTGGTCATCTCAATTTGTTGGTTTATTATTCCAGTCTTTCTTAGGAACATCAATGTTATCTTCAATAAACTCAGTATAACTAACATCTAAAGTGTCACTAAGACACTGTACTTGACTTTTGCAATACTATTTTTGTGCTGATTGACCGTAATCCAGTAGAAAAATGATTAGTTAAGTGCTTGTTTACGTTAACTACCACTTACAGTCTCCATGAGCTGACCAATTATAAAATATCTACAGGTGCGAAAAAGACTTCTTCTGCATTGACTATTGTGTTCAGTTTATTCAAATTTTAGTTTACGTGTTAGCTGGTTTTATCTAGTTCCCCACTATGTAGTGGTCATTAGTTTTGTATACCGTTACTAACCTTACAACCTGAATTTTAACACAACAATAACACAGCAGGCTTTCACTTACATGATTGTTCATCAAATAGCTAGATGGAGCGATTATGGCATGTATTTACTTGTTGTCATCTAAATCCCACTTTGTTTTTTCATTATTACAGCTCCTTGGGTCAATTTAAGCAGATTTGAAAAAGGAGGTCGAAGCTCTGCATTTGTAACGACGTGTGCGATTGAGGCGGACGGACATCGAATCATAGTCGGATATAGCGATGGACTATTCTCTATTGCTTCGATAGATAGTGGTGATACTTTATTTAATTCAGATTGTTTGGTTCCCGCGATAAACGATAATTCGTCAGTTGAGGCAATTGCTTGTACTCATACACCTTATCGTAATTGTGCAAGCCTTATGATTGTTGGATGGTCTTCTGGTGCAGTTAGGGTAAGTTGTGTCCCTTCTTTTGCTGATATGATAATTTGTAGTTGCTTTTATCCCTTTCGTTATTTTGAAAAACTGTTGAGTGAAATATTTAATCATTCAGAATTTCTGTCTAGTGCCAACAACTATGTTCTTTTGAAAAATAGCTTGTATAATATCGCGTTATTAGAAACGGTAGATTGGTATCTGTTTGCTGTGATTGACCTGTAAAATGTTTCGGTTAGTGGAAAAAGGTTTATAATTGTAGCGCTACCTCAGTTGACCTGCTAATGAAGAATGAATTCTGTGTCTTCTAAAGAGAATGCAGTGGTCTGTGGTTATGGTTAGCTATTTTCGATCATTGTGTTTTCATTAACAACCCTTTATTTTGTTTAGTTGACCTAAAGATTTGATCACTAGCCGTGAGCACGCTCAATATGTGATTTTTAAGTGGTTCAATGCACCTATCTACAGCTACTAGAAATAGCATAATAAGGATTTATTTTTTCCCCGTAAAACATTCTTCGAATAAAATGGAACGATTTATCCTTGTTTCTGGATATGATTGTATGGTGTATAGTGATTTAGACGAAACATGCTGTGAAAATGACCAGTTAAGCAGTTTTCCTTATTTTTTGCTAAAGTTGAGAAGCTGCAGTAACCGTTTTTTTTAACTATGATCACTTTACTGGCCACAGCATCTATTAATATACGATATTTAGTCTTCTTTCTTTCAGTTGATACTTTGTCATTTGCACTTGAAATTGCGGTAACGATTACTTGTAATTTCACCTCTTTCACGATGACTGATATGTAATCTTATTTCATCATGAATTTGAGTCTGATTATGACCAACACTAGGTTCCAGTTGCAGTACTTATGCTTCCGGAAGTAGTTAACATCCAAATGATAATACGAGAACCCCTTCGCTATTGAGTTGGCTGCATATTGCAGGAGACAGATTGGTAGTCTCTATCACGCCTTGGCACCGACGTTCGGTGTGTGCGGTAGGACCTATTGCATTACTGAAGAGGAGAAACACTAACGTTTGGTTTTTCGGGATCATTTCGATTTACTGCTGATGTCATTGATTGTGAAATTTTATGTTGAAAACATTGTATAATATTTAGATGACTCCCGAAAGTTTCAGTCTTACTGAAAACCGTTAGTTGGAGTCTTCAAAACTAGTATTATTAGGTGTATTGTAATGTTTCACTGCTAAAGCCTTGGTTTGTCAGTGAGACACAAAAGCATTCTCTTAAGCTCCTTTTTTTCTGCATTATACAGTTCATTCTGGGTGATAAGCAAATGTGAAGTAAAAGTTTAGTTGACAGAAGGGTTCGGACCAGTAACCTTTGAACTGTCTTCCCAATCAGGCTACGGGACCGAGCTGGTGACCAGATCTCAACTTCCACTCAGTTATCCAGGGCTTAGTCTGATTGTGTTCACTGATGTTACTTGATCCTCTAGCTATTTATTGACTGAATGTGTTGAATCAGTAAACTGTAGCATTCTGTCAAATTCAAAAGTTTCCTCGCTAAATGTTATCAATGTTCGTAGGATTGGTCTGAAGATAACACAGAGAATCCTATGACCATCAGCTGGTGCATAAATTCCTTCCTCAGTAAATTGCACATTTTGTAACATGTCGTATTATAAATGTATAGCAAAAATTTCAAGGTTAATCTTCATCTTTTGAACAAACAAATTAGATTTTGATGTCACCTTATATCAGAAATCTATGCGATACCATAACGATAACTTCACTTTATTCCTTCTGTATATGATGACTTTCATATACCATTAAGTCACCATGGTATATTCGCAAAAGTCATTCTTACTCATGCAATTTTTAGATCATATTATACCTGTATGCGAATGTTTTATTCGAATATATGATGACATTAATTTTCATTAGGAGGTTACAGGTACTTGTCACTTGGTTGCTCCACATCACTACAGACAGATACAGGAAGCATTCATGCATTCATTTGTTTTCTTCGTTAAATCACTTGATTGTTTGCATGTATATGTTGTTGAGGCAGTTTGAGAAGAGAACTTAATAACTACTATCCAGTACTTATTGATATGACCTAATGATGAAAAATAGCCTTCTGAGTTCATCCATGTACAGTTGAGTCTTGTAAAAGTTATCGTGAAAAATAATGATGCTTGATATTCACCATCTATTTTCACGACTTTGTTCAATTAATTACACTCTATTCTTTCTGTTATGATGTATAGTTGTACTATTGGGAACCCGAACCAAATACTGATGCTGGAAGAGATGATATTATTGTGCAGACTAAGCCATGCATTACACATATTAATACCTTTTGGTCACATTCTATTGAGCATACAGAGAATGGAGTAGGTGAAGCTGGTGGTACTCTGTGTGTTGCAGGATCGTTTTGTATTGCAGTTAGTGGAGGAGGAAATTGTGAATCATGGTTTTATATTGTCAATACTGATTCAGATATTCCAAAAGTCGAATCAATTTGTTTCCGTCATCATAGTGCTCAAGTTTCTGCAATAGCGATATCTGATTCGTATGTAGCCACAGGAAGTAAAGACAAAGTAAGTTATTGTATCAATGTTCGCATATCCTACATGAATTTATTGTGTAAATCCATAAAGTAGTGCATAGGAAGATATTTTAACAGCAACGTTTCCCTTCGTTTAAACGTTACTAATCACTTCCAGAAATGAGGTGCGTCGGCTAACGAAGAGGATGGTTATTTTTTAAGATACTGCATTCAAAGGTTGTACAAATGGTTCTGATGATTGGGGTTAAATGAGAACCTGGTTTGTGACAACTCGAAACAGTAGTCTGTTGGCTAGGGATCAAATCTGTCTCTTGCTCTCAACCATTATGCTTTATTCTGTGTATAGAATCAGCAAACAGAAGCAAAATAGATGCATATAGAAGTAAATTTTTAGCAGCGTATGTTGCTCTTGTGACTGATTTACTCAAAGGAGATGCTAATTACATACGTATTTGTTCTCCAGTTAACCCTATTTCTTGAAATCTGCGATTGATTTTAACAACTATTCCGTCTAATAAACGTTTTCTTCAGTATCATACGGCTAGGAAGAGCTCGACATAATTTGCTGCAATACATTTACGTTAAAATAACTATTTCTACATTATCAAGTGATTTATTATCGAAAAATCACATTTTTTGATAAGGCTTCGAGATCTAGACATTATCTCGCTTAAACTACGCTCTATATGAAATGTATTGCTTTGGATTTCATTTATAAGTTCGGTGTTCAAAAGGATGAAATGAACAGTGGTTACTCCGAAGATTTGTAGTTCGACGATGAGTACACATGACTTTCCCGATTATTTTTTGCATGCTGCTGTGAATTATGGTAGTTTGAACCGATACGCTTCTGTGTTAGGTTCTATGTTGATTCAATTTGTCTGCCTGCTGAGTCCATTTTCACAGCATTTGCCAACTTCCGTCATCTGTGGCGCCGACTGATGCGATATTTAACTATCTATCAAATGACGAGTATATTGTGCTATAGTCCGTTCTGTCCTGTTAAACTACTAAGACAGCCGTTGAAGATGGAAGTCATAAAGTGTGAAGCAATATAACCTGCCTGATACTAAAAAAAATTAGTTGTTGAGGACTTTTGGTGACATAGCGCAAAATCCGTCACAATGACGCAATTATATTCACTCTTTGACGTCTACAGCTTGAATATTCACCCTAAACTTTATCTTCAGACTGTTTATTCTTTTACAATGCTCTGTCTATTTTAATTTTACTCTTTTGTAATCCACATGTTCATTGTGGTAACTTATGGTGATGCACTTGTGTACGATGTTTTGCGTTGATTTTTTTTCTATCTTTCTGTCTTGCACAGCATTCAGATGACATATGAGTTGGGAAGGAGAGTGTTTTGTATCAACTGAAGAAAAAATTGGAATTCTATGAGGTGTAAACTATTAGACTAAAAATTTTATGTGATACTTTTTCATATTCCTTACTTTATTGAAGTCTTGAAATGGAAATCGACCTTATTCTTACAGTAAACGATAACAACTGACTGTTGCCAACTTTTTTTGTACATTCTATGACTATGTATTGAGTCAGCCGAAACGTTTCGTATTTTGTGTTGTTCAGTGTGTTACGATTGTTTTCTTGTATTTCATATTTGATTTCCGATACTGTGAAATATTCTAGACAATTCTTAATATTTTCATATAAATGCCGTCAACATGACATAACTTTCCCTCTAGTTTTTTGGGATAGCAGGGAATTTCAACAAATTTAGGAGATTAGTGCATTGAGACTAAGAGTTCTTAGTTAAATCTTTCAATATTTATAGTCTACCTTTCAGGTAGGTTTTATTAAGACGCCTATCTTTTGAAAAAGCTTTGCTCTTGCCGTCTGTTGGCCAGGCAATGAGTTACCGGGTTCTGTGTGAATTGTACTATTTTTCTTTTCATGGTGCTGATGTCTGGAGAATCCAGAAGGCAATCACAGAGAGAAAACTGTCCTCTTTTGTCAGCTCACGTTAAACGACTCCTGCATTTCCGTAACACATGTAAAATATCGAAGACCTTAAGGTTAGTCGTTAGTGTTATCGCTTACGACAAACAAGGGGAATTAACTACCTGATGTCTTACAACTATTGGTGGGCTGTTAGTTTTCCTTGTAGAATTTTTGTGGTTATTGAATAAATTAGTTGTGGGCACCATTCGGCTATATTTCAGTGTCAATGCGTTATTATTTTACTGATAAACATTTTGAAATAAACATTGAACTATCGTTTTTGTGTGTTTTTGTTTTGGGGTGTTAAAGAATATAGTTATTTACGAATACAGTATACAAACACGCAGTGTCACATTGAAATATATACTGCGTCGTGCAGCAGATGACTGGATTACTTCATTGGTATGGTCACTGTATCCAGCTGATTCGCGTCCAGCTAATGCATCACTGTTTGTTGGAAGTAATGATGAATTGATTCGTAGATATTCCATCAGTGAAAACGATTACAAACTTCAACAAGTACTTGTGTCGCATAAAGCTGGGATCAAATCGCTTACATTTGGTGTAAGTTTGGTAATTGTTTGTTTATTTTTATGACGTAAATGTTTCTTATGCGTATGATGAGTACTCAGAGATGTTGATTAACTCCGACTGCATTTTGTGTTTTTCAGTTGAGAAATGCTTTGGAATTGTAAAATACTTGATTACTGTTTTGTCGTGACAAAATTTTAGGTGTAATACACTCTGTGACTGTCAGTGTTTTTAGCCTAGTGAAGGGAATTCTGAGCCAGCTAAATTTCTATGGTGTTCATTTTGTCGGTGATACCACACAAGGTATCTATTACAAACAATAGTTATTTAGCTTCATGATCCAAACTCAATTTGACCAATAAAACAGTAATCTGGAAGTAGAAACTGTTGATTTCTTTACATATGCAGGAATTGTTTTCGTTAATAGATGTCGGCACTACATTTTGACCCTCGTCCAAAACCAGCTAGAACATTTCTTTATTTATCAAAAGTAATGTGCTTATTCGTAGTGAAAATCCACCAATACCAAAATATATCCTTCAGAATTATGATCAGTTGCTGTTTTTCAGCATAGATTATAAAAGGGACACATTCGGAATCTGAGTGATGTCCTTTGGGCATTTCTCTTTATGTCGGTCACAAATACTTTAACTTATACACTTTTCCGAAAACCCCATAACCTTTGCATTTTTCCGGCCACTTGTTCATTAAAGTACTACTTCTGGTCAACTGAATCTACACCGGCAGCAGTATTTATGCATTTAACCAAACGATTGGAAACAAGAGCTTCAAAATATATATATATAGACAGACTATTTGATCAAATGGAGCGGAATCGTTGGCCACAAATGCCCTTACATCTATGCACATCATGTACTGATGTGTCTTTCTAAGTTTTAACCAGTGTAAACAAGAGGAACTAATATATATATATATATATATATATATATATATATATATATATATATATATATATATATATATATATATATATATATATATATATATATATATATATATAGCTGCCTCCATATACGCTGGACTTTCAGTTATTGGGTCTCACGATCAAATTCACATAAAACTTCAAATAGAAAAAAACGAAGATGACTAGGTTCGACGCCTTGACCAGTCAACATTTGCCTCTTTCTAGTCTCGTCGCTTCACTCATAAACGAAGTATGGTGAGGACTTTGTTTTTTATATCAACCAAGTCATCTTCCAAAGATTCAACCGAAAATAAATAGGGAAGTATTGGAAAAACTTTGGTGGATAGTGGATGTCCCCTGAAGTTCAACAATAAATACCCTAAATCTAAGAACAAGAAACTGATTAAAACAGCAGTGCCCTAAAAGAACATGTTTATTAAACTACCATTCAAAGGCGACCAACTGAGTTCACAACATAATCACCGACTGAATGCGTGTATCGCACTAATTTATCCAGCTGCGAAATGATTTATAACACGAATAACATACTCAAAGAAACTAATTTATGTATCAGACCTCTTCATGTTACCCTCAGTTGGTAAACATTCTCAGCATAGATCATGCTGTCGACTCAAGCATAGCTTTCAAGGTAATCAATAGACAAGACAATAGTAAGTTGCTGCTTTATGCAAAAGCAATAGCAGTTCGTCGACTGAAATAAAACTTATGTATACAAAGAAGTTTTGGACTTCTTTCCCGACAGCCTTTCTTACTATTTTATTCTTTCGTTTCATTCAAGAATGGTTATTATTCTCGCTTTGTAAAAATTCACAAAGAGAACTAATTGCATGAAAATTCTAGGTCATAGAATTATTTTGAGGTTAGCGGGGATTTTATTTTCAAAGCAGTATTCATCAAGGACTGATATCTGTTGGAGAGCCGTTGAAAATCTGAGAGCATCGGACAGTCGAATCATCCATGTTAATATGTTAAATGTTATGTAGATAAAAGAATTGGTGAGTATAATGAGAAGTCCGAATCTAAAGGAAGAAAGTGTTTTCTGAGTAGACACAATATAACATTAAGCAGGTAAAGGAAAAGACTTGTTAAAGTGTGCTTATATCCTCATGCATGAATGCTTTGGTGAAACATTGATGAAAAACTTTTGCTGACATAATATGTGAATCGTAAACTAACCGCATTCCTACTTGATTATGCAGTTATATTTTTATTCAGATATAGCAATGTACGCTTTCCTACCTGCATTGTGTGAGAATGAAAACAGTTTTCAGTAGAAGCAAGAAATACTAGATTCGCGGGATGAAAGGATGTTATTTCATTCTACTGGCATTCATCAACCGCTTATAGCCTAAACTTATAAAGCCTATTGGAGCGTACCAACTTAAATGGTATTTAATGATAATACATACGATTCTGTGAGATTTTCGGATTTCTTGTGTTGAGAAGCAAGAATCACAGGTTATAAATCCAAATGGTTGCTAATTTATATATTATTAGATGCACTTTTCAAGAATTGTTCATATGTAGAAATGTGAGAAAAAGAATAACTAATAGTCGCCAAAAGGTTACGTAGTGTGTAAGGATGAAACATCGATTAGCTTGAAAAGAGCTGGTGATGAACTAAGCTGTAACATCGAATGGAATCGAGATCAAAATGCAGTCACTCTTGGAGTATGAAATTAATCACAATACTATTCTCTATCCATCGATCTGGTTAAAAATGTTTTTTCTTTGCAATTTATAAAGGGAAAGCAGTTCCCTTGAGGTTGTAGATAGATGCCTTGCTGATTAGTGCCAGCATGCATGAAACCTAACTTTAGGGCGTTTAGCTGATTGCCTTCAGGCGAGTAATACCAGTGACATATGTATTTATAGTGAGAGTCTGTGTATCTATGGGGTAGCATGTTAACAGACCTTGTTAAATATCCCTTATTTTGTGTTTACTAATTAAATTTACTGTGCCACGCGCTTTCAATCATATAGTACAGTCTGGTTAACTCACATTCAAAAGTGATTTCAGAGCTCCTGCTTTGAAAAAAGCTTTTAAAACCTACACATTTTTGTCCAGCTCTTCGACGAGTGATGACTAATATTTTACCATTATTATTGCAGTTACAACTTTCTGTTCTTCATTCACCTCATATTAAGACTAACAATATGACACATTTTATTTTATTTTAGTACCCTTATCTATTTTCTGGTTCAACTGATGGTCATGTAGTTGTATGGCAGAGTGATGAAAAAGGTGCTTTTCAACCTTTCAGTCAAATGAATATATCAGTTGGTTCTAATACCAATGAAACGGTTATAGCTCCACCAAATCTAGTTAAAATTGAATCATTCATCCCGAAGCATTGTAATTCCGAATGTGAGTTAACTTACTACCCTCTGTTGCTTTATACTATGGAGTAAATTTGATAAAAAAATTTGTGATAATCTTAGTTTTTAAGCAGTAAAGAACTTGGTATCTGGTATAACAACTGTGTATAACAGTGTTATTACTGATTTCATTTTTGAAAAATGAATGGAGTTTTAAAAGTGCATGGTTTAGTTGACAAAGAGAACAACTGTTGCTTCTAACCATCTTGTTATGATGTTATATTTACTTTGCCTACATTAACTATGCGAAGAGGAAGGTTTCTACGTGTAAAGTCAAATCTGTCTAAATGGAATAGCTCTCTAAGGGAGATGATGAAGGTTATCGAATGAGTATTCTAACCGATGAAACTTCTTTGATCAATATGATTTGTTTGTGGCAAGTAATACTTGTTAATGGTTCTTGATTACGTAACAAGCGTTTACTCGAAGGTTCTAGAGAACGCTCTTTGATATTTAAGTACTATTTCTTCACGATTACAGTTATTATTTCGATGCCACCAGTTGATGAGCAAATATTGAATTGGTTACATCAGTAAGGGTTCATACTACTTCGATGTACATCTACTACACTTGCTTGTTGCAGCATAGGGAATGTGAAAAATGTAGTCCAATGAGAATATTAAACTCATGCTGTTTGGATAGATACACATAGACAAAAAAACCAGTACAGAATTTGACGGAAAAGTGCACTGCATCGGTTCAAATCGTCAGATGTGACAGCAGCATGGAAGGGAGAAGTAAAAAGAAGAATGACGTTGAAATAGACAAATTAGTATAATCGTGGGTACAATAAACAAATGGAGGTTAGGGAAAATATTCAAGATGATAGAGGTTGTATGCACTATCTATGTCATTGTGACTGATTTTCAGCCATGTCACCAAGTTTCTCAAAGAACTTATTCTTGTCGTCTCGAAGATCTAAGCCTAGTGGGGTCATGTTGTCTGCAGAGCTCGGAAAAAAAGTTAGATACATAATGGAGTGTCACCATGTCTTGTTATGGACACCCGTGTTCTTTTTCTAACTAAATACCACTCCATCCAACACATAGGTTGGTATGGGCATACACAACACATATGCTAGCTACCATAACGCATGAATGCTCACAACTTCATCAAACAAGTTGCCTTCCTCGCCTAGTACCATACGTTTACTTTGACACTGCTCACGCGGTTATTCAACCACACGGGAACAAGGCTACGAAGACATCTGTCAGATATACTTGCTGAAGATTTTCGTTATGCAACATGATATTTAGGTAGTCCAGTAACGTTGCAACCATGGTTGCGTCGAATTATGAACTTTTAACCAAGTGAGTAAATCAGTTTTTGGCATACATTTTAAATAGTAATAACTTCTAAAGCCTTATACTGATGGAATTAAATGGTGTTTAAGATGCAAAGTTATGCGGTATACATTGTGCCTAGGTTTCTTCTCTATAGCTGCTTACAGGGTGTTATTAGTTGGTTTTCTGAGTCGAATAGAGTTGAACGTTATTTGAATTACATAGTCCACCAGTGGAGTCGGTGCAGTTATTTTCCCGGATGGCGAAAACCATAATGTATGCATTTTGAACATTAATTGGTATGGAAACCAAGTATAGTCAGATAGAAAAAGAAGCCTTGGCCCTAGTCTTCGCTGTACGTCGTTTCCAAAAGCACGCCAATGGTAGGAAATTCACGTTTTTGACAGACTAGAAACCTCTCCTGGCTGTTCTTGGATCGAAGTCGAGCAATCAAGCTTCTTCCGTAAACAGTCTACAAGGGTAGTTCTTAACATGTACAGGATATGATTTGGAAACCCAATATCGAAGTACTCATGAATTTGCCCAAGCATGTGCTCTTTCTTGCTTAATAAGCGACCATCCTACATTGCATAACTGAAAGAAGTTGACTTAAGCAAGAACGTTGTCATGAACCTTCACATATTCTAGAATCAATCCTGTGAAAGGGAAAACTAGGTTGAAACAAATTCCGGCTAATACGAAATTATTTTGATTCTGTTAGGCTTATTGATTTTGTCAGATAGAAGCGAGTTAAAAGTGGGTTTCACTAAATCATTGCAGGTAGTTTACTGTTCTCATTACGGAATGATTCTTGGGCTATATAGAGAATTTGAATCGTTGATGGTTCAGTTCAGTTCGCCATAGTTCTTTGCAACGAATATAAATGACATTGTTAATTCAACGTTTGGTTGCTAAGAGGATAATTCCAAGCATGATTATTTGGAACGCATTTCTCAGAGTTATTTTCATTTTCGTCGCCAACTGTTGTTGTGGTTCCTAATTTATTGCTGTTAGTTAATTGTCCTGGAACGCACCAACTGTTATAGTCGCTAACTGATGCACGAATATTAACTGTTAGCGACCAACATTCTACAACTTCCTAGCTGATTTCCCTACCTGGTAAATGAATTGAGAAGAAACACTGAGACGAGTGGAACATGTATTCAGACAGACGACTGGAAGTATATCGCAAAATGTGTAGAAAATGTATGAGTCCTTAGCGACTCAGGAGACCTAATCAGCATATCATTGAATAAGAACAAAAAACAGACATGTGAAGGCCATTCGTAATTGACACAAAGTAAATTTTGATCAGTGCATTTCCCGACCAGTTGTTCAGTCCTTTTATCAGTTTGATTTATATGTTACAACGATTTCACGTGCTTCACTGTCTGAGATGCTCGTTTTTTGAGGTCCTACAGTGCCTTGATGGCTTGTTGGATAATGGTAAGATGAAAAGGATTTACCATTCTAGTGTAGACGGTTACACTTTGATAGAGTTCCGTTGGCGACGTCGCCAGGCTTATGGCTCCTTCTCTAAGAGATAGGGGGTAATACTATGCTGTAGATAAGACTGGTTGAAAATGATCGCTGATATTTTTAAACAGGCGAACTAGTTAGTTGCATATTCGTTAGTTTTCAATTTTGGTTATCTTAAAATACCGTAGGATCAATTGACATAAGAATTTTCCTCACTCGGTGCAATAATCTGTAAGAAAAGGAATTCTAACTTACCATTCAAATCAAACCTAGTAGTTCCCATTCCATTTTCTTATCATGTCTTAATCCTGGTTCCCATATAAAACTCCTTTTGTGTTCGCTGTGTAAATGAACATCAGGTAGGCGAATTTGAATTAACACTAATGGTTAATTATTCAGTAGGATGCTCGTTTGTTTGAGCACACAGATTTTATTCGTAGACTTTTGATCTTACTTTTTGGTGTATTTGTGAATTTTGTTTAAAATGTGTCACAACAACTGACTGCATGTCAGTGAAAATGTATTACGTTTTATTACTTTTTTTCTCCAGGCAGAAAAACTCTTGCTTTTGACTTTGATAACAGATCGGATTGTTCTCCTATGATAGATGGTATATATGAAGCCCATCCAACGAGTGAAATGGAAGTAGATGACTTGTCTTCTTACCCATTACATCGTGATGACACAGTGGATTGTGATTTAAACGATAATAATAAAGTTCAAGAACTACGAATCTTCGACCGAAGCAAATCATTACCACCGCATGATAACAAAAATGTGAGGCTTCTAATTGGTCAGACAATTTCGCTGTCCGCCGGTTCACATCGCTTTCAAGGTTTTCGCTTTCGGGTATATAAACCCTCTGTCTTAGGATATCATGCTACTTTGAGCGGTCATGCTGGCTTGGCTCCGTGTGTAATAACTTGTGCTTCATCTCCTAATTCGCATGAAGATGCATTACTTGTCAGCGTAGCTGGTCAAGGTGGTGATGCTAATACAATCGGCTGTGATATTCGACTTTGGAATTTGCCTTTACCTGATACTTCTTCACTCCGTAAGTAATGACGTTTGATTACGTTTGATGTTTTCTTCATATGTTATCTTCAAGAGTCTTAGGGGAGTTCAAACAGCAGGACAGAAACGTACCTAGTAGTGATAGTCGAAAAGCACAATAAAGTATATCGTTGCTTATTATGAGACTTTTCAGCAGAGGCTCTGGCTATTCACAAAGGGAGTCCTAGACCATGTGTACATAAGCGTTTTTAGTCTCTTTTGCTAGAATGGACTCAGTTACACAACTCTTTGATCTTTGTTTAGTAATTTTCTCTACAATCTACTTCCATTCCCTTTATTAGGAACCGACTTTATCGATTGAGATCCTTCGAGCTATCTTGTGTGTAATATTCATGTTCCCCTACTCCATCCTAGTAGATCAGCAAGCGCTTCTGAGCTGTACTGATTATTTTGTGTCTGCGTATTTTGTTACGTAAAATCGACTTACTATCTCCTTTATTAGGCTACTCTTATCTTCCGATTCACGGTTCAATCGGTTTTTATTGCTAAGTGACGTTAAGCCTTACCGCTTTTTGGCACTATTCAGGATATCTTTAAACTGCCATATAACTTGTTCTCTTTGCTGACCAATATCTTTTTAGTTCAACCTACTTTAAAAATGCAGCAAGTATCCTAGTATGTTGGTAATCTGAAGAAGAAAACTTACTTAGTTAATAACATTAAGTCACTTCAAAGTGTATTGCAATATTATAGTCTGATTATTCTAAACGTCTTCTACCATATTACTCGTATTTAGTTGTTCGATTTCGGTAACTGAAGGCATATGCATTTCGTGTTCACAAACGCATCGATTGACCTTAGTTACCTGCATAGAATTCAATTTTAATGCCCCCGTCGAATTGATCTCCTTGCAACCTGAATCGAGGTAACGTGGTTTCCTTATACTGAACGTGTTTCTCTTTTCTAGAGTCTTCTTTTTGTTGTTTCAGTCTTGATGATTGGTTATCTCCAAGACTTAATGACTTCGTCGACAAAACCCAATCTGAATTACACATAGGTGAATGTGATTAATGTGCCGCACAATGCATGTATCAGACATTCATCAACAACTGCCTAGGCTCATTATTGAAGATCAGATGGCCAGATAGAATCAGCAACAAGGAACTCTGGCTGGCTAGTAACGAACCAGCCAAGAACCTATCGCTGAATAAATATGCAGAAGGAAGTGGAGATGGATTGGGCATGCACTGAGAAGACCAACTGGGGACATCACGCATCAGGTTCCTGAGTGGAACCCAGATGGGAAGCGACGAGTTGGGCGTCTGAAGTGAGGATGACATGGAGGAGATCGTGCGAGGAAGAAATGAGAACTTGTGGGCTGTCGTGGAACCAGGTTAAAAAGTTTACAGAGAAGAGAGTGGAATGGAGAGGTGCTGCTGAAGCCCTACGTTCCATTAGGAACCCAAGGGACAAATAATAATAACAATGCATGTATACGGATAAGAAGCAAGCAAGTCAGTCGATAAGGGTTTCATCCTTTATCGATTGAGGTGGCTTGGACATGTGTTGTGCATGCTAAACCACTGCCTACCTCGACACGCATTGCAAGTCGAAGCAGGATTGAGTCGTGTATGGATGTGTGAACTGTCTGGTTGGAACCGTCAAGGTGGTAGGAAACAATGGCTGAAAATCGATGAGCTAAATTGTCAGTGAATATTACTTGTAGGTCGCTGAAGTTGATATTCATCACGGAGTGACATCAGTTGGAGAACCATTGGAAACCTGGAAGCACTGAACAGCTGTTTCGTCATAGTATGTGATTGCTCAGCAGTGCCCACCCATGATCCCTCCAAGGATCTAAATCCAGGATTTAATTGATGTCAGTCCGTGGTGAATGCCAACTTGAATCTAATAAATCCCCACAAAATTCCAGACTGAGTCACTTGAAAGTTGCTAAAAATTGGAAAACGTGACAAGGTTGGAGGCTAGATTCATAGAAATGTGTTGATTTCCTTTTTGCGACTAGCAGTTTACTATGCTTGGTTTATATGTACATGACGCAATTGATAGTTTTCTTGTATCCATACATGCATGCTTCTCCTCAGATTATCCAATTCAACACACTGGATCAGTAACTTGCGCTGACCATCTGAAGGTGACAAAAAATGTAAACATCTGCATATCTGGTTCAACAGGTGGTGACTGTATCTTTTGGGCTATTTGTTGTTCAAATGGATCAAATATCAAACAGAAAATTTCACGTCTACAATTTCTACGCATGAATTCTACTTCATGGAAACCTCTAAGGCGTTTGACTAGCTCATATGAAAGGCCAAATTATCCTATCAATAGTATTGTTACACAAATATGGAGAAATTATGATGATACAAATGAATATTCAATTCATTATTTTATTTATATTGCTTGTGGTTATGAACTTTGGATCTTACATATTGAATTGAACAACGAGAATGATATTGAAAATACTTTCATGGAGTTATTTACAGAGAAAGGAAGGCTCCATGTAATTCTTTCCGAACTGGCTGAAGCGTGGGCAACTAAGAAGATTGCTGGTTGCGCTAAAATCAAGAAGTAGATTATTGAACCGTTTTGCCATACTCTTAATATGATAATGTATTTTTTTTTAGCTAGTTATGATGACGGCGAATAGAATTATTCCACATATATTTGATGAGGTGTGCTATTGAAAAGGGATAATAGGGGGAGAGTAGCACGTATTGGTCAGTAGTATGTTTCGCCAACTAAATTAAGCATTGTAATATACACGATGAATACCATTTTCAGTCTTTTACGGTGTAGATCCTTAATCGTGTGTACTAGAGAAACAGCAGTTTTGACGAGTTATGTTGTTGACTGTACGCATTTTGAATAATTTTCAAATTTCTCAGTCACTTTTAAGAAATTCAGTTTTCAAAGACTGATAAATAGCTTCACTGACATTGCTCATAATGGAGGCTTCCTCTTGTTGAAAGTCACAGCCTTGACTAAGACTGATTATTCTAAAAGGCGTTTAATAATAGTCTATTCAAGTGCTATTCACACATTCCATCACTAAAGAAAATCATTTTCGATCAGTTTTTACATACTTTATGCTTACTGTGGGGGGGGGGGGTTCCTCCTTCATACCGCGTTGATGACAAATCATGATACCATTATGAAGTGTGCATGCTGTTATGGTTCAGTATGAATTTCTAGAACTGTGATCAGCACCTAGATAACTTTTCATATTTGTTACAAACCCTTTATAGTTTCACCCTTTTGGATTACTCTAAAACCGAGTTTTTCGAATGAAAAGAACTCACTTTTATAATCTCTCAGTTATATAGTCTAAAATTGTACAGTCCTGATAAATTATTAAGTATCATCTTTGTAAGTGTAATGTACATCTGAGTATTAGTTGAGAAAATTTTGAAGATGAAAACAAACACAACTTGTTTTTCGAATCATCCACAGTCTCATTGGAGTGAAGTTGGTTCTAATTTGGAAATTTTCCGACAAACTGAAGTGATTTGAATCATAGCTTTTTAGGCATATCTAACTACTTATCAGTGATGTCTTTATTGTGGATTATGAAATCTGCATTGAACAAGAGTAAAGTGTAGAGCTTGTTTCCTGTTATGTTGATCAACTCCTATTTGCTTACATAGTTTTGTTTTTGAAATGCCCCATATCTCGTCTCACTTTTTTAAATGAAGTTCGATTCTACGCTTGACTGTGTCATGCCTACAGATTTTAGGTTGTTATCTTCACAAAGCTAGTTGTCTTTTGTCTGCTTCTGAAAATTAAATGCATATTTATTTATCATTTGTCCTCATGTTATTCAATCAGATACCAATTGAATCGTGTTGTAGTTCAAATGTCTGCAATTCATCAAGAACCTACTACAATTTCACAATGTGGTGTTGTGATACTCTTGTCAAATGGAGAAGTGATCATGCTACCCTACATGTCTAAGGATGATAAATTTGTTCGGATTCGCATTCAGAATGAGTAAGTAATGCGGTACTTCTTTGACCCTTTATACCATTTTATGTATACTTTTCACTTTATTGTCTGATGTACACATTCATTGAATCATCATCGTTAGTAAGCGCTTCCCATATTTTTATTACAACTATTTTATCTGGTTGACCCACTCCTAATAATGAATGTCTGGACATTAAAACATTAATCGCCTAATGGCTATTGTTTCACGTCATTTGCATGTGTTTATGATCAAACGTCTATGGATCACTAATGACTAACCATTGTCATGTTATTTTGTCCTAACTGGTTTACGAATTCGAATGATTGGGTTTCTAATGTGGCCAAGCTTGGAGACTTGTCATCTCGGTATACTGTAGTAAATGTTAGTTTATTTGATGTGATCAGTGAGAAATCTTGAACCAAATTTTCTACTTGTTATGACTCATCAGCAAAGCGCGTCTATAACCAGTCGATAAATGCAGTGTAAGCATGTAAAAAGTATGCTGCAAATCAAATAGTTCTGTAGTAAAGCCATTTCTTTCAGCTCTGTATAAAGCATCCTTTGATCTCTGTGATGGCATATGTTCCTTCATGGTTGCACGTACTTTTTGATGATAAGTAGTATAACCATGAAACCTGTGTCTACAGCTCCTTTAGCAGATAACGTTCAACCAGCTAACATGTACGAATGCATCGCTTGATGGGAGCGAAGGTTTGGTGGAATTATGAAAAATAATGGTTAACCCAGGTACTTCCTCTTTTTAATGTCTTCTAACAGACCTCAAGATTCCTTGATATTACGATTGCTACAAAGTTGCTTCTCGAGAGTGAAACTGTAGTATTTCATATATCCTAGAAACTGCAACTCATTTTACAGCTCCATGCTGAAATGAGTGATTATATGCTTGACATTGTTTCATTTAGCTTGTTCCCGTCAAGTCATTGGTGTACCTCAATTCACTCATTTACGAATGGTATACTTGTGGCACATGAAGGATCAGTTTTGTTTCATCTATATGGAGATCCGGTGAGTGATTTTTTGGAAAAAGTACTGATCATTCCTTATACTGCTTTTTTCTGCATTTTTGTGTTTTGTTTTCATCTGTGAACATGCCATTTATTGCCCTCGTGATTACTGTATACGGAAGTCCTGTATTTCTGAACATCTCATACTAGGTATCATTCAGGTCATAAATTTGTCCCTTGCTCTGAGATAGCTTTTCTGTAACTCTCATTGCAAATTAATTACACTGATGAATATTACAGATCAAGACAATGAGTTACTAGGTATACAAAATCCATATTTCAGTAAAGTTGCTTCCTGTTGTAACCTCTGAAACCCACTGATTCATTTAGCTCGATTTAAAATTGCAGTGTTATCCAGTGTTTTCACTTTACAAAAGCCATGAAGGTATAAAAACAGAGCGGATCCCTGTATCATTTTTCATTTAGTCTACGTTGACTGGTCATCTTTGGTTCAGTGTTCCTTAATCCCCTTCAAACACCTAGTAAACTATTATATTAGTTTTCTTTTTGACGATGACATTTAAGGGATGTGCATCTGTTATTAACAGGGGAAATTGATACGTTCTGTGCACAGGCGTAATTGACTACTTTGTGTGAAATGAAGCCTAACAGACAGATAAATCAATGTAAAAGCTGTTCCACAAGTGCATTGTAGCAAGTTACCACATTTTGTAGCAATCTGGAAAGAAAACGTGAATAGAGAAAGTCGGTTTTGAAACAGGGTGTGGTATTATCGTCCGAGTTAGCACACGTCATATCAACACATTAAGTGAGTCTATTAGGATGAAACAAATAAATAAAGAAGGAAGCAGTCAAAAATAAGAAGAGATCAAGGAGAAATGAGGCTATAATGAAATTCCGTATGAAGTTTTAAGATGAAAATAATTATGTGAGTGCATCTACACCACAGACATAGATTCTGAGTCATATCATCTGGAGTCTCGAACCACTGGTTCCTGTTTTCACAATGAATGTCATACGTAAGGTCTGGATCTTCAGACATAGCTGAGACCAATAATCAATGTATTCACGAACTGATGTCATTTTTTAGCATGACCACCTCTAAACTATGTGTAGTCTGAGCCTACTTTGTTAACATTATGTGGGGGAGCAGATGATGAATAGATATGCGTAACACATGTATCAGCCACCTGTATTGATAAAGGATCATACCCTCATCGATAAATGGATAGCGAAAATTTTATTCAAGTTAGCAAAATTATACAAGATTTAATGGAATGGATAGATGAATGCCACCAAAAATATTCAACACTTGCAAGAGGATAAAAAGTGAATATGTTACATCTGTTGTGAACGCAAAAAAGAGTCCATCCACGTTTTTTTGATATTGAGTCAGCATCAACTTATCACTCAATTTTCGGAGATTATCAAAATCCGTTTGCAAACCATCTATCTCTATCTAATCTCAGTTGTTTCTGTCAACTAATTTCAACATTTCACTCAAGTTTCAAATTTTTCAGTCAACTAAAAGTGTGTTATGGAGATCATTTAGGCTTTTCTTCAAGCTGTTTCCATCATCATCGTTTCAGGTACCTACTGGGAAATAAATAACCGTCAGGGTAGCATATTTGCTGATTGCTATTCCAATACTTATCATTTGTTGACTTGATGAGATGAAACTATGCGTGTTATCAGAAGCGAGCAGTTACCGCAACAACAGTAAAATTTGATACACATAACTGATCTCAATAAAGGTGAAACTGACAAACCTAAGTTCACACAGTAAGAGTGAGAATTGGATTGCACTTTGCTGAGGAGTCCTAAATCAAAACAAAACAGGTATCTAGTGCTCCCAGATTTTCAGTAATTCGCCAACAATGATCTGTCTGTTGTCAACGACTATCTTCAAACCTATTGGTATTTTATTATTTTCTTTGCAGCAAAAATTTCATTAGCACCGTATCTTAGTAGTCTACAATTGTCCAGCTTCTCAATATTGAACGATAGAAAAGAAGAATTATTCTCCAATATCTCGTTATAAATTGTTGTTTAACTGTGCAGTTGTCCACACAGTAATCTATCTTATGAAATATTTTATGAGTATCTGTTAATAACTGTACAGTTCACCTAACGAATACTTCTCGAATAAGAACTCACCTATCGATTAGAAGTTAAGATGTGTAAAGAGTTAAGTTTGCTAGTTCGTTCTATGCTTTATTTTACTTTTTGTTTATTTTTCCAGAAATGTGTACTGCAACCACTTCGTGGATGCATGAATAACCTAGAAAATTTGTATGTTGACACAATTGAACCACTTTGTCTTCCCTTCAGAAATAGTCTACTGTCGTAAGTTTTATCGTGATTTGACAATTACGTTTTACATTTACGAAATGATGGATAATCACTTGTGTAGTAGCCGTTTATCAAACACTTACCCAAGATGAGAGAATGACCGAATTTCATAGATGAGTTTCGAATCAGAAAAAAAGATTTCTGCTCTATGTCTTTTGCTCGTGCATCTGTTAAACCTATCCACCTAACAAACTAGACAATAAACTTCAATTTCTATATTTTAGGTTTCTTGGGAACTGGTGACTTCGAAATTTCTGAATGTACTTTTATATTGCGGTGATAATCTGTTGTCAAAGACCTATGAACAAACATTGGGGAGTAGAGTGAATCTAATACTTTCGAATTGAGAATTTCTTTGAGATGTAGGAAATAAGGAGATCTTGGTACACTAAGTGGGGAAAACAGTTGAAAGAACCTACTTTGTAGCCTTAGGCTCTTTATTACTTACTGGTTTCAGATAGTGATGCCTTTTGCAGACCATGTGATCACTTTATGTTAGTCGTTGTTGAAATTATTTTGGTTAATCGCGTTCGTACAGGTTTTGATATCGATCTCTTCGATTGCAATTTGATGTACTCAAGTTTCTCTATAATCGGAAAAAATATGCTTCATAGCAACTTTATTCTTTTACAGCGAAAAAATTATGTTGATTTATCTTGCTCAAGATACTCAATGTGTACCTCATCCTCACCCCTTTGGGTAAAGTCAGGGCAAAAATGTTTAAGCTATTGCGATAACCTGTTGCTCATAATCGGAATACAGAATAGCCTACTTGAGAGGATGTAATATTACAATATATTTCTGTAAAAACTGAATATACCGATTTGTCATACGGTACAAAGCCTCAGAGAAGAAATTTGTTTTAGATGACATCCTTTTTTATTGCACTAAAATCTCGTTTAAGTGTGATGTATATCTTCATTTAGTGGCAAAGAATTTAGACATGTTTTATAAAATGACAATTTTCAATAGACTGTCGTTAGAGAAATAATATGGAAATGAAAGTTGCATAGAAGTGTTGAAGTGTTTGACAATATGATTGAGTAACTGCTCTTTAAGAATGAAGAATTGGTTACCTTTCAGTTTGTTTATTAGATATATCACACAGTCAAACAGTGTTTTCTATTGCATGACATCTCAGTTATCACTTATTGTCCATAGTTCGATCAAGCTAAGTGCTATAGGCATCAACTGAAATTAAGAAGTAAAAGAAACTAATCAAAATGAGTAAATAGTTGTTAGTAAGAAAAAGGAGGCATCAGTATCTAAATATGGCGATATGATACAATGATAAAGCCGAAGATGAGAGTTGTGAGGTTTAATTTAAGAGATAATAAAGGTGAGCAAGCCTTTGACAACATCGACCGAGAAGTAATTTGTAAACTGCTTCATTACTACGGAATACCGCAAACCTTTATCCGCCTCATTCAACAACTATATGAAGATGCCACATGCCAGGTAATTCACAATGGGAAGCTCATTGATGCTTTTGAAGTGAAGACAGGAGTGAAACAAGGTTGCCTACCATCCCCCATGATATTCCTGATTGTGGTGGACTGGATCATGCAGCAAACAGTGGGGAGCTGTGAGAAGAGGGGGATACACTGGCTGGACTGCGGAAAAGAACCTAGAAGATCTGGATTTCGCCGATGACTTGTGCCTGATGTCACACAAACTTGAAGATCTACAGGCAAAAACTAACAAGTTGACAGAAGAGGCGAGGCAGCGAAGACGGGACTTCAAGTGAATATAGAGAAGACAGAGGTGATGAAGATACCGCACCACCAACAACAACAAACTCCAGTCACCATCAACGGGAGAAACTTAAAGGAAGTAACCTCCTTCACCTATCTAGGAAGCACTGTTTCAACTACAGGTGGCACAGACGAGGATGTCAAAGCCAGCCAGGATCGGAAAGAAAGCAAGACAGGCGTTGATTAGCCTGAAACCAGTGTGGAGATCTTCTGCACTCAGCATGTGGAACAAGATCCGGATTTTCAACACCAACGTCAAGTCAGTGCTTCTGTATGGTTCAGAGACTTGGCGCGTTGCGAAAGGGATTTCCAATAAACTACAGACATTCATCAACAACTGCCTACGTTGGCTCATTACTGAAGATCAGATGAGATGGCCAGAAAGAATAAGCAAGAAGGAGCTCTGGGAACGAACCAACCAAGAAGGTATCGCTCAACAAATATGCAGTAGAAGGAAGTGGAGATGAATTGGGCATACACTGAGAAGGCCGACTGAGGACATCACGCGTCAGGCCAGGTACTCGAATGGAATCCCCATGGGAGGCGACGAGTTGGACGTCCGAGGGTGACATGGAGGAGATGGTGCGAGGAGGAAATGAGAGTTTGTGGGCTGTCGTGGAACGAGGTTCAAAAGATCTCAGAGAACAGAGTTCACTGGAGACGTGCTACTGAAGGCGTATGTTCCATTAGGAACCCAAGGGACTAATAATAATAATAATAAAAGTGAGCAAAGAATGCACAATTCAAATTTTCATTTTTGCACCTACCTATGCTTCAGCAACGAAAAGTGAACGTCTGCTTGCATCTTTTGGAAGATTTTGTCGTATGTGGTGAACTACAGCAAATGACTTTCCTGCGACTGTGTCTACTGTTAGCTGAATGTTGTACGATGAACAATGTGCCTCTAGATGTGACCGATTTGGTTTACTGTAAAGGAGTTAGTGAACTAATACGTGGTTATGGAAGTTACCAATACTATCAGTTTATAGTATGAACAATTTACACAGTCCACGTTGACATTTCTTACAACTGAATAGTTTTTCAACTGCCCAACTGTAGTGTCAGTATGGTTTTCGTTGGAAACCATTCAGCTGAGATCGCAAGGTGTGAGCTCTGACACAAAAGAATCATGATATGTCGAAATATACTACTGAGAAACGTGAATGGTTAGAAAGTACTTAAGCTGATCTATAGATTTCGCCAACCAGATGTTTAGATCACTCTGAACTGGCAACAGATCAATGTCAGTGGTTTCTGACTAATTTTATAATTCAGTAATATATTCCAGTGTCGGTTTTTTCATTCTAGCATATGTTAACCATTACGTCAACAGTATCGAGTATTTAACAAGTGTCTGAATAGTGTTCGTTTAATAACTTTCATGAATTTGTGCATTAATACTGGATCTGCTATATCTCCAATAAATTCTTTCTGGCTCTCGATTTCTAATTGAAATCTTTGTGTAACTGTAGAATGCTATATGATGAAATTGAGCCTGTTTTCTCATGTTTTGAATTTAATTTTTACTTATATGTGAATATTTTTATTTTCCATATTTCAATTTAGATTTAAAATTGTGACAAGCAAAATGAAATCTGAGCCAAGAATTGTCATCTTGAACAATGATGACGAAATGATTGTGAATATCATGGTTAGTTACTACAAGTTGTCAAATTTCTGAACTTCTCATAATGACTGTTGTCTGTACTTAGTCATGGCTGTTTGAAAAAAATTTCAAGTGTATTACTGTACTGGAGACCAGAAATAGAATGATGTAGTAGTTCAATATAATTTAAAGGCTGTAGATATTAGGCCTTTCCTTGTTGTCAGTTACCAGCATGGCCCGTATATACAATTTTGAATAAAAGTCATGTTTCCGGATAGCGAGTTGCTCATGCTCTGCTTGACATTTAAATCACACTCTGAGACTATTTGTGACCTATTCGGTTATTCTCATAAGTTTTAACCTTTTACGCTATCCTGCAGCTGAAATAGTGTTTCCTTAATGAGCAGGAAGCACCCAAACATAGGCATGAAAACAAAGTTTCTTGTAAGCACCTTCTTTTAACACCTAAAAAAAGATCAGTTGTTGTCTCAACCATCCACACTATCGGAATTCAATGCACCTTTACTTGGATCGAGTGGTCCTCCTTCTCTCCTTATTGAGTAGGCTTACATGACACATACCTCGTCAAAGTTTGAAGCAGGAAAGGAGACCAACCCTTACTCACAGAGACCTGAACTAATAGATTTTCACTAATGACGATTTGCGACGATGGCTATCTCTGCGTCACTGGACTTTACTTACCACCAGCATTTTGGTTAACAACAAAGGCCTCCTGGACCGATGATTGGTTCACCTGTCACAACGCCAACCATTAATCAGTCTCTTGGGATTGCTACCAACGAAATTACTTACCGGCCTGTGGTTGCCGGATTCGCTTGCCACGTACTCGACCTCATTGCTTTAGAAGCCTCAACAGGGGCTCCCTTGACAACTGCTGTTGTTAAGTCAGCGAGAATGTATGTTAGGTCATCCAGTGGTGATGTAGGGTGGTCCAGTGTCATACATAAGTAGCCCAGTAGGGTGATTCTGGTCTCGACAGTTTTTAACTCTTTAAGCAAAATCCTGTCTTAACTTGACCAGTAGCGTATTGTGAGGATGACCTTTTCGGTTATAAAATTTGAATGATGTCTCATAGACATTTCTCGCCGTTTTATGGGTCCAGGTTGAATGTCTTTCTGACAAACAAAACGGTGAATGGAAGTCTAACTGCATCTAAGCCCGTCAGTAAGCATTGAAATGCTCTGTTTTGGTTCGATAGTTGGATTTCTCTGCTCCATCTTACTTCTGAGCGAGTTGTCACATGCCGGACAACAGATTTATCATCGCTACTCCTTGTCACAACTGATTGCAGCCTGTTTTTACTCTACACATGTTCGGGTTACAGCATCGGTATGCCGTAGATACAACACCACAACACCACCCAACTTCAAGGTTCAGACAGTATTACTCGAGATTTGAAGTGAAGTGAAATGTAGGTGTTACTGTGACCCCAACCACTTCCACCTTGATCATCATAATTAACCGATTGTCAATTTATGACAGGTGAGTGTATTGCTGGTGGAGTCAATCAGAGCTGTAGATCGAGCTGTGGCTTATTCGTTCAAGCATCTGACCGTCAATCAGTGGGTAACGGGTTCGAACAGGGCTCCATCTATCGGGGTTCACTCAGCCAGGTAGTATCCTCACCCGTCACAAAATAGGTGTGATCCATTGATTGCCTACTGCACGAAAGTGCACAAGGTTGCTGAGTTTCGAAATATGTACATCGATAGACGCATATATCGTCTAGTTCAGAAATTGATGCTAGTCCAGTAGTTCTTGTCAGAGATGCGTCATCCCAACATACAAGGTGGTTGTCACTTCAGGCTAACCAAGGTGATGACACTCGTCTAGTCAGCTCGAGAAGATGGCCAACTGAGTATTCGTGGGTTTCTCATTGGGCTGTTGAAACTGAGGACACACGTTCGAGTCATACAATGTTCCAGAGAGTTGCAGTTAATTAATTGTAATGTGGTTGGCTGTCGGAGTGGATGAGTAGAAGATTGAATAATGAGAGGGAAGGTCAGCCATTGAATGCAATGACGAAACTTTAGTTTTGTGGTTGAGTAAATCATTTCTCTAGAGTCACAGTAGGGGTGATCGGAGTGTGTGTGAGACGTGGGTTTCGTCCTGAGAAATTCATCCTTCTGCAATACTTTGAGCTGTTGCTATGTGCAAAGCAGAAGTATCAGCAATGCATGCATTATATTTGCATTGACGCGTAACACCCAACAAAGCATGTTGTATGACTTTTCACAACAACTGTTGTTTTCGTCTATTATTAGTTGTAGATATGAACAACTTTTGAGAATTCTTGTTGTGACATGATGCACAACAGCAAACAAAGTTTGTACACTGTGTATGTCAAACAGTGTCACCTGATTATTATTGTGTGTGGGCATAAATTTCTGTAGAGAGCTTCATCTCTGTCAATTATACCTGATCATCACTGTTTGTATCATTGAATATCATGTTTCTTTCAATCATGATTATTTCTATCTTTATTCAAGTATCACTCTTCTACCGATATTTGTCAACACTAGACGAAGTATGAGCATGTTCCGATAATTCAACCGATTAGGGGTGCTGAGTGAGTTGAATTGTTGCCCTGTGCACTGATGCACAACATAGGTGGATGTGAAGTCTTGTTTGTACTCACATTGTGCTGCTCATTTACTGAATACACACTGTTTGTGTTATGTATGCTTTGCAGCTGCATTCATGTACTTTGACGTCATTCATTCGAACTGTGTCACTACTGAGTGTATGGAGACTCGAAGAAATCTCCACATCGAATTATGTTTGTGATGTGGCCACTGATTAAGTCATCAAGTGACATAGGTGTGATTGTTGTGGTTCTAGTGCAACTTTGGACGTTTGTTGCTGCGCTTATCTGTTTGTATTTTCTCTGTCCACAGCCTTAGCAAGCATACTTCACGGTCTTCCAAGTTCCAACAAATGGATTTTTACTGGTACTTTATGATGCACAAGACTGCATGTCCACAACTTCATAGGCCATCTTGCAATTGCCTGACATGGTTTCTGCAACAGTTTCACACTGAAACTGCTCAAGTACATACTCGTAGTTGAAGCGTGTAGTAAGATTCCTGGTAGACACATTCTTAGCTTGTCATTGGCAATATTGACGTTTATGGATATTTGCAAGTTTTTGATTGTCATTTTGTTGATACCTACATGTATTGTGTCGGTGGCGATTCCTGTGTACATTAGACGCCTGGCTAACACTGGATGCTTTTCTCGTTGTAGTTGCTATTGTTCATATGATGTATAATATCCACTTGTTTTTATAACAGCCGACATTTTTCATTGCAAAGTACTCATGTTACACATAGCCTGAGTATCACGCTGTAGTTATTGTTTACTTCAGCACGTCTACCACAAATTTGACGGTTTAATTGATCAATTGAAGGAGTTTCTTTTGTTATCACTCTGAACTTTGATGATAAGTTTGGCATTCACAAAATGATTTGAGCACTGAATTTTCAGTGCAGAGCATTAACGCCATTGCGGGTATTCATTCAGGCAGTAAATAGAATGTTAAATGAAATAATGATGCTTTTAACACCATACAACGTACATTTCCGATAGCATCATCCAATACTCGTTTCACGCTTCTCATACGTGTTGTACTTATCCTTACTAGACTTGAAGATATCACCTTATTCAGCTTGCATTTCTTCTATTCAGTCATCATCAATATGCAATTTTTTCTACACATAAATTTTAGCTAAACAAGTAGTCTAAAGTGGTTATAGAGTGGAGTCAGTAAATCAGTGAGGTAAAAGAGACTGATAACAGCCTGATTTTTGTCAATTGCATTTCATATCACGTTAACTCTTTTAATACTTTTTCTTCAATTTGTTTTATTTTGTTTTACGCATCCTAGTTGGCTGATTTAAACATTAGCGTCACTGCATATTGCCTCACTTCAGCTCATGTTGACAGTCAAACCTCCTTAACGGTGTATTTGCTGTTAGCAACATCTGATAGTGTCTTACGTTTGCTGAAATGTTCCTCAAATGATTATAACCAAACTGGATTAGGTGAATGGGAGCAGGTAACTGAACTTTGACAGGATACTTTACTTGAATTACTCTGATAATATTTCGTGATTTGATTACGTTATTTATAACCAGTTAGTATTAAGGCGCTGCGTATTATAAATCAGTAACAGCCGGGAACGCATAAAAAAAACCTGGGAGTATTTGATATTTATACTATTTCAGTTTGAAACTCCCGAGCAGTCGGTACCTATGAGGACGAATATGGATTTGTAAACTGCGTTTCCTTATCTCAGAGAAAAATCACCCTATCATACAATCACGTAGTGAAATCTCGTAACTTCAGAACTTAACTACATTGCTAGAAATGACCTTCTTACAAACAATAATCTGTTTATGTGAAATGGTAATTTCATACTCATATGTCTAAACTAAACTGTTTATTTTCTATGTACATGATGTTCAGTTTGCGATATCTGAGAAGTATGTGGAAGGACCATACCAATCCAATAGTTGGAAGTTCGAAGCAGGTGGAGATTGTTCTATTGGTTGAAGCACATACAATCTTGTAGAAGTAGACGTTGATCTTCAGTCTGTATTTCATTTTGTTATAGAAAGCCGTTGGTTACGCATGTTTCACAAAGTAAAATAGGCGTCTTAGTTTACTTTTTAATGCCATTAAAGGGCTTACTTATGTGTGCTAGCGCAAACAATTATCATAGTAGTTACACTCAGTCAACTTGCCATAATATGCAGTGAACTTACATGCCTGATTTTAACTGGGTTACACTGACTGCAGTGTAGCTTTCAGCTTCTTGGATTACATAGATATGCTATCCGCATGGAAGCTGGCAAATCTGAAACATATTTATGCGGCATCCATCTAACTTCAAATATCCAAGAAGATTAATAAATTGGTGCAAGTGAGTTTGTTGTCATGAGAAAGCAATTACAAATATGCAAAGATGTGCAATGCAAATTATTTATCAGAATGAGAAACAAAGTGAGACTTAGGAAGTCCCAGATGCTTACTTGCCAAGAAAGTTAACCAGAATGAAAAAGAAGTTTTCGGTGATAAAATTGTCATAAAAGCCAAATGTTCACATATTTGCAGCATTTTGGTTGCCAGACGGTGCAGCGGAGTTGAATATTATACGGTGACTTTTCGGTCGAATTCAATTCTGCCCAAGAGGATTTCGTATTGCAAAGCTGATTAGAAGTTTCGTTTTCTTCCTCTGCAAATCGAATAGTGTAATGTTGATAAATGTTCTGTTGAAGAAATGCATTGTACTAGAGAACAATACGATGAGTGAAACGAGTTTTTTTTTTCCATTCATTGGTCATTGAGAAGTAACCTACTCCCTAAATACTAGACGAATTGTATCGACAAAGTTTTCAAGGTGATCATCAAGCTGGATGACTCATCACCGTACTAGAAATGCAACTTTTCTGACGATTGTGAAAGAACACGGAATCGTACTGTAAGACTCGCTTCTGATTACTCCCCACCGCCTTGACGTTACTATGTTTGTTTCCACCAACCCTGAAATCATTAAGTCTATTCATTATATATCCAGTATGATTTTCTGGGCCTAGACAAGTAAAAACCAGAGTCGAAGAGATTTTGTTTTACGCAATTCTAACTAAATATTTTATTCGTTTAAAAAAATATTCTTTTAGATTCGAACTTATCCAACTGGTGAACGGATCAACAAACTACTAACACTAGATCGTAATCCTCTAACAATTATGTGTGGACACGAAACTGGTGAAATCAGCTTTTATACAATTCTATAGAATGTGCATTATTCATTCAGTCCCACATACCTACCCCTTTTGGCTGTAAACGTAACTGTGGTTATGATTTGATTTTATCATAACAATTAATTTAATACTTTGTACTTTTTTCTTTACCATCTATATTCAATAAATGTGATTGAAAACTATACACATATGACTCATTACGTTTTGAATGAAAATATCAGTGCCTTGTTTGGAGTTTAAAGGTACGTTTTCTTTTGGCGACAGATGAAAGTATTTATGTTATGATTACTGTGAGTTCCAATCGTGTTTAAACACAACCGCTTAGGGGTATCACCAGCATCTGCTTCTGAAGAGTAGACCGATTTACCTGAAACTTGTTGAAATGTGTGAGTTATGCAGATATCACAACACACCCTATCTTTACCTCAAACCTATCTCCCTGGTCGCCATCACCATCCACAGTTATGTTAGTCACATTCATTTTATATCAGGTTGAACAATAAAACATGGAGTTCCTCCAGAAGCACTATAAACATGTAGAGACATCAGCGGACATACTCATGCCACTATTGCAGAAGGTTTGGAAGGAAGGAAAGATACCTACCGATTGGAAGAAGGGCTATTTTGTCAAACTCCCAAAGAAGGGCGACCTAAGCCTTTGCAATAACTGGCGCGGAATCATGCTCTTGTCCACCCCAAGCAAAATACTAATCCGCATCATCCTGGAGAGACTAAGGACAGAGCATAGAATGGTAGTCAACTCTTCACCGCAAATTCATCGACTCTGAAAAAGGCCTTGGATAGCGTCGACCGAGAAGTAATTTGAATACTGCTTCAACACTAAGGTTTTAGTTTCACAAACCTCTATCAACCTCATTCAACAGCTATATGCTGTATGATGATGTTTCATGCCAAGTGATTGACAATGGAAAGGTCAGTGATGCCTTTGAAGTGAAGACGGCAGTACGACAAGATTGTCGCCTACTGTCACCGATTATCTCCCTTGACTGTGGTGGACTGGATCATGCAACAAACTGTGAGGAGGGAGAAGATGGGCATACGCTGCCTGTCCGATGGAAAGACACTAGATGATTTGGACTTCACCTATGATGATTTATATCTGATGTCTTGTCACACAAACTCGAAGATGTACAGGCAAAAACCAACAAGTTGACAGAAGAGGCAGGACAGGGAAGATGGGACTTCAAGTGAATGTAGAGAAGACAGAAGTGATGAAGATATCCAACGAATGACGACAACAACAACAAGAAGTACCAATCACCATGAACGGGAGAAAGCTGAAGGAAGTTGTTTGTTTCATCTACCTACCTAGGCAGGCAGGATCGTTTCAACTACAGGTGGCGGTGACGGTGGTGGTGGCTGCACAGATGAGGATGTCAAAGTAGCCAGGATCGGAAAGACAAGACAGGCTTTCATTAACCTGAAATAATCAGTGTGGAGATCTACTGCACTGCACTGCAGTACACTGCACTGAGGATAAAGCGTGAACAAGATCCGCATTTTCAACACTAATGTCAGTCAAGTAAGTCAGTGGTTCTATGTGATAGTTGAGAGACTTGGGACGTTACGAAAAGTATTTCCAACAAACTGCAGACATTCATCAACAGCTGTCGCCTATCCTGGTTCGATACTGGAGATCAGATGGATGACCATATAGACTAAGCAACAAGGAACTCTGTCAACGAACTTGTCTCCCAACAAATATGCAGGTGAAGAAAGAGGAGATGGATTGGACTGGAGATACACTGAGAAGACCGATTGGGAACATCATTCACCAGACCAGGTGAGGTCATCGAGTGTAATCGAAATGTGAGACGACGATTTGGGCGTCCGATGTGAGGGTGACATGGATGAGATAATGTGAGTAGGAAAGAAAGCTTGTTGGGAGTAGTGGAGCTATGTTGAAAAGACTGTGGAGAAGAGAGTGAAATGGTGACGTGCTACTGAAGCCCTATGTTCCGCTAGGAACCCAAGGGGAAAATAATAAAATGAAAATTTGGGATAATTTGTATCACGTTAAGTACTTGCATATTATTGCAGATTTCGGTGTCGAATTTCTTTGTATATTAGTTGTTTTTGGTCAGCGTGAGAATAGGAAGGTGTTTCAATAGACAATCACATTCTGTAGATTAGCAAACGCGAAAAGTTTCTCTTGACCCTAAGACGTATAAGCACATCAAGACTCAATTAGGTTGATATTTACTCTTAACTCATACGAGTAATTTTTACGGCCGAAACCCCATGCGTACAATCACACTAGCTGAATTCATTTGGTTTACAGAAGTTGTTTACGACTGTAGTCAGCTAACGACTTTATAGTAAGCAAACGTTAAATCTACACAAATGAGTCTGTGTTTTACAACTTTCCTCGGATTGCTTCCATCCGTCTAGCGTCAAATGCATTGCATTAGAATGTCATATTTGTTAAATTGGTGTTCAAACTGCGAACCTGATCAATAGAACTCGATCGGTACATAGGCTTAGATAACATTCCAATACTTGTTTAGTGACTTACCTATGCCCATTGTATAATCCTGAAGGCTATATATCTCGAGTCTGTAGTAGCGTTCATCATTGTGGCAGATAGTGGGGCACAAGTTTCATGGAAGTACACTTTGCCGCTGGAAACTATCCCAGAGTTTAGAACAAGTACAACAACTTCCTTTTGAATGACTGAAAGTACACACAGAGAGGAAGGAAGTAAAGATATGGGGTTAACTTACGTACCACAGCATGAAATGCTGAAAACCCACAAAAGGTTGAGTGTGAAAGTTCTGCCAAATTGATGTTGAATCTCCTCATTTCAAAGTAGTTTTTACTACTCACTCACATCGACCACGGGAACACTGAAAAGACGAGAACACTGAACAACTTTTTCATCCGAATTTAGGACTGGTCAGTATTATCCACCTTTGACTCCATATAGAGTTGAGCTCAAACGCATCTTGTCACAAGCATTTTGTACTAAATCCTACGGTTGGAATCCAGTGATCCCAATTTTCTAACTCCTGTCATTTCAAACCACAACGCACCCGTCTAGATTCTCATCATCAGGCATCTGTCCTCAGTCCCGAGTTGACAAATTCTACAGGTAGCGAGTTTGCAAATAGCTTTCGGAATTGTTGTAAATAAAGCCTGGTGTTTAACGATCACGTATTTAATCCGAAGCCGCATGCATGAGTACTGAAGCTAAAACTTCTTGTTTATTCTTATATATGTTGGGATTATTATTGATATCACCTTGCGATTACACTGGAGCCTGAACTTCGCCTAAAAGATGGTGTATTTGGGAGTGAAAAAGTGCTGAACACCAAATCCTTGAATCGCTCACTCATCGCAAATTATATCTGATGCTATCCTATGCGAAACCGAGGTAATGATCTTTAAAATACAAAGCTACATTTCAAGTCACATTAGATAAAGTATCTCAAGCAAGGACATTCATATCTCCAATATGCTAAGTCATGAATGAAAGTCACACAATCAACTGAACTAGTGAGATATGTTTAGCACAGTGTAAATAACCTTCCTTGCTATTCCGTTGGTGAAGTATTTTGAAGACGAAAATGATACACAAACCCGACTTCTTGCTAGTTGAACTGAAAACTTTTTTAAAGCTCTGTCGTTTGTGATCAGGCAACAAAGAACATGTCATCAACTATCGCTTCGTTTCAGACTCATGTGAAGAATCCAGTGTGCCTTAGTCTAACTTCCTCACCGATTACTCTGTAGTTTAGCGTTCAAATATGTACACCTCAAATGCTGGATGCTCTGTATCATACTTTAGCATGTCATTCAGAAGAATTTGTGCTGGTGTCCAGACTAAGTAAGAAGATGAATGTCTTAGGCAATCACTATTTGGTGACCAAAGATGTTCACACTAGTAATGCCCACCACATGAGTCAATATCAACCAAACATGGGGTTTGTTCATTCGGATATTTCAGTTGGCATCGTTAAGCCCAGGATTGCCCTACAGTAGTAAAGCTTACATAGGCAGATGGAAGAAGGGTAACTGGCGTCTAGTATCGAAAGGCAAAACTCAGTTGTCCTGAATCTTATCATAATAGGGACTGTGAACTTGGGCACTGTGATGTTGCATTCTAGTATGATTATTGGGTGAGTATTATTTGTTACATAAGAATCTGGTTTTTTTATATGGTGCATAGTCAAATCAGGCTGTGGGACATTTCATGTGGTCCTCAGTCTGCATTACTCTTAGTCATATTCTTGAGTAGGACTTCCTATATTTCTGGAACAGGTGTTGAATAACTTCTATCGCAAGTATCTGGTGTTGATCTGGAAAACAATAATTTGGTTTTCAGTCCATCCCTCCAACTAGATTCCTTAATCTGACAGGGTCTTCTGATCTTTGTTCATCTATGCTATCGCGCTCAAACAGGTGCGCTGCCCCAACCCATTTATTAGACCGCGCAATCGCTGCGGGGTATTCTGAAAAAAACTATTTCGCCTATTTGGATCGGTGGAATCTCTCAATCTAAACAGCTTGTTTCTCAAGCTGTTTGAAGGCTGACGCGCCAATGTGGTCCTAACTGTACTGAGAATCCTCTGCAAGGTTTCTGAGATCGCCTCCTGCATGAAGACGTGGAAGTGGTCGTAGATTCAATCCTCACAACGTCACCATTATTACTTTGCATTTTCTTTGCTATTGTTAACATCTGTGATACAAACACAGTTTATATTATTCTCAAAGTTTTCAATAGATATACTGGTATACTGTACTCAACACTTCGTAATGAATTCAGAGAGATTACAAAACATGCATGCAATATAATCTCCCTTTATTCAAATTTGTAAAGGAGAAGAATTGTAAAGAAAAATGCTGTTCATCAACAAAACGTCTAAAGTTGCACTAGAACCACAACAATCACACCTATGTCACTTGATGACTTAATCAGTGGCCACATCACAAACATAATTCGATGTGGAGATTTCTTCGAGTCTCCATACACTCAGTAGTGACACAGTTCGAATGAATGACGTCAAAGTACA